TGAACTGCTGCGCACTGTCTGGGATACAATATGTGCAATGTTTAATACAACATTTTTCACAGAATATATACTATCGCTGGCACAGAAAGAACAGAACCAGTCTGGCTATTGCTGTTGCTGCAAAGAGGATATCTCATTCACTGTTGCGCTCTGCTTTGGCATCAAGTTCTCAGGGAGTAGTCGTTGAGGGGAGATCACTGACGATGGTTCTTCCTCGTGCTTGGGCATCATGGAAGGAGGGGCATATGGATTGCTGTAGCTCCAGTGGGTAGGGGACTTGGGTTGCAATTGGTCTTGAGGAAAGTAACCAGACATCGCGACAAGTGTTGGGAATGGTGTTTGGCCAGCTGGGCCCTAATATGGGAGGCAAAAGGAAGTGTTAGTTATGAATTGCAAGACAATCCATAGTGTCGAGATATGTCAATGGCCCTTCTTACCTTTGCGTACGCATACGAGACACCATTAATACCGCTTGGAGCATGAACTTCTACAAGAGTATCGTCTATTCTCCAGGCTGTGTACCATCCCCAGCAACGGATGGTTGATTAGCATCGATAGCAAGGACAAGGACTGAGTTTGTGCTTGTTCCTGAGTAATTTAGCCTACCATGCTTTCGTCCAATCCGGCCAGAACTATTGCGCGCAGCGGTATTGCTGAACGACGCTTGAGGTCCATCCGAATTCATAGTTTTCATCTTTTTGCTATACAGATGGAGGGAAAGGCGCGAGAACGCGTCCGATCAGACACTGCAACTTCATTACTCGTGTTTGAGTGTTCGTATCTTGCGAAAACGCTTACTTTGGCAAATGAATTCTCTTGAAAGCTCGACTACGGCCAACAGGGGACATGATGTTAAAGCCAGGCTCGCGTTCTTCTAGGAAAGAAACTGGTGTGTTTAAGAAGGCACAGTGGGTGATTAGGATGAAGAAGTGTGCAAGATTCGATGTAATTTGACATTCTACTCTTTCGTCTTATTACCATGATTGGAGGATTCGTGCTGGAATCGTTGACCAAGCATACCGGATAGTAGTGTCTGTATTAACGGAGGCAAGAAGGTAGAGACGGGGAGGAGCGGTATTCGCCGAAAAGATTGCTCAAAGAGTAGTTGAGGAAGCGAGAGAGTACAGGGGTATAGGGGAAGACGATCTTTGGGGGGAAACAAAGAGAATCGGTCATGTTTATATAAGGCGACCACTTTGTCTGAGAGAAAAAAAAAAAAAAAAAAAAAAAGCAGAGGATGTCCGATGGACCCACAAGGGATTTACGTCTGGGTCCGCGCTCTCTGGACAAGGCGAGAACCAGGTACTGGTTGACATCAGGATAGACTATGATGCTGCATACGCATGAGGTGGTTCAAATTTTACTCACACCAGTACAAGTTGCAAGTTGCGTACCTCAGGTAATGAGATGATGCAAGCGGATTATTCATGCAGTTCATGTTCCTTTGCTTTCTTGTCCCCTGATATGTCTCTTGATGTCAGTCATAACCACATTCTGCCTTATTGAGTCGAGGCAGGGGTGTAGTCCCTCGCAGGAACAATGTCTTCGTTGCCTTAACAGTCAGTTTTATTTTGTCAGAGGGACAAGAAGATAGCAGATTCGCAGAACCGCAGAAGTTGAGGAGGATGAGTAGATACCCATCATGATGACTGAACAGAGAGTGGTGATCAACTGATACTCGACTTCATTTCTCACAGATTAGCTGTATCGTGCGACAATTCCGCTCTGATTGCTGCGCCCTATCACATTGCAATCTCAATAGTATTCCATAGTAACGCTTCTCTTCATCAACGCGATGCAAAGAACTTTGTGGATGTCAGTAAGCCTGCGCTTTTTTCCCATTAGTTTAGTGCTGCAGGTCCAATTAATGCAAAATCGATCTATCGCGTCTATGCAAACATCTTGGCGTAAGCCTTCTTCTCCTTCTCGCGCTTCGCTGTCAGCTTCGCGTTCACGACCTCGAGTTCCTTCAGCACGCCACCGTCCTTTGGCGACAACTTCTTAGCCTTCTCCAGATCGGCTTTTGCGCTGTCCAGGTCATGCATCTTCAAATATGCTAATCCGCGTCTGAAGTATGCCTTGGTCCTATCCGCGTCCGAGGGGTACTGTTCCATTTCCAGCACTATAGTCATGTCCTTGACCGTCAATTCGGGCCGATCCAGCTTCAATGCGCAGAATCCACGATTGAGATAGCAAGGGATCTTGACCGCGTAAAACTCTTTCACCAACTCTGGCGCGTCATCGTCGTCAAAGACGGGCTTCTCGTTCAGATACCGGATCGCCTTCTTGTACTTGCTCATCGCCTTGGTATAGTTTGCGACCTTGAAAAAACTGTTGCCAAGGTTCTTGAGGTCCTGTGCAACCACGACCAAGTCCTTGTCCTCCTTAGATCCCTCATAATCATCTTTTTTTTATAACAAAGAAAAAGATATAATTAGCGGATGGGTTTCATAGAGCGCTTTAAACCTGAATCTACGTTCCATTGTTCCTGATAAGCGTACCTGGCCAATCAGCATACTTGTCGCCAGCATCAGGAGCAGCTACGCCATCATCCTCTCCCTCCGCCAGTTCACCACAGTTGGCAATGATGACAGGGGACAGGGGTGCATCACCACTGCCCTTTGGCGTCCTCTCGATCTCACGGACAACAGAAATACCCTTGAGAACTTTTCCAAAAACGACGTGCTTATCATCCAAGTGAGGTGTAGGGACCGTTGTGATAAAGAACTGGGCTGTAGTATCCAAGGACACACGATGTCAGTACTGCTGTCATATCAGAGGTATCAATCAAGGCTACTGTATGACTTTAATGAAACACTTACATCCATTCGTATTCTGACCAGCGTTGGCCATTGACAGTAGGAAGGGCTTGTCATGCTTCAATTGAAAGTTCTCATCCTCAAACTTCGCACCGTAGATCGACTCGCCTCCAGTTCCGTTTTGGTTGGAAAAGTCTCCTCCTTGGATCATAAAGTCCTAAATGAAATAAGCGAGTAATCGTAAGGAAATTGTTCGATCTTGCACAGCAAGCTAGGCCACGAACGATTAAAGATGGGATGACACTTACAGGGATAATGCGGTGGAATGGTGCTCCCTTGTACGTCAATGGCTTGCCGGTACTCTGCCCGATGCCCTTTTCGCCTAAAAAAATGAAGAGACCTTAGATGCCTGTCCTAATCTCGAGCAATTGTACAGCCAACAGGACACTAGGAGCGTTCTGTTGGCACCATACCTGTGCAGAGGGCGCGGAAATTCTCGGCAGTCTTGGGAACGACATCGGCAAACTAGCGGTAGACGTAGACGCGAAGATATGAAGATGTGTGAGGAGGTGAAACTGAAGTAAAAGTCATGATCAGGAACATGGCGAGTGTAGGTTCATTACCAGCTCAAAGACAATGCGGCCAATGGGCTCCTCTCCAATGGTGATGTCAAAGTAGGTGCGTGGGTTAGGCATGGCAGTGATGGTAGTGGTGATGGTGGATTCGTTGCTGGTGGCAAGTGTGGCAGCGAAGTCTTCGGCCTTTTTGAAGCAAAGTTGGTTGGTCCTGAAGATGTTTCTCGAAAAAAGAACCCTCACGTGAAAGCTTTTCGCGTTCTGGTTGGCGGACGCGCCATGCTGTACGAGCTACGAGAAACGACTAGGACGAAGGTTCAACCAAGTCAGTTGGAACGGGTGACTGCCCTACTGAACAAGTCAAGTACACCAAGCGACGCAACGTCCTTTCCTCAGTAATGTGGAGCGGTGCCTTTGGCACCAGAGAAACCACCTTGCTATGGCGTCTGGGGCCTCAAACACCCTTGGTTCTCCGCAACAAACCCAAATAAATTACAGCAGACCAAATTGGCTTTGCCACCAAAATTTCATGGAGTTGCGGGCTCGGTTATCTAACTACGCCATGCGATTACTTTGGCCCTTGGGCTGCTTTGCATTGCAAGGAGTAACCAAAACGTATTCTGTATAAGAACATCTTTATTTAAATACTCATACTCTTGCTCTTGTTGCGGCATATGTTGTGTCATTATTCTTGCACTTGTCCCCTCCGCTGGAAAGAAGGCTCGAAGCGTGGCTCTGTTCTTGATCGTATAGCCCTGCAGCTGGAAGAGAACCGGTGCAAATCCTTGTCAAGTCCAGATATTCTCACAGACCTGACCGGCTATGATTCCTAGCCGTGTTTGAGCCGGTAATGACACAGACCATGGAAACGCACCGTAGGCTACAATGGCTCATGAGGTAGAGGTGGACGAGTAGATCGCTTAAAGAATAGATAGTGGATAGTTTGAATAGGAAAGACGATTGAGACGAGGATGAGTGGGAGTATTTCGATTAAGCATCAGAAGAATTGGAATATTGTAGCGTAGAGAATCATGGTAGGGTAGGTTTTGTGTAGAATAGAAGGTGCACAGGAAGGAGGACCTGTTGGCCGCCGTATTTGTGCTCTACTGCCGAGCATCATGCCCAAGTATGGACATCAGACTCAGAAGTACCGGTAAGCGTATATCAACTTGCCAGTTCGCCAAGCAGCCCAGGCAGGGGGCTTCCTTTAGTGTGGAAAACCACTATCAGGATCAGTTTGCCCACCAAAGCCCCTCCACAGGATAGCCACAGATGTTGCGTTGGACGTCCGGGCGTTTCGGTTGCCGATATAATGGCCACCCTCGACTTGGTGATAAAGGATGCTTTCAATGAGGCATTAAATGGAACATGGCTTAATGAGCGAGATGAAAGTCGTAGAGCTGCTTGCCAACCATGGCGTCGAAGGAGATGCTCTGGAGACCGATGAAGTCGTGTCCCTTTTCGCGCCACCAAAAAGGGATGTATTATATTTCTCCTTTCCGGACACGGCATAACTCAATAGCCCCCTGCTTCCACCAAGCATTCCAGCCCACCTAACATTCTACTCTTTTCCTTCAACACAGTACAACCAGCAACACTCGCATCTCGCCAGAAAGTGTAGCATCAAGAAGAGGAGCACGAGACAATCTGTCCGAGATGATTCAGGCGCCCAACCGAAACGCCAGACTCATCCGCGTCATCGTCACCTTTACTACAACCTGGGAACTTGGATACCTGTTCATAATCACACTTTTGCCACAGAACTTCGAGCCAACCGCCACACGACCAGGCATAGACCCAACAGCAATTGTGCTCGACAATGTGCACTCTACTGAGCATGTTCTGGTTGAATATGCGCGGTCAACAGCATCGTCATCTAGTTCGCATCAGCAAGGTGCCTTGTTTTTATCTCCGCATGGTTTACTAAACGAAGTGGAAGGTCATGGTCTCGAAGGTGACATGGCTATTGGTACCCAGGATAACAATAGAGCCAGTGAAGAAAGTAAAGGAGATATCGACAGCCAGACGGAGCGCGACCAAGTACTACTGGGTGACCCAAAAGAGCAGACAGGAGAGCAGCTCCCTCAACAGAAAGCATTCGGAGATCATCAATGGAATTATCAACAGCCTTTGGAGGAGTTTGAAGGTCCGGATATCGGTTTACTATTTGAATATCCGAAAACACCGGATCGGGGAGACAATGCAGCAGGCCATAAAAACAACGATATGGAACATCTGTCAATGAGCACTGACCAGGATCCAACAAGCAGCGACACGACCGGAGGTGATTCAGCCCTCCAAGTCAAAAGGGCCAACGGAGTCTTCGTTATCCTTACGCACGAAGACGAGCTCCAGAAAGCTCGAGAGACAGTCCGCCAAATCGAAGATCGCTTCAACAGGGACCGCAACTACCCATGGATCGTTCTCACGCCTCTTCCGCTGACAACACGGTCTCGGAATTTGATTAGCCAACTCACAAAGGGCACCACGACCTTTGGTACGATCCCGCACGAGCAGTGGCGGCTTCCCAAATGGATTGAAGCTGCCATGGTTCGGAACGGGGACTATGCTAAGATGCGACTGGGGATGAACAAAACTTCGTTACTGGAGCGGCATAGGTGGCGATACATGAGTGGATTCCTGGCGCAGCACAAATTACTGGACCAGTACGAGTTCTTTTGGAGAGTCGATCCAGGCGTGTGCATCTTGTGTGACGTTGAGGAGGATCCTATGCTGATGCTGAAGAGCTCGGGGCAAAAGTTCGGTGAGTCCAGATATCCATATGTAAAATTTCCTGTTCTGTACATGTTATGCGGTTCATTAACATCATCCTCGTACTGGCATAGCCTGGTCACTGTTGTCGACCGTCAATGAGGCAAGTGTCCCTGGAGCGTTGTCTCTGATTGAGAGATTCAAGTCGACACACCCAGAGCTCATTCCAGATAGCAGGGACGAAGCATTCCTGGTCAGAGAAGCCGGCGACGCATTGTAAGGGTCCAAGCCTGAAGACAATTCTGTTCTTTTGCAATTCTAGAACATCAGATTAATCGCATCCACCAACATACCCTCCTCTAGCACTGCATGCACCTACGGCGTTGAAACCTCCATTGCGCGGGTCAACTTCTTCCGCTCGCCAGCATATCAAGCGTACTTTGAATATGTCGATCGGCAGGGTCCCATTTATTATCACAAATGGAGCGACGCGGCCGTTACCACTATTGGATTGGGACTCCTCGCGCCTCGGTCTGATACCCTCTTCCTGGAACATCTCGGCTGGAGCTATGGCTCGATCGCGTATTGCCCTGATCGCTGTCCATGCAACCCTCAGATCAATAATATGGCACTGCACTTGAGCTGCACGCCGTTTTGGACGGAATTGGCGGAGAGCCCTGAGCTGAAGAGACGCCTTGAATGCAACGCAGATGGGAAATGTATAATGTATGTCTCCAAACCCAATCTAACCACAGTTCCCGATCCAAAATAACGCCAAGTACAGAGTTATCACAAGAAAGCAAGTTTTATTTACAAAAAGAATAGATAATACAAATGGAGTTAAGGGAGAGGGGAGGAAAGATATTCGATATTTGGTATAGATATCTTAGTGGTGGTGTTTACCATTGAGCATGCTCTCGTGGATTGACTGGGCCTCGACCTGCATCTCCGTAATCTCCTTGTCGGAGGGAGTGGGGCCATGGCGATCAATGATGGGCTCCGCAGCCATGGGTGGGTTAGCGGGCAAGAGCGCATTCAGGAGGCAGCTGACGATAGCACCGAGGGCAAAGCCGGTATCGAGCACAATGTTGGCAGTGCTGATCAAAGAGATCACAAAGGCATTGGTACCGGTGTAGTGGAACATGTGGGTCAAGACACCAGGAACCAAGGATGTGCCCATGCCGAGAGTCAAGGCCGTCGCAACAATGAAACGCTCACGGCGGGTCCAGGGCAAGAAAGACAAGATACGAATACCAGAGACCACGACGCTGGAAAAGAGGAAGGTGGTCATGCCTCCAAGAACGGAATCAGGTACCATGAGGAACAGGGCTCCAAACTTAGAGAAGACGCCCATGAGGATGAGGAAGAAGCAACACATGTATCCAGCCATGGTGTTGGCGCAGCGTGTGAGCGAGATGATGCCGTTGTTTTGGGCGTAGCAGCTCATGGGCGAGTTCATGCATAGAGGTGCGAGGATACCGGCGATACCATCAGCCAAGATACCGCCCTGAAGACGCGACTCGAACTCGCGACCCTCGACCGATAGATGAGAAACCTCGCACGAGGCGGTGATGTCTCCGATACTCTCGACTATGGCGAGGGTATATGTGATTAATAAGGGAATGATGGCTGGTGGGTAAATCGAGAGTGGGTAGGTCTTGGTCCACAAGAAGGTAACCACGGGCGAGGCGTCGACCGAGGACGAGTCCGTGTATCCGCAAGCAACGGCAACAACCATTCCGACAACAAGACCGATCACCACCTGGGCGTTCTTCATGAAGGGTGATCCAAAGAACTCGACAAGCATAATGACTGAGAAGACCAAGAATCCGAGACCGATCCATTGCGCATCGCCCCATGGTGCTGACCGTGGGGCGCTGTTGCTTGGGCAGTTGACGAAGGGACCAGAAGTGGGTTGAGAGCGGCAAGGTCCGCTTCCGCCTCCCCATTGAGCCATGCCAGATGTAACCAGATGGACTCCAATAAGCATGACTGTGACACCGGTGACGATGGGGGGGAAGACCTTCTTGAGTACACGGGGAGGAACGAATGAAAGGAGGATGGGCAAAAGACTGCAGACCATGCAGGTTCCGAGGAAGGCACCCCAGGCCTGTGGACAGGAGGCATATACACGGGTGCCAGATGGGTCAAGGGAACTCTCACAGAAACCAGAGGCGTACATGTTGGAAACAGAGCTCTGGAGTACAGGCAAGAAAATGAAACTGGTGCCGACCACAGAGAGCAATCCAGTTCCGAGGAAGTATTGGGACTTTGCGAGCCTGAAGCGAGTGATCTGAACGAGGGAGAGCAGACCAGATGTGATCATAGAAGTGGAGACCATCTGGGTGCGCATTGCCGGGGGAAAGTTGAGGCCGTTGCTACCGGTGCCAGACATGATGATGGCAGGGGTCACCACACCGGCAATCATGGCTAATGCATGCTGGAAGCCTACAAGTGAAGTGAGTGAGAACCATTAAAAGGGGTTGACAAGCCAGGCATTAAGTGAGTAAAAGGGGAACAAGACATGGATAGCTCTCTACTTACCCATGATAATGGCGAGTATAAGTGGGAGCCTGTCCTTGAGGCCAAAGAAGGGAGGGATGCGAGTAACCGTGAACCCAGGAAGAGTAGGTGTACAGAGAAAGCCGTAGTCGTAATCACCGAACCAACCAGAACGGGTGCCAATTGACTGCTGGATGGCCTGCCAGCTCGGGACCTTGCCGACGGTGTGCGAGAGGTCGATGTCCTCTTCCCGCGTGCGATTGGCATGGGGATCGAGGATGAAGACCGGTGGAGATGTGGCCCCGGGCTCTTGTGTGATTTCAGGCATCTTTCAGTGCAAGTTTATCTTGGACTGGCGGAGGGGGTGGGGGGGGGGGGGGGGGGGGGGTGGTGGGGGGGTGTGGGAAGATGAGGTGTGCTAATAAATGAGAAATATGAAAAGAATAGGAGGATCGAGCGAAGTGGCGAGAACGAGTCTGGGGAAAGAGAAAAAAAACGAGCACCAATGTCCCCACATTTATATATTTGCACTCGCCTATATTATCTTCAATACCCACGCAGTCAGTCAGCATATGAACCTGTCAAGGCACGCCCAGGGATTTACATGTGTGGGCATGGACATGGGGCGCATGTAGAGACGGACTAGATTAGTGGTGGTGATGCTGCAGCAAACAGCTGCCCGTGTACATGAGCATACACGAAGAACCTTAATGCTGCTTTACTTTGTCCAATAATGGCATCTCACGGAATGCGGGGTCAAGGTTTTTTTTCTTCCGGGAGTTATCTCCGACATCCCTACATGTCCACCCACCACGCCCTCTTCTGTAAACTAATCTCTTCTCCACTTTTATCTGTTTGTCGTACCCTACAAATCATAGCCTATTCTAGAGCGCGAGGGAAATTCTACCCTCGGTATTCAGGGCAGCCAAACCTCTCAGTGATAACCCAAGGCTGGCCATCGAATTTGAGATGCATGGTTTCCGTGTCTGTACTTGTATCATGTATCACGGACCCAAAAGCGAAAGAAGTGAGCAGGCAACTCCACCTCTTCTGCTGTTCAACAAGTGAGACTAGAGGCAAGAGAGATAGGCTAACAGGTGTCTACTTTCCGCCAGTTAGATTGGTAAGACCAGTAGGCCTGGCTCCCTCGCTCGATCTTTATTCTGTAATCCTTCGAAATAAAGTTGCCCGCGTTTTTTCGCGCTTTTTTTCCTCGGTAAGGACACACAGACGTCCTCTGACAAACAAAGCGCACGTGAGGCAGTGTATCTGATTCGCAGGAGGCTTCATTTAGAGTTACGGACGCAAAAGGTGGAGACTCGATAAGTTCGTAAGAGCTTACCCCGCATTTTGTAACCCAACCATGGGGAAGAGAACTCTCCATCCTGCGCAACCTCAGCTTAACAGCGATACTTTGGTCCCTGAAAGTATAATGATTTACCCAGTCGGAGTGTAGTGTCGGGGTTCTTATTTCCTATGCAGTCTGACGACAAGACTCGCCATCCACATCCACGAGGGAACCCTTTATCTGGACTATCAATGCCACGTAGAATCTACCCATGCGGCGATCGCCGTGTGAGACATGAGAAAGCCTTTTAGGTCCAATGAGATAGAGAACTAAAAGGCTTTCCTTCATAAGCAATGATCGTAAACAGCTGGACATCGCCGTGCCGATCGCTTCCTTTGATTCATCCAAACACGAAGCTATACACGGTGTTGTCCCAAGATGTATCCGCCCGAACATGAAAACTTGATGCTAATGTACGACCGTAATGAACAAGGACTAACTGCAGGGAACAGCAACAGGAAAACAGGCTACAAACAGGACTTTTTCCCGTCCACCTTCCCCGCATTGTCGCTTGCAAAGGTCACAGGGACACTTGAACTAGCAACGGTTGTATTGTAGTCGCCTCCTTGTCCTACCGTTCCATTATCTTGATCTGGACTGGTTTTTCACTAGACTTGTTTCCATGGACAAGACTGTGGTTGTTGGGGTTCTTTTGCTTGCTTTTAAAACAAACGTACATGTAACGTCCGAGCCCCAGCCTTATTCTACGCATAATAAGTAAGAAGCAGGACTTGCACTCAATGGACCACGAATAAGAGGGGGGGGGGGGGGGGGGGAAAGGCAGCGGATTGAATGCCAGCATAGATCCAGTAGATGAGATAGAGTCCTATTATTATACGCCCGGTCGCGTACCGTGTTCCTGGATACAACTTCATTTTTCATTGCATACCAGCTACGTCTCAGTTCGAGAAGTCTTTCATTCGTCTGTCAGCTGCTTGAATGTTCAATGAAGAACCAACAAAGCCCTCTCAGCGTCGTGCTAACATGCAAAACAAACAAACCACAAACAAACAAGCAGGCAGCAAAACAAGCGGAAGCAACAAACAAACAAGCGAGGGCGGTCGTTTATATACCAAAAAAAACAAGCTCTTCTCGGGCGTGTTTTTGCTTCTGTGAAATACTTAGAAAAACGGGCAAACAAAGCATCTGTGCGGGCAACTAGGAGTATAGTTCCGAGAAGTTGACACCATGGGAGTTTTTTTTTGGCGGCGTAAATGATGTATTTCGCGTGTTACTCTAGGAGCCGCATGTACTTTTTGCAAGGTACGCGTCTTGCTTCGCTCGCTTCAGCGTATGACTTATTCATCCAAAATATGCGTCATGAATAGAGACGGGAGGAGGAGGGGGGGAGGGGGATATGGGATCGGTCCACTTGAACATCTCGCCCCCTTCGCGCCCCGCATTCCCAGACTTTGGCGTCTTCCCTCGTACTCTACACCGTAGCCCACACCATATCCCACCAATCCACAAGCGCCTCAACGGTCAATCGACGAAATCATCTGTCCATCCCAAACGGAGCTCAACGAGCGTATCCAGATCTTTCCCACCTTTAGAAACCAAAGCATTCAGGATCTTCAAGCAAAGAAAAGGCGTTTCAAACAGAGCAGCAGCAACAGATACAAGAAGACATTGACTAAAATCTCGTCGAGAAGGGCTTCGACTGCCATGACGTGGAGTTGTTATTATCATTATTATTATTATGTCATTTCAGGGCTAGGCTGAGGAGGAAACTCCAGGTCAACCTCCAACACATCCAACTCCATAATGTCTGCCTCACATCCCACGATCGACGCAAGACTGGGCTGGTTACGACCGAGATCACCGTGAACAAACTCTTTGATATATGTTCCAGCTTCAGTGTGCAGGTGAACGACCATGAAATGACCCTCTAATGGAAATGCCTTCAATGAGTGGATCTGCTTCTTGCGAATCATTTGAGCGCGCCTAGTGTATTTCAAATTCAAAAGAATGGTCTTAGCATATAACAGGCAAGGAGATGGCGGCATACTGAGACGTCCAATTACATATGGTGTACATACCTCTGTAGAACTCGGATGGGTGTCTGCTGCTCAACGGAAAAGGACTTGTTAGTGTACTCGTTCACGGCGTCAATCATGTCCTGATCCACTGGGTTTGAAGTCCAGCACAACGCACTGTAACTCTTTGTCTTTGATTCCTCGCCATCCTTGATAACCTTGCAATCCTCGGGCGTGATAGCAGTGAGACGGCGGAGCTGAACCTTGTTTGGCATGATTGTGTTGATCTTCTCCTCTAGCTCTTTAATGATATCGGCCGAGAGGGCGGGTATTCTAGGGTTGATCAACTCGATATAGAATGGTCGTCCGTTGCCCAACATACGAACATTGGCGTCTTCGCGTCCTGCCGTAACGAACTTGTAATCTAAAATGGCCATTACAAAGTACTTTCAGTGAAAAGACGAGATAGTGCATGCAAAAGCAAATCATCCGTTCAATTTAACATGGTCACTACTTACCATCAGCGCGATGTGCTTCCTTGACTGGATCGCAAATAATTCCTGAAACCGAGAGCTCAGCCAAGACTGTCGTTCCTATAGCCCATGGCGTTTGGCTAACATCACGGGTATACTTGAGATAGCGGCCGCCCATGTAAACGGACTCTCTGGTCATTTCAATGCTTTCCAGTTCTGGCTTTGTTGAGATGGCGGTTGGTGGCACTGTTCCTACACTGCATAAGACCGTATTGACGAACAAGGGAACCCTTTGTCAGCACATCCTTTGCTCTGAACCTGACGCCAACATATAGAAGAAAACATAAAGGTATGTCCAAGCAGACACTTACGATGCAAATCGCTCGTCGCTGACGGATGTAAGAGCCTTGACGACGTGATGCCTGCCATCGCCCACAATGATGGTTTTCCTCTATTAAAATCGGGTATTGCGTTGCAGATATTAATACCGATTCGCCATTCACTACGCACGGGAATAACATCAGTGGCGACCAACTTACATTCTCTCGTTTGGACTTGATAATTAAACCTGATTCTTTCATTTTTGAAAGGAATACGTGGTCGTCCTTAGTCTCTTCATGCTTCACGGACACTTGCATCCTGAGTTCGCTCTATTACGCCGAGAACATGGGCCAATTAGCCAGCTTGCCCGACATAACAGTTTGATCCGCATGATAAAAGTTAAAGATATCCCTGTGTCGCTTACCGAAAAGTCCAATGTCAGCCCTGTCTGTCTTTCCACAGGCCAACTGATCAGCAGCTTAAAGATCTCCTTGATGTCAACCTGACTTATTGGGTAGGCCGAGAGTTGTTGGCGCCAGTAAACAGCGATGGCATGGTTCCTGACCAGAGTGCTTGTCGGGAGAGTCACATTCATGTTGAACGTTGTTGTCACATATGCCTCCTTCCGGATCCGTTCCACGATCTCGTCTACAAAGTCCTCTGCATGCTGAACAGTCCCGACACAGGCGATACATAACGGCTCCTGATCCGCAGCATCGAGAGGTTCCGTTACTGTAGCTGTTGCTGTCGGCGCTATTGTGCGGAAACCTGTGAGGATCTCCTTGATCTCCTTGGATGTCAGCTCATAGATCTCATAGTCCCGGATACCGAGGAATCGAAGCATACAGCGGCCACAGCACGATATACTGAAGAGCACATTAATGCATGTTGGATTCCGGGTGAGTTCCTTCAGGCCATCCTGTAAAGCTTTGTCTAGTCTGGCCTTCAGTTCTGCAGAAAGAAAAAAAGGCATGGTCCTAGTGTTAGTCTGGGGAACTTTTTTTTTTTTAAAAGAAGACTGTAAAGAGACCCCTCACCTTCAATGCGATTATCGTCAATGTCTCTCTTGAGTCTCTTGGCCTCATTCTGCAGCTCCTCTGTGTGATGCTTTGTGCTCGCCATGGTCGTTGAATGTCGCAGGATGTGTGCTGTCCAAAGGCCTCTTTCGAGCTGAAGCAACAGGCACAACACAGCTCAGCCACTTGTGGGTGACTGGCGCGATTTTTTTTTTTTTTTTTTTTTTTTCACACCCAGAGCGATCTTTCGTGCCTGAAAAATCAAAGAATATCACGGTCTATTATGTCCTCATGAAATGAATAAAGCTACAGCTGGTGTTTTGCTTATAGCTGCTAAGTTGTTGGCGCACATACTTGGGTCTAGAGATGACGTGGCGATAGTCTAGAGGGAGGTAGGAAGAGATATGAAGTGAGCAGAGGAGACACAACTCCAAAAGAATGTTGTGGTATGGAGGATGTTCCCGCGCTTTGGACGAGCTTAAAGGCCCATTCGGCCAAGAATTGAGTTTCTTTTTTAACCGCGTTTGGACCGAGTCAAACTGTCGGCATTCATGCAGGCTGAACAAAGCAAACAACAGCATGTAGATGTAGATGTAGGTTATCTTTTGGGGTGATGTCTTTGCGATTGGAGCCGATCGGCACCTGCTCGAGACCAAATAGCGGTGCAGGTGAGTGCAGTGGCGCAATGGTGCTGTGACCCAGCAGTAGCAGGGAGTGCTGTAGTACATTCGTGCTGAGATAAGCTTTTTATTTCTTGACCCCATACCTCCATAGACGCTGTTCCTGATGTTATGCCACTGGAATGGAGGCGAGGACAGGGCACGGGATATGGCACACCTGCTCCATGGCCCTCTGGTCCTGCTGGGTCTGGTCTGGTCTGGTCTGGTCTGGTCTGGTCTGACGCGCCAATCAGCAGCCAGCAACACACACCCCTTCCTGCTGCCTTTTGCCTTTTACCTTTACCTTTTATCTTTTACCTTCTACCCGCCACTGTTTCTCATCTCCTCTCCCTCTCTGTCCACCTCGTTTTCATTTCTGGCCCCAGCAACGACGCAGCCATCAACCAAGCGACATTAGCTATATCGGCTCCTGTTCTCCGTTCATTATCTGCCGGAAGCCTAGCCACCGAGAAAAAAAAAAGATATCGTCAGCAAGAGCCCGCGTAGGCCTCCATATCCGACTGACAATACTTGCGTCCCTGACTTAACGAAATCCCTTTCTTCGCAAGGTACCGTACATAGTTTACCGTGACAATTGCAACGAATCTTCTCCGCTGAGCTGCAAAAAAGAAAAGCAACAATGGGTTCACAAATGGTGTCAAAAAAAAAAAAAAAAAAAAAGCGCGTTCTCTGAGCCGTGAAAAATGAGCGGATATATAAAAAGAAGAGATACGCCATCAAGTATGATCGCCCCTTCGAGATTCCTTGCTCAGGAACGGGCTATTGCTGCGAGTTACGTGTTTGTGTGTGCAAGCAGAAGTGCGCTGGAAGAAAGGAGGAACGAGGTTGATGGGATCTGATTCGGCCGAGATAGGATAACATGTTACTTCGCCAGACTGTAGCTCCAGGAAAGATAAGGATTGGAATAGGAACGAGATCGGGAGTGAAATGAGAATGCAAATGAGGATGAGCCTGTGCATGCAAGTGCGATGCTATGCCATGGCATTCTCCGCTTTGGAAGTGTGGACTTCTTTTTTCCTCTTTTCTCTTCAACAAGTTCCCTTCTTTCCTATTACTTATCTGTTTCTTCTCATTCTTTTCTTTCTCCCTTTTTCTCTCGCTTTTTTTTTTCTCCGCCCCTGTTCCTGCACTTCTTCCCGACAACTCCTCGCTTCTCATACTTCTACTTCTTGAACGTCTCTATTAGACACGAATCAATTGGCCTTGGTGCGTCTCTACATCGCTCTTCTCTGCTGTAGCAATCATGTCTACGGTTCATTGCAACCCTATTCATGCCAGCCCACTGCTAGCCTGATATAGCTATGAATACTTATCGTCGCCCACCTTCTGCAAACTTTGGACCTCAATAGTTTGCCTGGTTCCTTAGTTCCGAATGGATCCCACTCAACAGCCCACTGGTCAGACCGTCCCTGGGCCGGAGACGATTAATGGCCTGGATATCGCCCCTCCACGAGCCGACGACGATTTCCCTTCGCCTCAAATCCCGGGACAGGCCCGCTTGAATGAGGCCGTCGGTAAGGCCATCGGTGGCACAGTTATTCCCTCCGACATCCGTCCCGTAGACTTGCCAACCACAGAAAAGCTTGACGCCAAAAGGGCCGAAGCTATCAATGGAGATCAGCCCAGTGCACCATCATCTGACAAAACTGAAAAGGCTCCCACGGTCGCAACTGGAGACGGAAGTCCTGAAAAGGATGCTGCAGTCAAGCCCAGTGTTGTCGAAGACCTCAAGAACCGCATCCCTGGAGCCTTCCCAACCGTGACACGAATCGGCTGGATCGAGGCATACAAGCGCACTGATGGTCCCACTAACGAGTTTCGTGACAAGTCCATTTGGATGGAGGAGTTTGCGAGCAGTGCTCTGTTTGGCGCCTTCTGGCACAATGCCGCCGCCCTCTTTGTGATTCCGGTCGTTTGCTTCGCTGTCTTCAAACTTGGAGGCGGTTTTGTGTCCTTGGTTCTAATCATTGCCTTTGGTGGTAAGTGCCCTATGGAGTATTTCGCCGGCTGCGATAGGGTGGATGGACTATATAGTATTCTGCTGCAATGCAACAGCAGAAAGGGGGGAGGAACGCGCTGTCAAAGCGTACAGCATGTTCAGACTGAACTCTGCCTGACTTATTCGCTATTCATGCTCTCACGCTCTCACTCCTACTAGCTACGTATTATAAGAACTCAATCCGTCGCTTCCGTCGCAACGCAAGAGACGATATCACTCGCGAGTTGATCAAGAACGCGGTATGTCTATTTTTGATCTTAGCGTGTTGAATAGCATTCTTTCTGCTTGTCTGTATGTTTGCCTGTCTAATTCATCCCCGCTGTGCTCATGGATAGCTTGAGAATGATGTTGAGACGACCGAGTGGATCAATAACTTCATGTCCAAGTTCTGGTTGATCTACGAGCCCGTTCTCAGCTCGACGGTCGTACAGACTGTCGACGGCATCCTGGTCGACCAGACGCCCGCCTTTCTCGATTCCATCCGACTAACCACCTTCACTCTGGGAACCAAGGCTCCTCGCGTCGAGAGTGTTAAGGCATTCCCCAAGACTGACCCAGATGTGGTGGTAGGGTTATTTTTATTCCTTGGCTCCATAACATTTGGTTCATTGGACCTGCGCTCTTTTATGTCAATAATTTTTTCTGCGGTTTCATGGAGCAGTCCATTCTCGCCTGTGGGATTAAAGTTTCACTGTATCATACGCTTACTCGCTACGGTTCCTTTTGAACGTTTTTTTTTAACTGTAGTTGATGGACTGGCGTGTGTCGTTCACGCCCACGGATATCGAGGACATGACTCCCAGACAGTTGCGTACCCAGATCAACCCAAAGATCTGCCTGACTATCCGTGTCGGCAAGGGCATCATCGGTGCTGGCATTCCCATTCTTGTGGAGGACATGTCCTTCAAGGGACACATGCGCTTCAAACTTAAGTTGATGTCGAATTTCCCCCATGTCAAGACCGTTGATTTCTGCTTCCTTGAACCCCCAGAGATCGATTATGTTCTCAAGCCTGTTGGCGGAGAGACTTTTGGAATGGATATCATGAATGTAAGTGCTCTCTTTATCATCTCGCTCGCTTCTGTTCTTATCCCAAAACAGTCGGATTATTACGCTGTCTAACGTTGAGCCATATTACTATGCTAATGCACCAAAAATAGATCCCAGGATTGCAATCCTTTATCCGTGATCAGACCCATGCGATCCTGGGACCTATGATGTACGCTCCCAACGTCTACACGCTTGATTTGGAGCAGATGATGACTGGTGGCGCATCCCTAACTGCCGCAGCTGGTGTGGTGCAGTTCACGATCTACAATGCCAAGGACCTCAAGAATACCGAGCTGGTTGGAAACTCGGATCCCTATTGCAAGATTCGCCTCGGTAACCGTCCTGAGCTGGCCACTACCGCTGTGAAGGAGGACACGTAAGTTTTATTGCTCCATGCGATGATTACGGTCATGGATATGGATAAAGGCAAGTTCTTAGTCTCACGCGTCTTGCTGACAACGACGTGCTGCAAACTTTTCTCTGAATAATAGCCTGAACCCTGTCTGGAACGAGACCAACACCATTTTAGTCAACAACTTGAACGAGGTCGTCTGTATGGAGCTCTTTGACAAGGATAATGTTCGCAAGGATCGCCCATTGGGTCAGGCCAACTTTGACTTGAAATCACTGGAGGAGGACCCTATTCAGGACGACGTCTGGTGCAAAGTGCTTCGCAACGGCAAGGAGCGTGGAGCGGTTCGTGTCCGTGCTGCCTATTTCCCTGTCCAGGTCCCTCAACCTTCTGCAGATGGTACCACGATGATCCCAGTCGAGTCCAACTCTGGTATTTTGGCAATTAATCTTGCGCAGGCCAAGGACATTGCTCGCTCCGGCAAGACAAAGTCGCACTGCGAGGTCTATCTGAACGGAAAGGTGGTCCATACTACCAAGAGCATGAGCGGAGCCAGCCCCGCCTGGGGCGCAGATCTCGACGTCTTTGTCACCGACCTTGAGGCCGCTCAACTTACCGTCGAGGTTATTTCCGACAGCCACGTCATTGGCTCCTATGGTGTCTCTGCCAAGAAGCTGATTAAGGATACTACCGACAAGGTTGACTGGGTTAACCTCCAGGGCGGTGAGGGTATTAGCAAGCTGAAGATAAATGGTGTCTGGAAGCCCATCCTGATGAGCGACGACATGAATCCTTCCGCCCACAAGCCTGCATTTGGAGTGATTCGTATCCAGATGCTTGGTGCGCGAGAACTTCGCAATGTCGAGATCGGAGGCAATTCAGACCCTTACGTCGTCATCACCGGGGACAAGGGTATAAGCCGTGGGCGCACCAAGGTCATCGACAGCAACTTGAACCCTGTGTGGAACGAAATCTTCTACGTTGCTGTCAACTCCATGAAGCAGACGTTCGAGTTTGAATGCTTCGACTTCCAAAAGGTCACGAAGGACAGGACATTGGGCAGGACCGAATTTGCTGTGGCAGAGCTGGTTGAGGAGCTTCCGGACAAGGCAGGATATGTTGCTCGTCCGGCTATCGATAGATGGGCTCCATTGAAGCAGAAGGATGGCAGCACCAAAGGTGAGCTTCATTATGAGCTCTCATTCTATCCTTCTCTCAAGCTTGCCCAGGAAGCCACGGAGGCCGAGAAATCCACTGCAGCTGTCCCTGCCGAGAAGATCGAGACTGTTGAAACCGTGGATCCATCGCCTAGCAATCTAGAGAATTCTATCAGGGCCCCCACCGAGGCTGCTGCGGTCACTTTGCCGCCAGGAACTATTCCCGCACAGGAAGCCTTGGATTATGATTCTGGTATTCTGGTCACGCACCTGATCGGTGCTCAGCTGGACCGCTCAGGCACCTACTGCGAGTTCTATATCGACAGCGATAGCTATCAATTCAAGTCTCAGCTGCAAAAGTCTCGCAACCCCAAGTGGAACGAAGTTGCAGACATTTTCGTCAAGGAACTCGAGTATGCCAAGCTCATTATTGTAGTTAAAGAGAAGTCGTCAGTGGATAAGGACCCTGTTGTTGGCGTCTTTACGCAGCACATCCGCACGCTTCTCGAGACCACCCCGGCCGACGGGGCAAGCTTCCCAATTGTGGACAAGCATGACCAGCGCGGATCTTTGCACTTGAAATTTGAATACCTCCCTGTGAACATCGAGCTCTTGCCCAAGGAGCGTCTCGATAGTACGTATTGTTATTGTTTTGCATTCGGCTCGTGTGTGCGCACTTGTTTCCTACGTTGTCCGTATACTGATTTCTATTCTGTTCTTTACAATTGACGTCCGGTAGACATGGGCAACTTGACCGTGAACCTTGTGCGTGCAAAGAATCTGATTGCCGCTGATCGAGGCGGCGCTAGTGACCCATATCTTGTGTTCAAGGTGAATGGCAAAGAGGTCTACAAGTCCGAGGTGGTCAAGAAAACCCTGAATCCTGAGTACAACGAGTCCTTTGTCGTGCCAATTGTAAGTATCATCACTGCCCACCGTATCCGCATCGCTCTTCTCGTATTGGGTGATGACCACTGATGACCTTCCGTCCCTTTTCTTCTCTAGTCGTCTCGTGTTGACGACCAGTTTACATTCGAGGTCTTTGACTGGAACCAGCTCTCGACAGCCAAGTCACTTGGTGTTGGCTCTCTGAATCTGCGCAACATTCAGCTCGTTTTGCCTAATGACTTCCTGGTATCTTTGCGGAACAAGCACAACCAGGGAGAAGTCCAGTTGCGTATCAAGTTCATGCCCGAGTTCTTGTCGGCAAGTAAGAAGGCAGGATTTGCTTCGACTTTTATTGGAGGAGTGGGTCAGGCCGGCATGGCTGGTGTGGGAGTCGTTACTGGTGGTGTGGGTTTCATGGCAGACGGTGTTGGAGCAGTCGGACAGGGAGCCTTAGATGTTGGCGGTGCAGTCGGCAAGGGCGCTCTGAAGGGCGTGGGCACTGTTGGAAAGGGCGTTGGTACTGTTGGCAAGGGTGTCTTTGGTGGCATCTCCGCAGGAGCCTCGGCCCTTGGACTTCGCAAGGATAAGTCGGATTCGCGAGCATCGCTGGATTCGCTTCCACCTGCGCCTGCACCTGTGCCTGCACTCGCACCTACACTCGCACCTGCACCTGCGCCTGCGCCTGAAATGACAACAGCTATGATGCCTCAGTCGTCAGATATCAATAGTCAGGCTACAGTCCGTCCTTCAAACTCAGAGACTTCGTTGAATGTCGTCTCGTCTTCTGTTCCCCGCACAAGTGTTGGATCGGTCCGGTCGCATACATCCATGGGTCTTGAAAGCGGAGATATTGTTGGTGAACCCGGCAACCTAACGATTCATGTGGTTGAGGCTGACGGCCTCTTGGGTGTGGACAAGAGCGGCACCAGTGACCCCTATGTCAGAGTGTCGATCGGCGGCAAGTCCCTGTTTAAGACTAAGGTCAAGAAGGAGAACCTGTCGCCCAACTGGAGCGAGTCTATGGTGGTTCCCAATCTGACGGGACACCCAGTGACGATCAACTTCATGGTCCGCGACCACAACACGATCGGAAGCGACAAGGACCTGGGCGAGTTTGAGCTGCGTCTGTGGGAGTACATCCAGCCCAGCACGGATGCCCATCCAGGCGAGTACAGGGCAGACTTTTGGGGACCATTGAGCGGATCAGGCGGAAGGTTGCATCTTGCTCTTGAGTTCGAACCTTCGCTCGAGGGCGCCAAACAGAAACGCGGTCTTTTTGGCCGGAAGTAATCGAAGGTGATTCTGGTAAAAAAAAAAAAAAAAAGGTCTGCAGCGCTCATACAGGCAGACAATTATCTTTGGGTACTATATTTTTTTCTTCATTCTTTTAAAGACCATCCTGTGTACATAAAACAATTGTGAATATGCCAGTAATGCAACAATGATACCGTTTGATGATGGATGTATGAGTTTATTAAGTTCAGCTTTCTTGCAAGCACTGCTCCTGACGTGAAGCAAGAGGCTGCGTCTATTCCTCTTCGTCGTCTTCATCATCGTCGTCGTCGTCGTCGTCCGACTCTTCTTCTGAATCAGACTGCTCCAGGAACTGAATCATCGGGGTGGCCTATGAAGATAAGTGTTGTGAACAAAGTCGTGTTAGGAGACAATTGGCATTGATACAGATTAAACATGCTGATTCATGTCGCTGACGGTCTTACAACTTCGCGCAGCCGCTTTTCGGTCTCAGTGCCCTGCTGGCTCTTATCAGAGCGGTACCAGTTCAAGATCGAGTCCTCTTCTGTGATATCCTCGTCGTAAAAGTATCGCAGCGCAGGCGCAAAGACCTTTTGTGCCTGAGTGCTGTCCTCGTGCAATCCTGCACATGCCCGCTGCAGAATAAACAGTCCGTCGATTTGATCTGCCTCGTCGTGGATCATCCTGCCAATCAAGGGTCCCCATCGAACCAGGACCTCCTTGACCGTCGTTTTTGAGCCAGGCTTCGCAGATAGATCTATGTTCTTCAGCACGCCGGGAATAATCCGCTTTCGCATCTCGTGAAAGTTCGAGTTCGAGGCCATGCGCAACGTGTTCAACTCTAGGGCCGCAATATCAACCTCGTGACCCTCTTTGAACGCACGCTCTAATGTCTGTGCAATCTCGCGGTCCAGCTCCTCGGCCGTGTTGACCTCTTCCTCCTCCACATCCGAGGCCTCGCTCTCGAACTCCGACGCAGATTCCTCCTGCGCCTGCCTATCCAGCTTGAGGGCCGACATGTCATAAGCCAGGCGGTTCACCTGCTTGTTTCTAGGATCAGCCTCATCGTCCTCATCGTCCGAGTCCTCTGCCTCCTTGAAGGGACGACCCCTGCCAGTGGGGCCTACAAATGCAGGGTCCGAAATCAACTCCGTGACCGAATTCTGATCTTCGTCCTCTGCCAATGCTGTTAAACGAGAATACGCTGGTACTGTCGTATTGGCTCCGATAGTTACGTTGAACGAGATCAAACATCCCTTGTTGACAGTGACATCCTTTTCCAAAACGGCGCCGTTGGCAATGATACTGTGCTGGACTACGCAGTTGTCCTTGATCGTAACATTATCCCAAATGTAAGCATTATCAATCTTGACATTGGCGCCTATCAGCGATTGACAAGATTATGTGAGATTAATAGAAACCACAACTCATGTCTGACGAGAAAATGAAAATAAAAAAAATAAAATAAAAAGTAAAGAGAAAAAGAATAGCTAGGGTACTTACCAATAACGCAGTTCTTGCCAATAACACAATTTGACAACACGGCGTCCTCGGCGATCTGAGTCCTAGCTCCGATGACAACCTTCTCCTCAACAACACAGGTCCTCGACAGCACCACGCTCTTTTCCTTGTAGACCAATCCCCGTCTGAACTCATAACAGTCTCCAGCCTGCAAGTTGCTGTCTGGAACCATGGGGAACGTCCATCTCGAGATGATATCCTTGCTCACTGCGTCATACATCTGTGTACTCCGGACCCTGGCCGCATAAACGTCACTGACCTCATGGAAATGAATCGTCTTTCCCAAGAGATCCGACGTCAGGATGCCATGGACAAAATCCGCACGAATGTCCTGGTAATCAAAGTTCTCTGTAAACAATGCCGGTACTTCGACAGAGCAGATGTCGACCTGACAATCAATCAAATCGTTGCGGACCTGCACCTCCGGGTGCTTGTCAAAGATCTCCATGTCCATGGTCATTCTCCGATCCCGACGTGTGCTCTTAAACGCCTTCAAGGGCTGGTAATGTAAGCATTCCTTGGAGGACTGGTCCAGAACAAAGAGCGATCCATCTCCAACAGCGCTATAACATAGCAAAAAGAAAATGAAGAGAAACAACAGTTATTTTTTTTTTTTTTCGATCAGGTCTTGTGCCACTTGTTTTTGTATGTCTGCAGTTCAGATGGTCCACAAGCAAACATGGAGCAAAAGAAAAGTGTCATGGTGACTCATTCATGAAAACAAGAAAAATTACCGACTCCTGTGCTGCGGACTAGCCTTCTTGAGAACCATGGTCATGATTGCACTCTTATCAGCCTGCCGTCTTGCGCGATGCTCCTCCAGAACCTTATCCAGCTTCATATTCGAAACCACATCTCCATTGACGAGAATAAAGTCAGTGTCGATCAGTTGCTTCGCATCCAGCTCTCTCATAGCGTCTCCAACAGACATGCACTCCTGAGACACGATCGTATGGATCTTCATGTTCGACGACTTTCCATATTGCCTAACGTGTTATTTTTTGGAGAAGGAAGAAAAAAAAACAAGAGAAAAGCCGAGAATAAAAAATGCCAATGAGTCGGATATTTGTCTAGGATTGCTGTCGTATGGGGGCAATTGAGCTAAATAGTTGGCTTTTCCTGGTTTGAAAGAATGAGTCTTACTTAACAAAGGCCTTGACCTTATCCGAGTGCGAGCAGCAAAACACAAAGATCTCCTGTACACCGGCGACGGCCAAGAACTCGAATGTGTACGAGATTAATGGGACATTGCAGAGCGGCAACAAGCACTTCATAAATCAATAAGGCACAAAATCACACGTATGTTTTGTTCACAGTTAGTTCCCTGTTTGGTAGTCTAGTCGTTCAGTCCTCTCCCCTGTAGGTTTTTTTCTCTCTCTTTCTGGAACCGATCAGAGTCAGGACGTACGCGTGCTGTCTGGAGGGTAATGGGCTGGAACCGCTCGTCAAAGCTGTCGGCGAGAATGACAGCCTGCAGAACCTGCTCTGTTGATTCGACTTTCTCCTTGGGTGGCATTTTACGAAGCGAAGACTTGTGAGGGATGTGTCAAGAAGCAACCTCTTTGTCGCGAGCGCAGAAAGCTGAAAAGATCAACAGAGTCACGTGTAGTTCGGTCGCATGTAGTCACTTTCAAAATCGCAAGGGTCGCGTCCACTTAAACATGCTGACCAGTGCACGCTCGCGTTGCGGCGGCACATTCTCGTCCTCTTTTTTTTTTTTTTTGGCTGGATGTTTATTGTACAAGATGCTACAAGGATACGGATGCCATGACGTGGAAATACATACATAGTTATTAGATAGAGAAGGAGAATGGAGAGCATCCGAGATCCAGAATAGAGCCGTGGGTGTATTTATACAATGTTATCACCCTGGGTGTGATGGCGCTGCTGCGTGTTGGAGCCGTTGTAAGCCTCGACTGCCGAGGAGGTCGAATGGACAGAGCGGATTGAAGCCTTTTCAGCGTGCAGGCCACCCATGCGAGGATGGTTGCCGTGTGCAGCCGAGCCATGTACGTGATGGTGATCAGGGTTGTACTCCTCGGATTCAACTTCGTCCATGGCAAGGGTCTCGGGAGTCTGACCGGCCTGACGGGCGTGCCAGGCATCGTTGCGGAACTCACCCTCCCAGCGCGAAACCACGGCGCAAGCGGTCATGTTGCCGAGCACGTTGATCGAAGTACGGGCCATATCCATGAAGGCATCGACACCCATAATCAGAGCCAGGGGAGCCAGAGGGATGTTGGCGTTCGTAAGAGTCGAGGTCAAGACGATGAACGAGGCACGTGGGACGGCAGCAACACCCTTGGAGCTCAGCATGAGGGTAATCATGATAACGATCTGCTCGCCCACAGACTTGTCAATGCCGGCAACCTGGGCACAGAAGATTGAGGCAAGAGCTAAATAAAGAGTCGATCCATCCAAGTTGAAGGAGTATCCGGTGGGGATCACAAAGGCGACAATCTCGGGAGGGCAACCGAAGGCGACCATGTTCTCCATGGCCTTGGGAAGCGCAGACTCAGACGAGGCGGTAGCAAAGGCCATGATGAAAGGCTGGCCGACAGCTTTGGCATAGTCCTTGAGAGGGAGGCGGCAGATGACGACGACGGGCAAGATGATTATCAGCGCAAAGATGATCAGGGTAACATAAAGGGTTCCGACCAGCTTCCCTGCAGCAGCTAAGGCACCAAGACCATACTTTCCAACCGTGGCAGCAATGGCGCATCCGATACCGATGGGGGCATAGTTCATGACGAGTTCCACAACCTTGAACATGATGGCGGACAGCGAGGCGTTGAAGTCTAGCATGACTTTCTTGGACTTTGCGTCGGCTCTCATGATTGCGACAGAGAACATGACGGCACAGAAGACGATGGCCAAAACGGCGGCGTGGTCAGACATGGCGGCAAAGAAGGACTGGGGGACGATTTTCTCCATCTCATCGACCCAAGTGATGGGCTTGTTATCGCCTGTGGGCGCAACGAGACCATCCATGCTGAAGCCCTTGCCGGGCTTGGCAATGTTGACGGAGAGAAGACCGATGATGAGCGCAAAGGTAGTGACGACCTCGAAATAGACGATGGACTTGACGGCTAGGCGGCCGATTCTGATCAAATCATCTCCATGTCCAGCAATACCGACAACCAATGTTGAGAAAATCAGAGGACCCTGTTATTTCCGAAAAATGTAGTTTTACATATTAGTTGTGGTGGATTGCGGCCCAAAAAAAAAAAATCCACATGGGCGTTTTAACGATCCACAAACAGCACAGCTCCGTTATGCTATGTTTGTTGTTTTGCTGTTTCAGCGAAGCACGTACCACCACGGTCTGAATCATGCGGACGAAGAGACGTCCCATGGGCTCGATCTGGACAGCAAAGTCGGGTGCAAATTTGCCGACGATAATACCGACAATCATACTGATGATGATCCAGACAGTCAGGTTTGTATACCTGCGCAGGAGGCCGAAGACATACACGAACGGCGCCAGGACGCTGAGGGCAGCGGTCGCAACCTTGCCGCGCTGCTTCGCTGGCTCATTTGCGTAGATGGCCGGGGTCTCGGTCTCGGCCTCCTTAAGTTGGAATGGGTTCTTCATTAAGACGGCTGTAGAGTGGTACTTGTGATGGACTGAAGGGAAAAGTTGATTGGCAGGGTGCAGGCGGTTGAAAGGGTTTTTTTGGTTAATTAAGATGATACATGCGAGCACTTGATATGTCTCAGTTTTTTTATTCATACTCGGCAGAACAAGAGACGAAACTGTATCGCAATCGCAATGGCAATCGCAATGGCAAACAACCGAATGGGTTGGGTGGCGTGTGTTTGAGTAAATGGATTACCTAGAGGATGACAACCAAATCCGTGGGAAAGTAGGAAAGTAGAAAAGACGAGACCGGCGGCTGAAGAAACGAGATTGGGAAGTGAACGATACACAAGAAGAGAGCTGCAGGAGGAGGATGACAAGAAAGAAGGATGGTGGTAACAAAAGAAAGGAAAGAGAGTGGGAAATGGACAAAGAATCCCAGGTATTTATACGCTTAAAGAAAGAAAAGGTATGCTTGCGCATCCCAGTATCCTTTTATGGCCTGTATTCACTTTCCTTACCATGCCTTCAGTCGTATAAGGGTTTCTTTTTCTTTTTTTTCTTTTATTCAGTTTTTCTACAAGTACTATGCATGCCTACATGGCTATGCTACTACGCCTTATTATGGCGTTGTCCTCAGACTGGGTTGAGGCACCTTGCTGAGGCACACGCTTCTGCAGTCCACCCATCTCCGCCCCTTTCTCCCACACCCTGAAGATCCCATGCAGAAAACCACTGCTTTGCATTACATGGACATTCATGGCACGGTACGACACTATAAAAAGTCCGATAAAGGAGCTGAGGAGCCAAGGAGTAGAAGGAGGGTGTGACCATAGCCCTTTGTGCCATCAAATGACTGCAATTACTTTTTAACTCTCGACAGCTCCCCACACTGCCACACATGGTCTCGCTCTAAAGAGTCGATACATGTAACTGGTAGTCAACCTTTGCTCTTTGGACTACTCCTTGTTTCCAATGAAGCAGACCTCCCTTACAACCTGGTTTGGATGGGGGAGGTCAAGATCGACTCGATGGAAGGAATTGAATTATTCGTACTCAACTCTTAACTCTTTAGTGCAAATATGCTTCTACATATCTGCTCATCTGTCCACAGGCGACTTATTGCTGGCTCGGTTGTGTTTTTGGCCCTTTTGTCCCTGGATTTCTGGCTTTGAGACTAAACAGGGTTATAGTCCACACTAAGTTTAAGATCATCGTAATTCATTAAGAAATACACTTTCTCTTTTCTGCTTCTTCCATGGGATGGGATGACATGGCATGCTCAGGTATAGACAGGGAAGGCAGCCCGAGGAGAGAGAAGAAAAAGGGCCCGCAGATGCAGACATCCGTTTTGACTGAAACAAAGTGCTTGTACTCTACGGGTGGGAATGAAATCTGCATGGATTCTGGAACCCTAGCTATGGAGGAAAGCTTCACTCTGTCTTTTGGCCGTTTTTTTACGTATTCCGCTTAAGTGGTCTGTTGTTGTTATTACTTTTTTTATTTTGTGTGCACTTCAGTAGAAGGAGGGATAGATGGTCAGTTAGTCCACAGTACTTCACTGTTATTACCGAAATATGCGTCCTCGATCACACTTGTGCAACCGTCCCGAGGACATCACTTTGATTTTCCCTCAGCCCTCGGTTCCGTGCCTTTCTTTTTACCAGGTTTAAACAGCACATACGCTAAACACGCTCTCTGTGTGTCGTGTGAACGGAATTCGAGTGTTTTATTTGTTTGTGTTTGTTTTGATTACCGGATTTATTAGCAGCAAGAAGCACATCCCTATCCCTTGACATACGCTTGACGACCTATTTGTCGACTCTTGTCCATCCTCTCATCCTGAATTGACTGTTTTCAACCGCCTATCGTGTCCTGCTGCCGTTGTCGGCTCCATATTTTTGCAGAGTAAAAAAGGACAGGGAGTGCATTTGCATCGCCACATCGCACCACTTGACAGCGTTTTCACCAATACAGATGTAGGGTATACACAGAGATTCTTCCTCAGATTCATTCGTTGTACAGTAGACTGCAGCATTCTGTTCGTGCCATCCTGTATTTTCTTTATCTCTAGTCCATTCGTGATTTGGGTTTCATAGTGGATGCGCTTGTTCGCATTAAGGTTCGCCGTTCTTAAAATTAAGGTTTGTTCTATTCCCTGGTCCTCTATCTCAGACACGCCCACCACTAGAACGACGCCGATTTCGCCGTTAAGCCGCTCATCAGTCTTTTTGCCCTATTGGCCATGAGCTTCAACGCCGGGGGCGAATCCGCGCCTAGTTTGTGGTAGGCTATGTTCTCATTGAGCTTTTTTTTTTTTTTTTTTTTTTTTGGAAACCAGCTCGTATTGGATAACCATTCCTTTGAATGGTTAACACGCTCCTTCATCTGAACCCAAGCAGCAGGGCCCCGGTAGGGTGAAGATCGGACATTGTAAAGAGTACCAATGTTTAGTTCTACCTTCCCAAAGATACTCCGTGGGCACATCGGGATGTTGTCTAACTCCTGGCTTTTTTTCATTTTTTAGGATTCTGCCTTCTTATGGTTGAGTTCCGATTGCCCAATGGCTGCTTGCCGGAGAGTTTTTTCATGGTCTAGTTCATGCTATACTTTGGTACCGGACTAACTTGGTAATCCCTGCTAGCTCTGTGCTGCGAAAAAAGAAGTCCTCATGTTTTTCGATAGCAAACTCGGCACCTTCCTGCTGTGTAATTCCGTGAGAGTTTAAGCGACCACACTTCTAAAAGAGCGAAACACCTTTTTTCGGGGAATAGTGGCAACGACAAAGACTCGGCCACCAAAGTGCACTCCGTGCATACCGTTTCCTTGTGAACCCTGTAACTCTTTACTCTTTGTGCCGTTACTTTTTGTCGATCCGATAGACCACTCCAACTGTGAGTCTATCGTCCGTAGATAAATAGAAGGCCCTGTTTGACTGTTGCTCATTGGCTTTCTAGCACTTGACGTAAAGTACTCCACAGCTCACTTCGTTCCTCGCTCTCTATGGTTTCACTTAACCTCCAGTAGCCTCTTATTTACCTCTGGATCCTTCTTGTTACTTTTACTGTCGATTCCCTCTATTTTATTGCACTCTGCATCCAAATTCCTCACGAGGGTTCATTTGGATATGCTACGCCCCTCAATCTCTGCCAATTACAACATCCCCCATACCCTGGCCGCACTTTGCATTTAAAGTTCTATGCTTCCTGAGCGGCAGACTACAACATGTACAACAATGGCTTCGAAGACGCCAACCATTTCTTTACGTTTGTTCTAGTATCAACAGGTGGTCCCATAAGGTAAATCCATTAGGTCAGGATCCAACGGTTCAAAAATGGTAGGCGACGCGAATATCCGATGCGGACCAAATATTCGGCAACGTCTAACGGAGACCAACATAGCTAGAAATCCACAAACGCGTCTATTTTTTTTATTGGCACTCCAATTGATTCATACGGTGCTGTCATGGTTCTACTTGGCGCGTTCTGTAGCACGAAAACGAGCTAAAGATCCTCGGTCATGAATGACGAGCGAGTATGAAGCGAACGAGTTCCGTCGTCATTGACAACCGACGTGTTTACGTCCATCGAGCGCCAATGGGAAAGAGTTTTACAGAATGGATTGGCTATCAGGTCTAAGAGGTCAAACTTTTGCGTCTGCTATGGTAATGCAACCAAAAGAGCGTTGCTGAGAACGAGTCAGCTGCGTTTTTTTACAGTGGGAATAAATAAGCAAGAGATGACGGAGTCAAGCTGAAGAAGTTGCGTCGATGATATAGGTCGTGCATTGTCCAAGCAGACATGCAGATGCAGATGCAGATGCAGATGCATATGCAGCTGCAGGCAACGGTATACATCCATGGATGGATCCATGTGCGATCAAGCAAGAAAAAGAAAAGTGCCTCACCAATCGAAGACAGCACTGCACAATGCACGTTGACAACACCATGGATGGATGGTGTTATGGGCAACCAACTTCAGCCAACCTTATTTCCCTCCCTCGCACTGCAGTGGCCAATAATCCATAATCCACCCCTTCATTTCGTCATTGAGGGCAACCTTGTGTATACGATGACACGCACTCGGACCATTACAGCATACATCTTTTTACTAGAGGCCAACTGCACAGGGCACTCGACCCCCTTCCTCCAAAGAAAAGAGCGCGATTGAGATTCGGGATTCGAGATTCGAGATGATGATGACCACCAATGTTGTCATACTCCTCATTCCTCTTTTTGCTTGCTGTCGTTGGCCGAGAACACTCTTTTCTCTTTACAGGCAACAGGCAACTGGAATCCACCAGAAGTATGCTGTTGTTACTGAGAAAATTCATTTTTCTGCGTGTATGATAGCGTTAAAAGCTAGATGCTCCCCCGCTTCTTTTTTCTCTCGCCTCGCTCGTCTCCAAGCACCAGGTTCTTGTCTCACAGTCATCATCATCATCATCATCATCACTATCCTTTTCTTGACACCACAGCGAGATTGAACAATCGACTCAATGTCTCCAATCATTGCCACGCTCAAGAACTTTATCCGCTACGGCCATAAGAAGCAGAAGAACTCGTCCCACCACCCCTCGTCCCCTTCTTCCACTCCTCGCACCATGCAGAACCGAGACTCTGGCACCGGCTTCACCTCTACATCCAACTCACCCCGACACTCGCGCTCTCTCTCCTGCTCACACATGTCACAGTCCACCTCTGCCTCCAGAAGTTCCTCCCCCACTCAAGATTCTGGCAATATGATTCATAGCAACAATATCGATACCAACAACCACAACAATACCAACGCTTATGCAGCATCATCTGCTCAGCACTTTATTGCTGCGCCTGTGAACACTGCCGAGGCACACCATCACCACCAACAACAGCAACACCAACAACAGAAGCAGACTAAGAATACCAGGAACAACAACAGCTATAGTGATACCGCAGCAGCTTATGGCGTCAATGGCAACACAGAGGCCGCATCGAGGATGGTTGCTGAAGCGAACCAGCAGAAAAACATGATGCCGACCTATCCAGGATTAGAGCGCTTCACGCTTCTGGAAAAGATGGGAGAGTAAGTGTCTGCACTGTGCAATGTGTCTATGTGCCAATGACGGGGTCCCACATTCAGGGGACTTTTTGTATCAATAATTACAGATCCCATTCGCAAAAAAAAAAAAGGGGGGGGGAAGGAAGGGGGCCAGGCTGGTTGGCGCAACAGGGTCCCAGTGAGGTTCTTTCCCATTCGTACGTTTTTTTTTGCCTCAAATTTCTTTGTTCTCATGACGACATTATGTCATCATTGTCCTAAGCATCATCATTATCAGCATCACCCCTATTCTCGTTCTCTCCGCCTTTCTTGCCAATAAGGGACCTGTGTACTGGACACCACGTCTCTTTGTACTGTAGTTCTGCTGCTGCTGCGTCACTAGAAAGCATCTATGAATTGCTATCATAATACCCGGTCGTTTTGTCCTGATTGCATATCATTTGGTTCCCATTCTCCCATCGCCATCACTATCGTCAACATCGTTCACACATCCTCTGTCGGATCTGTACCCTATTGCTCAGAACAAGCTAGTTCCTCGTTGCATGCCTAGTTGGTGACAGAAAGTCAGGGAGTCATGGGCTGTAACTGTAACGCTGACTATTTCCCTTGTTTCAGCCAATCAACACGTCTCATTTAAATGAGCTTGAATTGCCACCAATCTAGCACAGTACATTTGTCTCCCTAAACGCAAACTAACCTGTCCTTTGTACCACACTCGCCCCTGTTTGTTTTCTTAGTGGTGCTTTCAGCAACGTGTTCAAGGCCCATGACACCAAGACTGATCGCGTGGTTGCTATCAAGGTTGTCCGCAAGTTTGACATGAATGCCCACCAGGTAACTTGTCATATCTACTGCTCAATGAACCATCTCGCGCATCCTTGCATCCATCCACCCATCTATTTATCAGCTTAGGATGGCAAAAAATGTAACAGCGTCTAACCGCGTTTCTTGGTATTTCTATTTGGACCCATCTTTTAGAACAAACATCTGCATCGCGACATGAAAAAGAAGCCGCGTGTGACCGAGGTAGGCATCAGATTTCTGCGTCTAGGCCAGCTTCAGACGGTTTAAACCCTCCATCTAATCCTCACCATTGTGTTGTCCATCTATCTGTATATTGGACGTATCGTTATCACCTGTAGAGGGCCAACATTTTGAAGGAAGTTCAGATCATGCGTCAGCTGAACCATCCAGGAATCGTCGAGCTTTACGACTTTTCTGAGTCAGACGAATACTACTTTCTCGTATTGGAGTTGGCAACGGGCGGCGAACTCTTCCATCGCATTGTCAAGCTGACATACTTTTCAGAGGATCTGGCGCGGCATGTCATTGTCCAGGTCGCACAGGCGATCCGCTACTTGCATGAGGAAAAGGGTGTCATCCATCGTGACATCAAGCCCGAGAACATCTTGTTCGAGCCCATTCCTATCATCCCCTCTCCTCCCGGTTACAAGCCTGATGAGGATAAGGAGGACGAGGGTATCTTCCAACCTGGTATTGGCGGAGGCGGCATTGGACGAGTCAAAATTGCAGATTTCGGATTGTCGAAGGTTGTTTGGGACGAGCACACAATGACGCCCTGCGGTACTGTTGGATACACCGCTCCGGAGATTGTAAAGGATGAGAGGTACTCAAAGTCGGTCGATATGTGGGCGCTTGGTTGTGTGTTGTACACACTGCTGGTTGGCTTCCCTCCATTCTACGATGAAAGTATCCAGGCATTAACGGAGAAGGTCGCGCGCGGTCAGTTCACATTCCTGAGTCCCTGGTGGGATGAAATCTCTTCTGAAGGTACGTTCTACAATGTTGTTGACGATCGTCTGTTTGTTCTTGGCAGCTTATAAGGAAAATTTTGTGCAAGTGAGCTGACCGATGGTCCTGCAATTCTTTCGAATGCCTTTTTTATTCTCCCTATCTAGTCAAGGATCTCATCTCACATTTATTGTGCGTGAACCCCCATGAGCGATACACGATCGATCAATTCTTGGCCCATCCCTGGATCAAGGCTGGTGAGCAGCCCATGGCCAAGGACGCTGTCAAGAGCACGATTCCAGAGATTTCAGTTGCCTCGCCTATGTTTGCAGAGAACAAGATCCTGGCTGGAGTGGCCGCTATGACGCCAGACTATGGCTCACCCAGAACCCCCAGGACACCGTACAGACGCAGAGCCGAGAATCCGTTGTCTCCGGGTGTTGGTCTTAAGGAGGTCTTTGATGTGTCGAATGCGGTTCATCGTATGGGTGAGGAGTCGCGTCGTCGACACACGCCACAACCCGGGGGACACCAGTCATTGGAAACACGCCAGCGCCAGGCATTTATGACACAGTTGAATGAGGAGGACGAGGAGGGCGAGCATTCGGATGAGTCTGGATCCGGGTCGAATATGAGCGAGGATGAAGTTATTGCAGCTAGTATGGATGGAGTGCGAATCAATGGACAGGAGCAAAAGCAGGACATGGGCGTCCTTCACAGACAGCAGAAGGAGTACCAACGTGCACAAGAGCAGATTGCGGCAGAGAATCACAGCAAGTACTTAAGGCAGCAGCAGCAGGCAGGCGTGGCGGTTCCATCGCACCACATATCATCCTCGTCAAAATCAGGAGGATATTCGTCTGGAACTCGGTCCGGTAATACGACGAGTACAAGTACGTCAACATCGACAACGAGTTCGTCCGCCAGCAGACGCCGCAGAGCGGGTTTCCAGCTGAATATGAACCAGGCTACGCTGTTAAAGCGTCGTGCGAAGCAGAGCCAGGTGCAGCCACAGCCATATCATCTTCCACCGACGGTGGAATGCCAGGACCAGCGGATGAGTCAACCCTCTGCCGTGGCTGTTTAAAGCGAGAAGTCTCCTGTTTACTATGGTTTTATTCGTGTACTATCTAGCAGTTTTTCAGTTCTAAGCACTTGTAAAATATATCTTCATTCAATGTCTGCGAACAAACTTATGAATCTTACGCTTGATGGTATTGAGATATTGAAATGACAATGTTAGAGCAGATACGAACGTACATGCGTGGATGCGCATGGACGCCAGTTTGGTGGAAACTGCGGTGGAATTGGGCACCGGATTCGTGTGACCTGATATCGAAATGTTTGTTCCTGGGTTTCAGTCATTTTGAGATGACGGCGATTGCTCAAACCTTATTACTACAAACCTGTTGGCCATAAAGTCGCCGTGTGAAAAATAAAAATAGTACCAATTACATCCCACTAGACTAGTGTCTTTGGCGTCTTATCAAGCGGGAGCCAGGCTGGCTGTCTATGACACATGTAGGTATATTGGCATGGTATTAATGAGGTATGAATGCAGCTAATCCCTTCCGTCCTTTCGGGGTCCAATTGAATGGACACTAGTTCACTAGTTTCGCTAACCTAGTGCCAAAAAAAGATCTTTTTGGTTGGGCGTAGAAGAGGGGGATGGAGGGGAGTGGGGAGTGAATATCGCGCAAAGTATAAAAAAAAAAACGTGGTATGGTCTCGAAATACAATGACATTCATTGCCCCTCCCCATCTGACTGTAGCCTTCGCCACTCGGTTTAACACTCTTCTGTCCGACAAATACATTCACTCGGTTGTTGATGGAATGGAATGGAATGATGATCCATCACACACACTCTCTCTCCCTCTCTTTCTCTCTGCATCGCATCGCGCCTTCCCATCCATACACCCTCTCCACAATCTACATCGCTGTCTGAATCCAATCTAATCCTCATCTCACATCGATACTTGATTCAGTCTGCTCTCCTTTCACATTCCCCATCAGGAGCACTACATTTTCTTAGCCATTCATCCTTCCACGAACGAATAAGCGGATATGAGGGGACCATGCTCTGCAGCGGCATCCTCCTCTTCCCGCCTCCAGTCCACTGCGCTCCGCCAGCTGCCCCCGCCCCGCCCTCCCCTTGGCCTCCCCTTCTCTTCTCATGATCACATTCCATCTCACACTCCATCTCACACTCCATCGCGCAGTTACCCCACACCCTCTCCACAAGAACAAGAACAAGAACAAGAATCACGACCCCGTCAATACCATCAACAATGCAAAAAATATCACCAACGACGCAAACGACTATTCTACGGAGGACATAGACACTTCCACTACTTCTTCATCGCCCTTTTCTATCTAATTTCCCTCTCAATTGCCCCCACGCTCGCCCAGCAACCACCTTCCTTGAGCCCCCAACCTGGGATTATCACCTCGACCTTAGTTGTCATCCCCTCCCCCTCATCCCCCCCAGTGCCCACGAACACGCCCTCAACCGTACAGGGTGTCACCACCCTCTCCGACTATCATATTGACTCGCCTGCTTGCGTCGACAGTCCACCCTCCTACCGCATCTCGCTTATCACCCATGGTAGGTTTTCTTTTACTTTGAAACTCTTATTGGTCAATGTATTAATAACAACCCGCCCACTACATATACTTAAATCTGTATCCTTCTCCCTCTCCCATGCATTACACTGCGCTGTTCCGACCCTCCGCTTGATTTTCCTTTTCTCCTTTTCTTCTTTCAGCAACGGCCCTCATCGGTGATGACGCTAAGCTCGATGCGAAATTGTACATTCCCCTGACCCTTACAGACGTGCTTTCGGGGGTCGATTATGACGTACAGCGCATGAGTTCCTCCATCTACGATGCGATTAAAAACCCCATTGATGCCCTCATTGTCTCTATCCCTGACTATGATGTCCTCAAGGCACCCATTCAGGCAGCCAAGGATAAGAACATCCCCATCATTGCTGTCTACTCAGGGTTGCAGGCTGCCAAAGACCTGGGTATCCTCGCTGTCATGTCCGACGATGTAAGTCTTTGATCCCGAAGAAATAAAGAAACGTGGTATAGGCTGAGGATATGTTAAAAAACAGAAAGTGATGAGCAATTGGCACGCGTACTTATAAAAAAAATGCCTCTTCTGCTCCCTCCATGCCTATGATAGTACATGTCCGGAAAGCTTATTGGAGAAGAGCTGCTTAAGGATGGTGAGTAAATCACTTGTTCTTGATCTTCGAAATACGAGCATGGAGCCATTAGGGGGTTTCAGTTATGGGGGGTTTTTGTACGCGCATTATCAGGGGGATTCAAACTCAGTAATTTTGATGCGTATTTCTAAATGCGTATGACAGAAATACGCCAGCCCGAGGGCAGGCGTGTAACGAAAATTTCACAAACGCATATTTAAGATGCGTATGTGCAAAAAAATTGAAACCCTTGAAATCCGTGTCAGCCCATGAGCTGGTGTATTTGCAAATCCGTTCCGACTTGAAGCTCCCTATTTCTAATCTCTACTTGCTATTGCTCTAGGTGTCAAGGACTTTGTCTGCATCGATGGCCCCAGCAGGATACCCACGCTGCTCGATCGTTGCAATGGTGTCCTGCAGGCTTTTCTAGATGCCGATGCCAAAGTCTCTGCCAACCTGACGGACCATGTCATCTATGTCGAAAAGTCGCGCAACAGTACCACGTCTACAAATGCTCAGAGCGTCGCAGAAGTCGTCCTTAAACAGAATGCAGTTACAGGAATTGTCTTTCTTACCGCCCCAATGTACTCAGGGTTGAGCCCCTCGCTGATGCTCGCCCTCAACAACACGCGTTCATACAAGGTTGCTGCTTTTGACTTTAACAAGGACATGGCGCAAGCGTTCGAGCGGGGCGTCCTCCATTACTCCATCTCCAGCCTGCTGTATCTCCAGACCCTGATTCCTATCTTGCTTCTCTATGTCCAGGTATGAAATGCCTCTTGTTTGAACGCAATGGTTGCTTATTCTTCAGCAATCAAGACATGCATCTAATCACAGCGAATTTGATCAATCTTACAGCTCAATCTGGGCGAAAAGATTGCCCAGGATCAGATCTTGACAGGACCAAAGCTGGTAACGTCCGCAAATGCAAAGGACATGCTGGCGCAAGAGATGTGGACTATGAGTAACTTTGTTAATTACGCGCGGCACTTCAGTGTCATCACTGGCAGGCAAGTTCTTAGACCTTGTATGTTCTTTACTCATTCCTTGTATTATATTGTGGATCTGATTCTCTAACCTCCGGTTTGTATATGGCGCTAATGCATATATATAGTTCACCTATCAATGAGCACTGGGACGCAATGGCGACAGGAGCACGGGATGCAGCAACATTCCTCAACTGGAACATGACGGAGTACCGGTTCGACAGCCCAATTCGCCAGGAAACTGTCGAACTCAGCATCAACCAGACGCTCAACGAGCCACAGATACAGGGCTTGGTTGTGAGCAACGCACAAAGTGCCTACATCAACTATGCGTTGAACAAGACGCAGCAGCAGGTCGAGTCGCGGACAGCAGCCACAAACAGGACTCTCCAGCAAATATGCGACGACCTGAGGCATGATACGTCCGCTGCAGCCATGGGTTGTGATCCTTTGTCTCCCTGGAACCACACTCTGAATCAAGTCCTGCCGTTTCCCATCGTTGGCATCGGGTCGCCATATAACTGGACTGATCATCAGAGCCTTTCGTGGGTTGGTGAAAACGCATACAAGGCTGGGAGCGATTACGCGGACGTGATCTTACAGAACGGAGGCAAGCATCCGATCTGCGTAGCTCAGAATGATGGGCCCGAGCAGCAGCTACTCATGTGCCGAGGGCTCTATGATAGGATGGTGGCCATGCGAGGATCTCTTCCACCTTTCGAGACATACTGCGTGCGCTTGGCGCCTGGTGATCTTTCGGGAGCATCTAGGAAAATATCTGAAGTCAATAGCGTTTACGAATACGACAGCATTCACACCACTTCGACCATGCTCTACGAAAACATCAAATACCTTATCTCATCCAAGGGAGATATTAACGCGAGTGTCATGGTCACGACCACAGGGCTATCGGCAACATCTTTGACAGATTATGTGTCGGGCAAGGTCCGTAGGGTGTGGTCACAGCAGTCGTATCTCAACGGATTCATGGCTGTCTTCGAGCTTGCATTCTCGTCGGTTATGCAGGACAAGACATGGAACTTCATTTCTACGGGACCATCTGAGGTCAGCTATGTCTGCGACATGGGCCAATATTTTTCAAACGTCGATAGATCATCGCTCCTTTGTCGGCTCCCCTCTGGAAAGCATATTGCTCAACCGTATTGTCAAAAATGCCCAGTGCAACACTACAGCGACCAGTACAACAGCCTCAACTGCACTATCTGCCCCAACGGCAAGTTCACTAATCAGACTGGATCTACCTTCTGCATGAGCTGTGATGAATCTGGGCAGAACGCGCCGGAGTGTCGAGACTACTTTACTATGAAGCAGAAAAATAACAGTATCAACCTGGCGATATTTCTGCCGCTCGGACTCGTTCTCTTTGCCGCAGTTGCAACTTCGCTCGTTTATTGTTTCCTCCGCACCCGAAAGCGCCGTTCACGCCTGCAAGATGACTCTTGGATGCTGGACTACAAGAGAATTATGGGCGTATATCATGATTCCGACAGCGGACTCGGCACTCAGGATTCTGGATCAATAGCAGAGCAAGGACTGCATACGAGCAAGCATATTGGAGTCGGCAAAGGGGCTACTCGACCGACCGGCATGTTTCAACGAAGCCACTCCACGTTTGTTGGAGGCATGTCCGGGATCCAACCCATGGATGATTCTGGAAAAGCCATTGGAGTGTACCGCAATCTACCCGTGTTTGTCCGTCGTATCGGTGGAACCAAGGTCAATCTGACGCGCAAGATGCGCATTGAGATCATGGACGTCATGGAGCTGCGACACCCGAAGCTGGTCGAACTGGTGGGTGTGTGTCTTCAACCCCCGGATATCTGTATTGTAACTGAACACTGCTCCAAAGGGACGCTGACGGAGGTCTTGGCACATCCAGACCTGAATTTCAATTGGCTGTTCAAGCTCTCGTTCATGAGCGATATCTCGCGAGGCATGGAGTTTTTGCATCAGTCCAAAATTCAGTGTCACGGCGGCTTACGATCCTCGAACTGTGTCGTAACTAGTCGCTGGGAGGTCAAGGTGGGTGGCTACGGACTCACGCAACTGTACGAATCCCAACAACCCGGCAATGGAAGGTCCTCTCGTGGATCCGCAGAAGGAACATACAGCACACAGCGAAATTCGTTGCGAATGAGCAGCGACAGTCGTTATGCAAACGGCTCTATCATCTCTCTTCCTTTTCACAACACCCCTGGAGAGGAGTACTTTGAGATGGGAGGCAAAACGTACCAAGCGGCAAGGACTGTCAAGGAGATCCAGGATGGTCAATGGGTTGCACCCGAGAACATGGTTCATATGGACTCTGTCCTCTACAAGACTGCGAGCAAGGCTGGAGATGTTTATAGTGCGGGAATTGTTTTTAACGAGATCATGACGCGCAAGGCGCCATACGTGCGACAGCTGGCAGCGCTGGACCCTGTCGAGGGTCCGTTCACATTGTTGGACCGGATCAAGCACAACCACTGGCGACCGGACCTTTTGCTGGACGACGGTTCGGATGAGAGTATCAATGCAATCAACAACTTAATCCACAACTGCCTCCAGCCTGATCCTTGTCTGCGCCCTTCGTTTGCTTCTATTTTGCATCGTCTGAGACTCATCAGTCCAGACGGCGATATGATTGGAGGCATGGCAGCGCTACTGGAAAAATATGCTAACGACATGGAGGAGTTGGTCCGGACCAGGACCATGCATCTTCAAACACGCACTGCCGAACTGGAAGAGGAGCGACTTCGGACGGAAGAGCTCTTGGTGGATCTCAGTAAAGCCAAAAACCACGCAGAGGATGCGGCCCGGGCAAAGTCTAATTTTTTGGCCAACATGTCCCATGAGATCAGGTATGCTTCTTATTTTTTATTTTTTTTTACTATCTTCTTTGTGGAATATGTGTTATGGAATATGTGTCATGGAATATGAATGATCCGAAAATTGATAAAATGATATATTGACATAAGCCCTTTTCTTCCGAATGACAAAACAATATGTTAGGACGCCTATGAACGCAGTTATTGGCATGTCGCGTATCCTACTCGAGTCCGATCTCTCTCCGGACTTGATGGACTGCGCCGAAACGATCGAGTCGAGCGGAAACCAGCTGATGGCCGTCATTGACGATATTCTCGATTTCAGCAAGATCGATTCCGGCAAACTGAAGCTATCTCCCGAGCCTTTGAATCTTCCGTGGCTGCTTGAATCCGTTTGCAATCTTGTTTCCATGCAAGCCGCCACAAAGGGACTCGGTCTCACGTTTGTACTCCATCCTGATACGCCTATGCAAGTCCTGGGAGATCTTGTTCGAATCCGCCAGATCCTGCTGAATTTACTGAGTAACGCCATCAAGTTTACGGAGAAGGGAAACATTGTGGTCAAACTTGAGCCCAAACCCAAGCCAGCTCCCGGATCAGGTGCCAGAGTTTATGAGGACGACGAAGCCGACGAAACTGAGCATGAATCTTCGCAGCTGATGCTCCACGTCGACCAAGGGTCGTCAGAGTCAGTTGTGGGTCAGGTCCGCCCTTCTATTGCTCCGCGGTCGGGGAACAAGCATCGCCAGTCCATGACGATCACCGGTCGTAGTTCATTCCAGGATCCTCTCAAAGATCATGAGCGCACCCAAGAGCATCAAATGGACCTCCTCTGGTCTGTCGCGGACCAAGGTTGCGGTATCCCTGCTGAACGAATGGATCGTCTCTTCAAGAGTTTCTCGCAGGCGGACGACTCTGTCACCCGAAACTTTGGTGGAACGGGACTTGGCCTGGCTATCTCCAAGAAACTAGTGGAGCTGATGGACGGTGAAATGGTAAGACAGGCATGATATGGGGGCATTGGAGTTGAAGAGCATTCATTGTTCGATCGACATCTATACTAACGGAATTTTGTATTTTACAATTTATACTGTTAGTGGACAGAGTCTGAAGAAGGAGTGGGATCCACATTCTACTTTACAACGCTCTTAGATTCGCCCAAGCCGGGCTCGACCGTAGCCCAGCAACTGAACCTGGCCTTCTTCAGTGACAAGACACTCTTGATCTTTGACGACCGTCGTGTGAGCAGAACTTCATGGTTGTATCAATCGTCGACGTGGGGGTTCCGAAAGGTGCTCGTCTTGAGCGTTCCCAAGGGTCTGGATTACCTGAGGCAGAACCCTAACCATGTGGACGTGATCATGATTGATGTCGACAAACCGCAGGCCAAGACCAACCCCGGCCTGGTGGTTCTTCAACAAGTGCGAAGTATTCCTTATGATGACTCTGACAGTGAAGAAGGGAAGAAGCGACAGGAAAAGCCAGTTCCCTGTGTCTTGGTTTCGTACCATCGCCGTAGTCATCCTTCCACGTTCGGACCATCAAAGGCCAACCCTTCAAGCACAGTATCGACTGCGACGACCCATGCGGAAGATGCTTTTAGCTCAATCATCAGCGCCAGCACCAGCCGCGAAAGCCTGGCTGACAGTCTACGGAGCAATCGCTCCAAGGATTCGCTATCGGTACAAAACCCGTCTGTATATCCCAAGACCACCTGCACGCCTAACATCCTGAACAGCAGTATGCTAGCGGCCAAAACTTGGAGCTCACTTAAAGAGCACTCTTCAAATTCCTCGGAGAAGGGGGCCCCGTCTTCGCCTTCGCTGCATCCCTCGGGTATCGATGCTGACCCATCTGTGGGGCACCTGATCAAGCCCGTCAAGCAGACCAAGCTGTTTAGCATGTTCCACGGCTTGATGACAGGATCCTGGCCACTGGCACCCTCTGCTGCACCTGACCTGGATCTTCAGGAACATGAGCGCAAACGTCAGCTCGAGTCCTTGCAGTGTCTGCTTGTCGACGACAATCCTGTGAACCAGAAAGTTATTTCGAAAATGCTGAACCGCATAGGTATCCATCCGGAGCTTGCCAACAATGGCCAGGAGGCCGTGGACAAGTGCCAGGCTCGTGCCGAAGCCGTAGCGCGGGCTCGTGATTCTGGTGGTAACGGTGATCTCAACGCAGGATCGTCAATGGTGAAGCAGTACGACATTATCTTTATTGACGTCTGGATGCCAGTCAAGGACGGTTTGGAGGCGACGAGGGAGATTCGCGCCTCGGTGGAGGGTATTACAGGGACAGAACCATTCATCATCGCGATGACGGCCTGTGTAATGCCTGGAGACAGGGAGAAATGTATCGCTAGCGGAATGAACGCATATCTCTCCAAGCCCATCAAGAAAGAGGAGCTCTGCACGATCCTGGAGCGGTGGCTGGATGATCGAGCCAATGCTGAGCGCGAACAGAAGCTGAGTCACGAACGTAAACTGATCCAGAAAAAGAAGCGCGAGATGCTCAGGCGTCGAAGTATGGCTGTCTTGGCAGGGGCTAGGGCCACAGGCGCACGGGAGTCAGTTCCGGCGACGCCAGAGGTGATGCCTGGCAGCGACAAGTGGCCACAGGAGCAAGTCAACTTTATGGAGGAGGACGATGAGGATGAGGAAGACGAAGAGGAAGAGGATGAGGGGCTGGATGATTCTGAGGTGGTTAGCGAAGAAGACAGAGTCGGCGAAGAGGGTTCTCAGGGAGGCATGAAAGGCGCGGATGACCTGCAGCTGGTGAACATGAGACTGGACAGTGCTAAACACAGGAAGGGCTCATATTCTCATCATCCTCGGCAGCGGAATAGACACCATGGTGAACTGGTGCTGAGCGACAGCGAAGGTGTCCTTAAATGTCACGGTGGAGGAGGCGGCGGAATGACGATGGTCAGCATGGCTCAGGATGCCAGCCGTGCAGCCAGGCGTCATTCGCAAAAGCAGAGACAGGAGCGGCGGGAGCGGAGCAAGGCGCAAAAGGAGCAGAGAAAGGAGAAGCTCAGGGAAGGCGGTCGTAGCCGCCTGGGATCGTTCTCTGTGGACCCTACCACGGGTATCCCGCCTTTGCTAATCAAGGATCCCAGAGTAATGTCGAGCGACAATGATGACGACGATGAGACTGAAGAGGAAGAAGAAGAAGAAGAAGAAGAAGAAGAGGAGGAGGAGGAGGAGGAGGAAGATGACAAGGAGTCGTTCCGTGGAGGAGTGCAACTGGATCGGATCTTATACAACGCGACAGTCGACAGTGTCAAGGCGGCAGACACGATGGGCACGATGAACATGGCGAAGTCAACCCAAATCACGACAGACTCGTCCTACACGGCACGAGCAGACACGCCCATGTCCGATAACGAGACTCAGGATGCCAGCGGGGGCATGCTCTCTGACACGTCGAGCACAGGCACCGTCCGAGGTGTGGAGCAGCGACAGTGGAGGCCGTGAAGTGGCTGGACGCAGTTTCTTTTTAATAATTCCTATCGTGTATTTTGTCCGTTTTAGTAAGGAGTGGACGAGGATGATTATCAATATCCACCCTTTGTATTTTTAGCTGTGCCATACTACTTATTATATGATCAACAAAAACTTACCAAGCATAAAGGAAAGATGTTCTACTGAACCATGAATCGATGGATCCAAAGAATACTGGCGCCAAGTGATTCTGCACTGTCAATTGAACCCGCCCAGCCAGGGCATGCGTCTGGTCGGCTGACACACATTTAGCACCATGGAATCTTTAGGTTCGGTTGTGCATAGTAAACTGGCGTCTAGGTGTTCAAAATAACACGATTGATATGCTGTGGTTGTTGTTGCTTATCGGGAAGATTACGGTTTTCGATGGATTTGTATCGCTCGATCGTGTCCAGCATTTGTACCACGGTACTATGGATCTTCAGCGATCCTCAGCGATCCTCAGCGATCTTCAGCCTCAAATGCTGCATAGTAAACCGGCGCCCTCGCTTAAAAATAAAGACGCCCTAATTAAGAATCAGCCCTCCTAAGTCGAGTGATGTAGCTGATTTTGTTGGAGGGGCAGACCAGCTTTCGAGGAATGACAGAATCGTCCAGGGACAAACTATATTTTTTTACGAGGGTTCATTAAGGTCCCAGATATCATAATAGAGTTGCGTTCACGCACGAAAACAACAGCACTTTATCAAAGAAACCCGTTGATTCAGTATTGTTTGGTCGATCAGCTTTCCCGTTGAGTAGTTGGTACCTTTTGAGTCTCTAGCCAACCATTTAAAACAAAATTGATGGCGCAAAACATATCCGTCATAATAACCAGCGCTTCAAGAACCTTTTATCGGCTCTTTTATTGGTATAGGACAGGGCTAATTGTAGTCAACAGAGCGCCCATGCTGGATTTTGGGCCGGGCTTCATCCCATGGTCCATGGATCTCGCTAGAAAACAAAAGGGCAATAGCATTAGCGTGGATCAATAAAAGGACATTGCTTGAGCCAACACAAGCTTGTTCGATCTAAGCGACCTTCCAAGAACGTACTTTTTATACCGCTGGATCCAGATTAGCCAGAATGGACAGATGAATGTCAAGAACGCCATACCCAGGATATAAATGACGACAATCGCAGGTGAGATTTGGCTGAAAAGTGTCGTTGCCGTCAAGAACAGGACTATAGTCAGCGCCAAATTCCCTCTTTGCGAGATGCTCTATACGCACCAAAGAAATACGGATAGTCTGTCAGAATAGCAAACAAGTATTCATAATGCGGTTAAGATCCATTTAATTCGATTTGCATTACCCTGACTTGCCGCCGGAGCATCGGAAAGAGTGCAAACCACTCAACTGCGAATGACATAAGTCCAAAAACATGAAGGTTTGTCTTGAATCGCGATGCCAGTACTACGGACGCAAAAATGGCTGCATTCGTTGACAGCGAGCCTGGGTATTTAATATTGCGTCTGTTGCCACTACCATAGTCATGAAAGGCTAGATTGACCAAGAATAAGATCACTGTCAAGGCCCAGATCGTGTCCTTGGACGTCTTTTCTGTCAGCGTCTTCAGAATCGGAGTGAGTCCAAGGAGTGTCAAGAAGAATAGCACTGCGCCCTTGAAGATCTTTCGTCCTAGTAGAGCGAAAAAAAAAATGGTACAAATTGCTGACAATTTCAGTACTCGGATCATTGACGGAAATCATTGACGCAGGCTGGCCCGAAAAGAGTATGTATTAATGGACCTACGCTGGTAGTTGGAGTCCGGCGTCAGCATAGTGTTGCTCCAATCCCAGAACCCATACCCAACAGCTGTTCCCACAGTCCCCATGGTGATTAATGCATATGAGCTGAGGAGATTTTTGTATAGATAGATAAAGATGGCGACAAATATGACGATCGATGATATATGTTGGCTGATGATGGTTGATTCGAGGACGACAGACCAATACTCATAATGCCGTACATTCGCTATTATTTTTATCCGCAGAGTATGGAAATTAGGATGCCGCTTGCCAGGTGCTGAAGCTGAAGACACTGTAACATGAGTTCTGAACATGCGAGCAGGCGACATACCGTTCTTTTGCAACTCTTCTAGAAAAGTATCGTCCACATAGTTATCTGGATACTCCTGTTTCACATAGAGCAATTTCCTCCATGGCGCTCTTGGTTTCATCGATATGGTCCCAGGATGGGGGTTCAGCGCCTGTGATAGTATGACAATGAAAAACAAAGTGAGACTAGTAGCGTTAGCAAACGGTGTCTCTGCCTGTAAACGATCCAATGGTCCGCAACGGAGTACGTTACCTGATCTATGTTTCTGTGGGCAAGAATTGAATCGAATTGAATTGAATTGTCAGTATCATCCTCCTTACCAGAGACGCGTCGATCCGATAGCAGGCCTGCGGGCACAATTGCTGTACCTCTGAAAGTCGCACAGAGGACAGATCCGCTCATCCTCCCTGAAAGGTCTTCCATCCCGAGGACAGTAGTTGAACAAGGATTGTGTCCGCTCCATGAAGAGTTGATGCTGCGTTTAATTTGTATCCTTGTCCCAGCTCCGGCCTGTTTGCTTTCAGCCTCTATTCCTGGTTCTAGTCCTGGTCCTGGTCCTGTCCCTAAATGAATGTCGAATGAAGGCCAGTTAGTGGCGATGGGGGCCGACTTTCCACTCAGCCCCTTCTTTTGATTTTTGGTTCGCGCTAGATCTTCGACTTCTCTTTACCTTTCTTCCTTCAACTTACACACCACGCACCACGTCTAAAAGAAAATGACGGTACCCGCACAGCAGATTTTCGAGCAGGCAGACGCGTATCTCAAGGCAGGGCGTTATCAGGAACTAATCCCCCTATACGAGCAACTGGAATTCCAGGTACCGCTCGACTTCAACAGGACTGACCTGCAACAACCGCGGCGAACATGGAAGGCAAAAAAAGAAAAAAAAGACTCACTCTCCAGTTCAACCCTCTCATTCCGCACAGGTGTCTGCCATCGAGATTGATGCCGTTCCCTTGAATACCATCTACGAGCCACTCTTGGCGTCCTACCTCATCGCTCATGACCTGTACGTGAATCGACTTGCGCGGACAAACGGGACTGTTTTTAAAAAAAGGACTGGACTGCGGGCGAGATGGTGGTGCCTTAGACCACACGCTTTACTGGCAATGATACTGAATTTTCAATTTGTGAACTGGATTAGATATTCGGCACGCAGTCTCGTCCATCGAATTCCTGAAGATTACAGGGCTCAGGCGCCGCAGCTAGCGACGCTGATCCAGGTCATGGAATTGATGCGGCAGTGGGAGCGACAGAACGGAAATTTGAAGGACATCTATGCGCTTTTACACCAATCTCGCTGGAACTCTTCGCTTGCACCATTGATCGCTGTGCTGCAAGGTAATTCAGCAACGACCATGCTGCAGCTTGTAAATACGTCATGGGAATCGCGTGTGAGAAGTCATGCTAATATTGCTGAAAATGTACGTCCTTTTCTCCTTTGCAGACTCGATTCAGGACCGGGAGCTAGATTTGTTGGCAAAAGCATACACCTCGCTTCCTGTTCAATTGGCAGCATCGCGCATCTGGCTCGAGGAGGACTCGGCAGCAGAGCGTAAGGGGCCACTCGTTTCTAATTTATACTCTTGGTAATGCAAAGGATCTCTATATACTAATCTGCAGCAACGGAATTTCTTCCATAATACATATAGAGCTTGTTGCTACCCGGGGATGGAGATACGACGCGACAACAAGACTTCTGTATCCAAAGTCAAGAGGTATGTTGCGCATGTTGTGTCTATTCATTGTCTGGACATATGGCTTTTGATTGCAGAGTCAGGAACACTGACGAGCGTATGCTTGGGACTCTTACTCCTGTATCCATAGAATCTGCTCCCAACCGGTCTATTGGACTGCAGGAGTTTGGTCAATTAGCTGACGTCGTGGCGCATTTGGAGGTTAAGCAAGATGCATCTTGAGCGGATTATGGGCCTGTAGATGTCATACGCTATTGTACATTCACAGTTCTTCTCGGGAAATTGTCCGTCTTGTCAAATAAAATGCCCATTCCCTTCTTTCACACATGCAAGCTATACAACTTCACTGTACAAAGATATTTTTTACATTTATTTCTCATGGTGTCTATGATGCTTTTACGTGAGGGCGTTTAGTTCTTCTTCTGGTTCCAGGTGTGCTCGTCAGGAAGCTCCTGGCGGACGCCGATCAAAGAGTTCTCTGGCTCGATAGCAGGCAATTGAGCGGCACCCCAGATACGGACACGCTTGATGCCACCGTCTGGGATCATGACGACCTGGATCTTGGCAATGCGCTTCTCGGTCAAGTCGTTGGCAACCTTGAAGAAGTGCTGACGGTGAGCAGTCATGGGGGCCTGATCCAAGAGGACAATGGGAGTATCTGAACCAATCTCAAATCCAGCGATGGTCACGGCCTTGGGAGGGTTGCCCATGTAGTGAGCAGTATCGACCTCAATGTCGGTAACGTGGCCAGGTTGACCCAACTTGATGGTGCAGTGGTCGACATGGCCGGGAGCACGCGAGCGCTTAGTCTCCCAGCCGTCAGACATGTCGTGGCCACGTCCAGGGAGGAGCATGTTAGAGGGGTGACCGTAGTGGGCATCTGAAAGATCGGTAATGACCGATCCTGAGGCCGCGGAAGCCAAGTCATAGATTTCGTGCTTGTTCTCGGGATGGACTTGATGAACGGTTCCGTAGACGCGGAGACGGGCAACGCCTCCATCGGGGTACATACAGAAGCGGACATGGGTATAGTGTGCGGCAGTGGATTGCTCAAGCTTGAAGCCATGACGCGAGTTGGGGTTGAGGGCGACCTTAGTAAGGACAGGGACCCAGTTGACAGCAGCCCACTCCTCGTGTGTGCGGACTGCAGCCTTAGAAGGCGAAGACTCTGTGTAGCCCTCGACAGAGACGAAGGGAGCGTGGTTGCCGGTAAAGTAGGAAGTGTCGACTTCAAAGCCGGCGATGGTACCGGCATATCCGAGCTGGATGACGCACCAGTCGTAGTTAGGAGCGTTGTGTCGGCGAGTCTCCCATCCATCATACCAGGCGCCGGTAGGGACGAAACGACCGGGGGCGGAAATGGGGGCGGTGGCGGTGAGGAGATTCTTGCAATCGGCGAACCATTCATCTGAGAAGGTCAAGACCTTGCCTCCGCGAGTAGCGACAGCGAGGTCTGATCACAGCGAATTCCAGTAACCGTTCAACCATTGAGCATTTGTTAAGATTGTCGGCGTCGTCGTCGTCGTCGTCGTCGTTGTTGTTGTTGGAGGTTGTTGGCGGGATAGGGAGTGATAACCAGTGGTACGGATCGAGGAATTGAAGCCGATAAAGAGAGAAAGCGAGACCGGGGACAGACTGTTAGTAACTGGAGATATACAATGGATCATCTGAAGATGACGGTGGAGATGGAAGGAGATTATTACCAATATAGTCCTTGAAAGTCTCCTGGATCTTCTCGACGGGGACGACGGTGTTGGTAAGTGCGGTGGTGTTGGTCATCTTGATACGGGTATGAATGTGCTTCGAAGAAATATTTGTAGAAAATAGTGCTGATGTGAAGAAACGAAGGAGAGAAGAGAGAGAAGGAAAGTAGAAAAGAGCTCCCTTTATATAAGAAACGAGTGCGAAAAAGTGGGTCCCCCTTTGAAGAAAAGGGCCACCTATACTGTTTTTAACGTTCAGATCGATCGCTTCCAAGGTACAAAGCACATGGAGCTGACTGGCCGTACTTGTAGTCTATATTACACCTCCAGAAAGAAAAAAAATTGCCCGCCTATGTATCCATATCATCTTGTACCTCTTGTACCTGCCCTCCTTCTTCTTCGCCTTCTTCACAAGACTATTCGCTGGCATGCGCTCTGTTTTATCTCCATTCATTTTTTTTTTTTCGTTGTCGGCGTAAAAAAAACCCCCCTCCATTGTGCTGTGTGAACATGGGTTGCGGCCAATCCACTGCTTTATCCTCTCGTACTATCGATGGGAATCCTGGGATGGATTTATACACTACAAACAATCCATTGACTAACCTGCTACGAATATATGCTTTGTAGACTGGTGAAGAGGGCCCAAATACATTGGAGGACGTTGCATGACCTCTGTTCTCCGTGAATGCGTAAAAAATGAAGACGATCATGGGCGGCGGAGCGAATAAATGCCCGCGCCACTCAGGGATCTGCACATGGGCACCTGCAACCTGGACGGAGTTACTCAAAAAAAAAAAAAAAGATGCGATGCTGTCATTAGCTGGGCTAATTGGCCTGTATCATTGCCAACACGCCGCACATTCGCGCGGGCGATTTGTATTACAAGGTACAAAGTCAACGGGCGCATTGTGCTCTTTATTCTGGTAGGCGCGTTCGAGCAACCAACTTTACATGTTAATCAGTCTCTTGCTGTCGGTAATCTTCATTACCTGTACTCATCTTTTACCTTTGCTTTACTTTCCGTCGTAGATCCTTAGTCGTCCTGAGAAATTAGAGGCCAGATGATTTGGCATAATTTGGCTATGGTTGGTGGACCTGCGCGCTCGGAATGGCTCGGGAATACACCGCATTGAAGTGAAAAGGTGGGGTTTGTAAACTTTATTTGCCAAAAAGCGGGCAATTGAAAAAATGGGTGAAGATGGAATTACAACGCCACCAAATTTTAGAGGCACCCAAAAACTTGACCTGCGGACTCTTTTCCCACGCACGATCCAATGGCCAATATGTATCCCATGGTTCAATTGCCTCAGTTGCTACTGTTGTAGGAAAAGAGAAGAGAGAGAGAAAAAAAAGAGAGCGAAAGAGTGTGCGGAAGAGAGAAAGGAAAGGAAAATGCGCTCAGCGACCACCACTCACGCTCCAACGCGCCCACTGCATCGCACTGCAATGATTTGGCTTGAGGCTGTCTCCACAGCATCCAATGACCAAGCAAGAGCGAAAACATGGTAGAAATCGCGAGTAAAATGGAGCGTAATGTAAAAAGGGTCCGCACTTGGTATGGCACTTCCACGCCGGGCTTGCTACTGAGTATCCGGCGCCTGCATATTCCACGGCTCCCTTCAAAGGGCATCTAGGATTGTGTGGATCTATGGTCATGGTCGTACCCGTGATTATGGTCGTACTCATGGCTCCTTTTGTGCAAAAAACCATCGCTGTGTAAAGCCATTGATTACAGCAGAAACGAATGACTGCGCCTTAGAGCACCATCTTCAATTTTTATTTACCCCCGTATTCGCGTGTTAGCCTTTACTTCACAACTCGACTTTGTCTGATTCAAGCGATTCAAGCGATCCAAGTAGACCAAGGACAAAGGAATTAGAATCTGGATCAGGATGGAATTTACATTTACCCCAACATCAACCAAACCACCTGCAGTCTCATCTAGCACAGCAACAGGGTCATCACCCCAAATAGGCATCACAACCATTTCAGAGCAAATGGTAGGAGCTGGAGTCAGGGCAGGTCAGCTCAACGATTCTTCCTATGGACGCGTATCTTTGACAAAGGAACATGGAGTAGGAAACACAACTCAATGGCGCAAGCGGCTCATCACACAGATCGAAGACCGCATCAAGGACAGACGGACATCTATTCACAATGCTCGGCGGTCTGGCTTGCAATCCAGAAGCAATGCCCTGGACCCCATATCATCGTTTGCACCCGTTCAAGCAGTCGTTGGAGAATCAGTATCGGAAATTTCAGTCATCGATGAAGAAGAGGAGAGGGTAAATACTTGTTGCTTCAGGAATCATTGCTCAGCAAAAAAAAAAAAAAAGAAAAAGAAAAAGAACCAGCGCTTCGCCTGCCGTCAGCGTTTTTTTCCTCATACAGACGTTTTGCTTCTGGTTCTTGTTTAATAGCGTATCGTTGCAGAGGTATGGGAGACATTTAAGGACGAAAACTTTGAAGCTCTTTCTCAAGCCTTCCAGGGAATGACAGACAAAGAAATCGAGGGAATTGAACAAGACATTCTCTTACAACGCTGTATGCTGATCGAATTGCACTTCGCCGCCATGCTGTCTTTATTTTTATCCGTAAAGGGCTTAATTCAAGAACGACTTCTGACAAGAGTTCGTTCACGATTTTCTATCGTTGGAATAGATACACCGGAATACGATCCAACATACGACATGGTTGTCGACATGGAGATGCAAGTTATGGACCAGACAATCGACCGTTACATGCGCCTAGAGAAAGCATATGAAACCATTCCTCAGCAGGGCTCCGATATGGCTGCCACGATATCATTAGCCATCACTCTGCTCTCTAGAGGTCCGTGTGTCCGATGTCGGTCTGGGCCGCTCGCGTTCGAGCCCACTGTTAGCCAAAGTCAATCTGAAGGGATCCGGTCCAGCTGCGCACTCTGCGGATTTGTCCTAGAGAAAGAAGCGCTGCTCCACATCGCCAACACTGCTAAGAGCCATAGGTAAGAGCGCTGAGCGCGCTAAGCTGGTCGAGCGAATGCTGCTAGGACTAATAGTCGAAAGAACAGGCGAGCTGACACAGCCATTGATGCATCTTTTCGTTTTCTCTTTTTTTTTTTTTTTTTTTTTTTTTTCTTTCTAGCGATAATTGTGCTGGACAGGTGCAGGTTGCTTTTGACGAGGAGATGGGTCTTCTCCTCTTTTGCACACAATGCGGTCTTCTTGCATAGTCTCGAACAGCCAATCAATCAGGAGGAGATAAGACTAAGAAAAATGCCAAACAACAGCCATTTGTGGCTGTGCCTGGCACTGAAACCGGAATTATAACAACTGCCCCCCTCCCTTCCAGCACAGGCACAATTCCATTGCATTCACTTTTCACTCCGTTATCCTCCTCCTTCCTCCTCCAAACCATGGCGCCCATCATTCCCTCCACCTATCCTGGTAAAGAAACAACACTCATCCAGTGAGCCAGCACTTCTTTCTCATTCGTAAAACAACAGCCCACTCACCCCACCTCATGCTGACCGTGCAATTTTGAATGTGCAGCCCAAGGGATTTTTTACATGCTGAGACACCCTTCCCTGTTCAGCAACCTCATCTGCCCCATCCTCCTAACTATTCTCTGGGGTCTGGCCGTCCTTATATTCGGATTCGCCTACCTCCTCAAGCTACAGGCACATGCCCTCATCGCAGTCAAATGTCCTGCTGCCGTTGCATGGTACAAACGTGCTTCAGTTTTTTCCATTGAATACATATATTACACAGAGAACACTACTTACGACTCCACCTGTTCAATCTGTAGGATTGTGTGTGTTATATTCGTGTTGCTCGAAGTGGCAGTACTATCGATCCTCTTCTACCTCATTATCCTGCCCATCTACCAGGACGGTCTCTTTGACCGCGTTCTGAAGCTGCGAGGATTGAAGCATGTTCTCAAACAGAACGAGGGCAATGACCTTGTCAAATGCATGCGCGGCGTATCGGGCGGTCTATGGATTTTGCTCTTCCAGGTAATCAGCCAATGTTGACGATCCATCACATCGCCGTATCTATTTTCTATTTTATTTTTTTGTGAGAAAGCCCTCCACATGCATTCCGTACAAAGTGAACACACACAGCCAAAAAGAAAAGACTCAAAGTGGGTACTTCGTTAACATGAGCTATTTCTCTTTGCGTATATTGATGGCATCTAGATTCTCGTCTTGATCATCACGCTGCCTTTCAATATCGTCCCGGTCCTGGGCCAGATGGCTTTTGTCACCATCAATGGCTGGGTCCTGACCTTTGGCCTTCGATTCCACTACGATGCCGAGATCCGCAACATCTCAGTCTTGCAATCCAGACGCGAGGCATGGCAGCGAAGGAGTGAATACTCTGGGTAAGAAGATAGCTCTTGACAATACACCCATGTTATTTTGGGGCCTACATTGATACGTAAATGAACAGACACATATTCATTCGCTTTCTCTTTTTTCTCTTTTTTTTTTTTTCATTCTCTGACCGCAGGTTCGGTGCTGTGGCAGTGGCTCTGGAGATGATCCCGATCGCCAATCTCTTGTTTGTCTGGACCAACATCGTGGGCTGCGCTCTTTGGGTCGCAGACGAGATTGAGAGAGAAGAATTGAGACTGCAGCAGGAACAGTCGACCCACAGCCTAATGGCAGGACAAGGCAGCTTCAATCACGGAAGCCAATACAAGATGGCTGCCTCTGCATACCCTTGACCAAAAGCTGTTATAGTATTGATCCTGTTTTCTATAGACTTTATGGTTTTGTATGAATAATTGCAAAACCAACTCCCCCATTCTACACGACGCAGACTTTTACAGAATGAATCGAGGAGACCACGCTGTCTTCATCGCTTCATGTTTTTCAAAAGCTTAGTATTTGATCTAATATTTCCTCCCGTGCGCGCTCTGACAATAAAGTTGATTGGATATCGAGCTCACTTATCCTGCAAGATGTCGCCCTGAACACCTTGAGCATAGCTGCAGCTGCAAGTGGCCCAAAGTTCGAGTTCGATACCTGAAGGCGTTCCAGGCAGTCAAGGCTCTTCATTCCTGCGAATGCCGAGGCAAAGTCCTCGTCCTGAAATCCAAGCCCAATGCGAATGCACAGCTCCTTGGGCTCCAACAGCTTTAATGCCCGGACAAGATGCTGACGACCGTTGATATCCAAGTCTGGGGTCCTCGGAATAAGCGAGCGCAAGGCTGGGTCCATTGGCCATAGCTGACTGTGTGGATTGGTGATCTCTTCCAGTTTGAGGATCCGGTATATTGCCTTACGACTAGCATGGCCGCTGATTTGGTTTTGCATGACCTCATGTTCGTGGCTCTCTAGCATGCTTGCGAGAGCAAAAGCGCTGACGCCGCCAAACCCAGTGTTCCGTGCATCCAGAGCAAAGAGATGTTGACCGACCGACCATAATAACTCTCCGAGGCCTTCGTCCTCGATCCAATTATTGTGTATGTCTAGATGGGTGATTCGGTTATCCAACAAGGCCAGCGATCTCGCCAATTCTGCGCAGTGCTTCTGTAGCAGACCGCATGATGATAATTCCAGCACAGAGAGATATGGTAGGAAGAATAATGACTGTGTAACCTCGGTAAGTGGGTGAGAGTGATCATTCTTGGCTGATGTCAGACTGTCGCCGAGGAATATACCTGAGAGGCATAACTCCGTCAAGTTGGTAAATGCCTTTAGCAGAGAACCTAAGCCGGAGGTGTTCCATGGACTGGCCAAAGATCTCTCCGCTCGGTCCGCATCGCGTGTGCCCGTAGGATCCGAACCCCACAGGCGCAACTTGCGCAGGTATGGGAACTCTCCGGCACTCGGGTCCAGACTGGTAAAGAGTCCATGGCCGAAATCTGGGATATCAAGGCTCTGGATTCGGTCAAGTACAAGCAAGCTACAGATGGAATGCAGATTTCCGTTCAAATACTCTGCATGACAGTCCAGGTTCACATCGGGCTGAGATCCTGACATCGTCATAGACTCGTATGATGCATTCGCTTCTCCCCTTGTGTGCGAATACAGATGCAGTGCGGGTGCGGATGAAGCTCCTCCAGGGATGATTGTGCTTGCTTGCCTGGGTACGAGCGATAAGTGCCATAGCTCAATATTGGAGCCAAGAATCATATCTGTGATGACGCTCAAAAGATCCTTGTTCAAGAGCGAGGTGACTAAGCTCATCTCCTGAACCGTATAGTCGTTACCGAGAAGCAGTTCCAACTGCTTGGCATGGGCACTTGTCAATTCACTTGTGAGTCTGAGGTGCTTCTTTCGGTCGTCTAGGATCACAGCCTTGTCCTTAGACCCGCATGTGGAATTATTGTCTGCACAATTGTTGTCCAGTTGTTCGCTGATACCATTCCCATGTTCGTTTCCAAGAATCTCTCTGCATCGCCGTATCAGCAATTTGCGGTCCTCTCGTAGATGGTCGAACGTGGATAGGTAATGGCCGTGGCAGATCCACCGAGTGGTCTCATCATGGGCAGAAACTCGGCGCATACTCTCAACCCACATCTCTCCTCCGACCCGTAGCCTTTCGACGCATTCCCATAATCGCCGTAGATCGATCGCAGGTGGTGTGGCCTCGTCCATGCCTTCGAGTTTTTTCTCGAACGCTAATATCCTCTCGAGAGTTTCGATGGCGGTAGAGACGCGTTCCTCGATTTCCCAGGTGAAAGGCTGAAGCACATCAGTATACTGGCGTTGAGAAAGAGGAGGGACTGTAACCTTGGGCTGTGATATGCATCCCCTCTTCTCGACCGAGTAGATGCCGTGCTTGAGCACTCGAAGGAGCAGTAGCGTGTAGGTTCCGAATTGTTCACAGAATTGCTTCATATTCAGGATCTCGTAGCCAGGTTGGTCCGCGATATGGGAGCAATTTCGTAAATCAATTTTTTCCTCGCCGTTGCCATTGCCATTGTCATTGCCATGTTCCGTTGTGTTAGGTTCTATATGGAGGGGGAAGGTTGCACCTTCACTGCAGTCGCACAGAAAGTATAGGCGAAAGGTCCGTGGATCCCGCTCGCGGACATCTGGATGTGAAGATGTGGGAGCTGTGGCACTGACTAGAGAGGTTTCGTCCCAATGTCTCGGTTTGGCGTCTGGAAGGATAATAAATAGACGGGGCACTGGTTGTTCTGACAAGGGAACCGATTGTGCGAATATTGCTGCGCCCAAGTGGAGTAAGGTCGAAAGAGAGAAGTTTGAAGCTGGAGTGTGTGTGGAGTCAGATAATGTGCCGGCAAGCGACTGGAGCTCAAAGACATTATGATCAAGCCCGGTATCAGACAAGGCCGAGGTAAAGGACAGAGAGGACTCGGACCTCGGGCTATGTGTGTCTGCCGCAGCGTCAAAGGGATTGTTTACAGGCCAAGGGGTATGACTGTGGGATAAGGATGGCAATGTGCTCTCGGGAAGAATGGGCGAGGGCGAGGATGTTCTGGTTTGAAATTGCTGTGACGTTATTGACGCGTGAGCGGGTACAACCAAGAGGACTTCGTCTTCAATGTAAAGTACTCGCATTGGCACCATTCTGAGGAACAAAAGGTGGGAGTGTATTAGCGGTCAAGATCGCTCGAATGGCAGCTCAATTGGTCGAAGCAGAAACAACAATTGGTGATTGATAATCTGTATTCACATACAAGACATCGTCCGAGTTGGTCATGAAGGGGACCGAGGTTCTGTCGGTACGGCAGAGAGCGACGGTCTCGGGAAAGATGTCGAGAATGGGCTGCAGCATGACAATGGTTTCTCCCGTGGAGCTGACGGTTGAGACGGGGACATCAAAGGTCACCCACTCGTCCCCGATCTTGTGGGCTATTGTCTGCGTCAGGGCCGGATCGGACTCTGGGTCCAAGGTCGGTGTCATTCTCCCTGGGGAGTACATTGGAAATGAAATGGAATGAAGGAAAATGAGATGAAGAAATGAGGATGAATCAAAGCAAAGGAGGATGAGCACAGCAGGAGAAGCAATGTGCACTGCACACAGACAAACAAAAAAAATGGCATTCACCATACACGCATACACGTACATACACAGGTAGACAGTCTGGTTTCATATATGCGTATACGCTCACATCCACATGCACATTCGCGTTCATGTTGCAGGAGTGGAATAGGTAACAGAGAGCGACAGGAGACGTGTTCGTGGATGCAGTCTTTCGCTACCGCCGCATACGCAGAAATGCGTACCAACACACGCTAGAAAAACATAATGTAAATGCGCGTTCATTATTGTGTGTGTGTGAGTGTATTCGTAAAAGCAGAGCGTCGAGGAAGAGCGCGTTTTTTGTGCACGTGTGCGTATGCCTATGCATGGTCATGGTTCGCGTTCATTATTATTGGGTGTAAACAGGTTGATGAACCCATGCATTGTGAAATGAAACATGGAAAAAAACAGTGGAGACGGGTGCGGTTGTCTTATCAGATCCAATCCAAATGAACAGCTTAAAATGATATCTGATCCTCACTCTTCTCTCTCTCTCTCTCCTTTCTTTCTTCTCACACACTCCCCACATTTTCCACCCCTCTTTTTCTCATTCTTCCATCCTCTTTTCCGACTCCACTCCTTTGTTTCTTCATCGTCTTATTTCCTCCAGCTGCGCCCCATACTTCGCACCCATCCATTTTCCATCCATTTTCACCTCGGCTCCTTCGTATTTTAATAGCAACTGCAGCACTGCTCATTTGATACCATCATTCAATACTTTTTTTTCATCCTTTGGTAAGCAGCATGTTGAATTACAGTTCTTTTCTCTCTTATTTATTCGGAGAGTAATGCTGAAGGGAAAGAAGACTGCACCACTATGTTATGAAAGACAACTGAATGAATAAAAGAAATAGGAGTACCTACGGATAGAAGGAGGGGCGCAATGAAAATACCACTAGCCATTCCGTCGCTTAGTAATTTCAACCGCAGAAAGTGTTTATCTGATCTCGTCATTTCATGGCCTCCGCTTTCCCATGGCGTGCGCTGCGACCTTTTCTTTTTCTTTTTAGCCTGGTGTAACCTGCCTTCTTGCGCTTCTTTTACATCTCTGCCTGTGGGCGCAATGCAGCCAGAACAAAGCTAATATTCACTTACTAATGACTCTATCCCGATCGTCCTGTATTTTTACTTTGTCTGTTGCAACTGGTGCTGGTGCATGCTCTCAATCCTCAGGTACAGAGATCGACTGCAACATCCAAGCCACAGGATGTATCATCCGAAGACGAAGAGCACAAACGACGAAGAAAGCAGCCCCTTTCTCGTCCCCTCCGTCCCTGCTGGATATTCTCCACAGCAGCAACAACAACAACAGCAACAGCAGCAACAAGTTCAAGGACCACATGTTCGAGACTATCACGCGCTCGACAAATCGCAATCACCCCTAAAGAATAAAAAGAACTCCTCCGTCAACCACTCCGACTCGGACGCCGAAGAAGGTGACAGTGCGCACTCGACCGATTCCTCCTCGGCCTCGTCGTCCTCTTCTCTCCTTAACGACGAAGGCAACGACGACGATCTTGCAACGCAAGACCTCGGTACCACTGCTCACCGACACCACTCGCACCGTCATCGGAATCGTCGCGTGCAAATGTTACTCGCCGTTGCTGCTCAACTAGGCCTTCTGGTGTTTTTTGGAACGTTGGCTGGCGCCACTGCCAAGGCGCCTTGGGTCTATCCGTATTCCTGGCACCCCATCTGCATGGGCCTCTATGGCTTTGTTGCTACTGAAGGTATCGCATTGGCTTGCACTAATAGTGCTCAATTGAACAATTTTGTCACTTTGGACTTGAACTGATCCTCGGTTCCTTTTTCATGTTCTTTCGGCTCGAAACTCGAAACAGCCATCCTGATTCTCCAGCCGCTCGAGAAAGCAAGCCAAAAAAGGACCGCCAGAACTCTACATGGTCTCCTCCACACTTTCGCCTTTGTCTTCTCGCTCGCTGGGTTTGTGGCGATTTATGCCAACAAGGACCGACTGGGGAAGAAACATTTTGTCTCGAACCATGCCCTCTTTGGGTGCGCAGCCATGTTGATCTTTTTTCTGCAGGTTGTTTTCGGGATCGCGGTAGCCTATGGACCCCGGAGAATCTTTCAGTGGATAGGCCATGCGAGGATCATTCGCATCCATCGAGTTGCGGGCTACATCTCGATCGCAGTGTTGTGGTCAGCCCTCTGGCTGTCGGTGCTGACGAACTGGATGAAGAGAAACTTTAACCATGAGTGGATCTTTGCGCTTGGTTTAGGCATGATTGCGGTAGGGCTCGTGGGCCAGGTCACTCCATCGCGACTCTTTGCGGTCCGCAAACGAGTGTCCATTCATCCTCCTCGATCCTAACATGCTTCGCGCAACTACAACATGGCATGTGCATATTAATAGCAAGAGCCGCAGAAGCATCCATACCAATAGCATTGAACTTGCATTATCTTTACAATACATATACGCATACATCTATCACGCTGTATTATCAATGCCTTCCGATGAAGAGGACGTGACCACGAATGCATATGAACATAAGGAGGCAGAAGGCAGCATCTCTCATATATGAGCCATGCATATGTGCAGTGTAGAATGTGTAGTTGTCAGGATCCGACAACATTTAAGGTGCGCTTGCGGCGCTTTATTGCGCCCTGGATCTCTCCCAAACCTAGCTCATGCGCGACTGCCTTCAATAACTGCGTACTCGATTCGTCATAGCGCAAATCCGCAAGCGAGTCACCTCGCGACTGGCCGAGGTTGATCATGGCTATGGGGATACCTGTGTCCTTGGCTAATTTGACTAATCGATAGGCAGAAAAGGTTGCCAGAGAAGAGCCAATAACGAGGAGACCATTTGCTCCCTGAATGGTCTGGAGCGACCGATTCCTGACGTCGGCGGGCACATTTTCGCCAAAAAAGACGACACTGGGCTTGTAGTCGCCGGTTCTGCAGCAAGAGCAGGTCGGATATTGAAAGGTCCGGTAGTCGAGTTTGTGGGAGGATGAATAGCTGGAGAGCAGCTTTTGTTGGTCTGGAGTGTTGATCTCAACATCTCCGTCGGCGTTCATTCTTGCGTAGAGATTGGTGGCGGTCTGGGACTGGATCAGGTCGTTCCAGTCTGGGTTAAGATCAGCCAGAATGCGCTGAAATTCTGCGCGATCCTTCTCATGGCCACAGGCCATGCACTTGACGCGATACAAGGACCCGTGAAGCTCGATAACATCCTTGGTTCCGGCCTTTTGATGCAGTCCGTCGACATTCTGTGTGATTAGAGTCCTGATATATGAATTCGATTGAGGTGAAGCCGGTCCCTGAGTTGGTGATGAATCCAATAATGGTGACGATGAAGCTGTAGATGATGCTAACGATTGCAATTGTGCTTGGGATGGCGATTGGAAGGCAGCGAGGGCATAGTGGGTTGGATTGGGATCGGTTGTCAGGACAGGAGGGAACCCAAGGAAGGATCGGGCCCAGTAGCGATGTCTGGCCTCATCCGAAGCGACGAATGCCTGGTAGAAGACGGGTTTGTAGTCTGGGTTGAGGGTGTAGGTCCCGTTCTGTCCGCGGTAGTCTGGGATGGCCGAGTCCGTTGATACACCGGCGCCGGTAAGGACAGCGATGTTAGGGCTGTTGTCGCGCAGGAAGGACGCGAGTTCCTGGACAGCAATCGGGAACGGCGCTCTTGCTTGGCCAGTCGATGCAGTCGATAAGGCCTTTGAGACCGACTGGAGGGAAATCCGTAGACGCATTGAGGACGATTGGATTCAACAAGGAGTGAGTGGAGGAGGAGGAGGAAGAGGAGGGAGGGAAGGCGTACAAAGTAACATAAAACTGAATCATGTTTTATTCATTACCTTTACTTCCACTCAGCACTCGTCGTCCTAGCTTTACTTCCACAACTAATTACCAACAAAGGCCGCCATCCATCCATCGACACCATCACTCCCTTCCTTCCATCTCTCCTTCCCTCCTTCCTTCCTCCTTTCCATTCATTTCCATCTTCCCGGTCCTATCCTTTTCTGTTTACGCCCTTTTTATTTTTATTTTTATTGCTCTTCTGCAACACACGGCTATCTTATCCCAAAACAATTAAACAATAATAGTGTTCTTCTCTTCCCTTCTCTTTCCTTTACTTTTAATCGCTCACTCTCTTCGCCGGTTGATCGCTCAATTCTTCCTCTCCCAGCGAGTAACCGATTGAAAAACTCAATCCCATCAAAATCAAGAGACCATGCTTGCCACCAATGCTGCCCACCTCAACTACCATGACCTCGACAATGTCCTTAAGCAGCCAGAGACCGAACACAACTGGGCCGCAAAGGAAGCCGCCATTAAGAGTCTCGGCTCTGCCTGCCACTCCTCCATCGCCCAGAACCACGAATTCATCTCCTTCATCAAGTCTCATCGCAAGGCTTTTACAGACTCAGTAAGTCTTCTGTCTATCTTATCAACAATGGCATTATGCCATTGCTGTCACTGGATGCCTATCTTATTTCATTGCAATCCCGACTTATAACAATATCTTATCGCCTCCTGCTAGCTCTTGACGGAAAGAACCCGCTTATCGGGAACCGCTTGCGAATTGGTCGAGAAGCTGTCGACAGCCATGGGTCGTGATTTTGGTTTCCATTTTGCCGACTTCTTCACAGGCGCGCTTCTCAAAGTATGCGCAAGAACAAACAAGGTCATGGTCAGCCGTGCAGTTAAGGCCCTCAATAGCATCATCAACGCCGGCTGTCTCACCACCCTCCCCAGGGCCTGCCAGGCCTTCATCACCAACAACAAAGCCCTCAGAATTGCCTGCATCGGTCTCATTGCCACCTGCATTGCGCAATTTCCTAGTCAGGATCTCGAGCCCTTCGTCGCCGCCTTTGAGCCCGTGCTGAAGGAGGGTGTCTCCGATGCCGCTCCAGAGGTTAGGGACACCAGTCGAAAGTCTTTCAAGGTCTACGCCGAAAAGTTTCCTGACCGTGCCCAGATGTAAGTCCCTTTTTGCAAAACTTGCACTATGTCTATTCGTCCATCATCATTATCGCCCTCGCTATCATCCTTGTAGTTGCTATCGTCATCGCAGCGAGCTAAAAAATGAAAGCAAGCTCGACCTTGTTCTTCTGCTCATGTTCTTGTTCCTATTTTACTGCTTTCTCTTTTGCTCTCGTTTGCTCTCTCCCTTTCTGTCCATCTCGACATGCCCTGCTCACCTTTCATTAACCCGCTCTCTCTCTCTTTCTCTTTTTTTTTTCTGTCTATTCTCTAGTCTCACTACGACTTTACCAGGGAATGTGTTGAAATATCTGCTGCCGGATTCTAGATCGTCAGTATCACAGGCACGAACAATAACTGCATCCACGGCACGTTCAGCATCCTCTATGGGTCGCTTTGGAGATACAGGAGAGTTGCCCCGTCACCAGTCGAGCCGTGAACTTACCACGGGACTGAGCAGGACAGGACCTAGCAGGACAGGACCCATGCGAGCAAGAACGATGGCCATGACGGAACATGCACCTTCCGCCTCCTTTAAGATGCCCTCCACCTCTGCCCCGCATACCTCGCAGTCAACACAACCCTATACCTACCATATAACCCAACACCAACACCACCATCAACAGCAGCCTCCGTCTCAGCAACTGCAGTCAAGCATGTCTCAGCAGCATCATACCCTAACGCGAAATCATGGACCAGCCAGCAGGACTGGTTCGCTCGCAGATACCTCTGATAGTGCTGGACATGGAACCCTGCGCCTGGCTTCTCAGAGAAGTCGCCCCCTTAGCAGCAGCGCCCTGACACCCAGCTCCATGCTGCAGCGCACTCCCTCGATCAACCTAGCTACCAATGGAGGCCCGCAGAGAGTTGTTCCTGCCTCATACAACGCTGACGCTGCTAAGCCAACCCGACCAACTTCGGTGAGTCGATTCTCCAAAACCGAGCCCGCATCCAAGGCGAACCGAATATCGACAATCTCCAGCCATTCGACCCACAGCACATCGCTGGAACGCGACCCGAACCAGATGAGCGCCAGTGAACGCGCCAAGGCATATTCGGCAAGTTTGAAGAACGAGATGGCGAGCCGCCGCGCAAGCGACCTACATATGCGGACTGGGTTAGGTACCAGAAGAGCGACTTCAGATCATGTTGGGTACTCTGGATACGCATCCATGTCGTCGACCTCAATCTCAGCCAGCTCGAACGCAAGCACAGCTCCTACATCGGCTGCGGCATCGACCACTTCCGCCTCTCCTGCTTCCTCATCCTCTACCTCACCAACAGCAATGCATTCACCTAATCATGACCACCTGTTCTCGACCTTCAGGGCTCCCGCCAGCTCACAGACGGCCTCCTCGCCGTCAGAGTCCTGTACCTCACCCGACGCCAGACGCTGGACCCCACCAAGGTCCCAACCGTCGGACGACGCTATCAATAATGCTGTTGAATCCGATCCGCTTTCGCCCACGGTCATGGCCCAGGTATCCTTGGAGGCGGATCGTAGCATATCAGACCGTAGCATATCGGACCAGAACCATCATCAGGAACACCAGCAGCAGCACCAGAACGATGTCTCTGTTGTAGAGGCTTTATCACGCGCAAATACTGGCCAAACGCCTCTGTCTCCCCACTCGCCACTGCATCCTCATACTGCGCTGCCGTATCCGCCATTGACTCAATCTGGAGAACATGAGCAAGCAAACTCACCAAACTCACTCTACGCTCCGCCATCGCCTCTGCAGGAGAACCACGAGGCAGATGTACGGGACTTTGATTTTGCAGAGGCGTATAGCGACGCCGATACGGACCACAACATGAGTGTCCCGGACCACGAGAGTTTATTCGGGAATACAGAAAGCTATCTGCAGATTGAGAAGGAGATCTTGGAGCTACAGCAGTCTCTCAAAGGACGGGTGCCTGCAAGGTCAAACGAAGGACAAGATAGAAGCGACTTTATGGATGAGGATGCCCAAGTGATTGAGCAGGAGCAGATAGCGGTCAAGGTGTATGCAGAAGAGTACGAAGCCACGCTAGCAGCAGCATCGTGCTCTTCAACTTCGCTACCCTCGAGCCACGAAGAAGAATGACCCACATCGAATATTTTCGAAAAGAGCTCACAAGAAGCAACTGTCTATTGAAGACCAACAAAGAACAACGAGACCCGGTCGAACGTGCCTGCATTGTCCAGATGAGCACTGGCAGTGAATCCATTGCAACTGATCCTGTTTCTATTGCCTTTTTCTGGTCAGCAACAACGACATACCTCTGTGTGTGGGCAGGTCGATGCGTTATTCTGCTCGAAGTATATACCATTTACACCTCACCCTCCGCTCACAACCGGAAATAAAAATCGCAAGTCTTGTTAACGTTTTAAGAATCTGTCCCAAACTTGTGTCTAACATTGCACCACTGTCTTCCTCTCTCCTCTCTGCCCCAACATGGACAACAAACGAAAGAATCCCGGTAACAATTGATACTAATAACAATAATAAAAAGACAAGCATCAACGCACAGCCCAAATGCAAGATTGACAGTACATCTCCCACCATCAACCTCAACGTTCACACAACGTGGGATGCGATACTCCAAGCTATACGAAAGAACAAACAAGAAATCATACAAATACACGTCCAGTTGCGAAATACCTGTGTTCCCGACCGACCGAACCACTTAATGCCATTTCTCACAGACGCATACGAGAAGCGGCTATATGCAAGAGACTACGCTACAGCCAAGGTCAGGGCGATCACAGAACATGGCATCAAAAGCAACGGCACCATTCATTGTTGCGCAATAGCAAGTTTCCTTCAACCATCGACCTCAAATGTATCAACAGCTCCTAACAGCAGTTACACCCAACACGTAGGCAACAAGAACAGCTGGCTGCGTCATTACACAAGGCAATACCTGATAACCAGAATCACTGACAATAACCCAACTACCCATTTCGACGCCCAGGCAGCAGACGCAATTGCTCACCTGCAGAAAGTCCTGCAACATATGAGATACGGGCGAATCGACACAGCCATCCAGGAACTACTACACCATTGGTAATACACGATTGCGAGGAAATCTTGCGTCATGGATCCGATGTGTCAACAATAGCGTAAAGACCCCAAGTTCAGGCGCCTCTGCAGAGATCTATCACCTCGCGCTACAAATACATCACAGGACACACGAAAGATTTTCTGACAGAATCCAAGGTAACGACGTCAATATCGAAACCAACTCTCGAAACGCATCCGAGTCCGTGCTACCTGATACCCCACCCGCTGAAATATGGCAAGAAGGACTCTATGACAAAGGTACGTACTTCCGCTCATCAAATAATTTCGTCCGCAATCAACAGAGTATCTCTTACTTCTACCTTTCATTTTTCTCTCTAACTTTTATAAACAGCTGGTTTTTCTAGCTACAGGAACCCTACTCATTAGCAGAAAAAATCTTCGTCAACAGCAACGACATCTCTTCACGGAACAAACACTGCGCCTATATTATATTCTACCGGAATTCGTACAAGGTTAGACAGATCATGAACAAGCTTTATGACGACGAATTCGACGACTTTTGCAAATCGCTTTGCAAATACGACAAAGACAACAAAGGCCGCTACACAAAGCCTCTCAAACAGCGAGCCTTCGAACCAACATCCACCATTAAACGGCGGTCTTTGTGTTTCATATCCCTGCAAACTTTTACTGTTAATCTTTCTGACCTCGGCATCTACTGATAGACGAAAAATGGCCCTTGTTGCACCATGGCTCTTATCAACTTCACCACAAACCAGCACCCATCTCCTACATCCACATGTACCATCAACAGCATCAAGGCGGATATATCTTCAGAAGTTATTGATTGTGCTAATCTATTCTATCGATTTGAAAGGTCGCTGATATCCATTTTTCATTTATTATAACATCCTTATAAAGGCTGTAGCGGAAAATAATTTTTGGTTCTGCAGAGCCTTCATCACTACCTGCTGTGCAATCGCGAAAACAACAACAGCATGCAGGACAAGAACAGCAGGCCTTACCATGATAACAATACCGGCTTTGACGCAACCGGAAATCATATCGTGCTCATAATGCCCTTTGATCATTGTGTTTGGGAGCTCGATTCATTAGACCCAAAGGGACCTCTGTGTTTGGGCCCAGAAGGCGACAATTAGACCGAAGTGGCTCAAAAAAGACTAGAAAGATGGAGTTATGCAGCAACGAAAACGCAAGTTCACAATGACATGGACGCGATCGAACGATCCTGCAAACCCCGCTGATCTCGCAACGTGAATAAGTGTCAAAAAAGATAAGAGAGATATGTCGTGACATTTCATCTAAATCATCACTGCCTTTGCATGTCAACGTTTCATTATCCGATTTATTAAAGCGCTAATGTGCCTTAACGTTCATGTATCACACGCGTAATCTATTTTTTTTTGAATCTATGTTTTGCAGATCATGCTGGTATTTCACTTTCTCCAATAAATGCGTCGGCTAATTCGTCTGGCCTCTATTTATACATGTATATACTTGACAGAAACCATCTGAACTCTCGTCCATTACTGCCTACCAGATATCATGAGCGTGATATCAAATTCTCGCTGCTTTCCTACATATAAACAGATACTGCATGACAACAACGTCGACAAAAAACCTTTTCCGCGAACATGAGTGTGTCTATATTCCCACGCATAACTATGGGAAAGATCATGGATGAAACGTGCGCCAGGATTCCTCTTTTACGCCATCAACTGATTGTGAGTGATCGGAACAACACAGACATATATGTTTTCTATCTGTCCCTGGCGACGCCTTGGACATTTCGCTCTTGAAAACCAGCAATGTTATCTTTATGCGTTATGTCCAGCAGCCTCTCTTCCTGGACACGTCTGAGGGCCTCTGCATCGGGGATACAGCCTTTTTCTATGGAGTGCCACACTCTCTATCCACCATTTTCGACACACATTGCGCTATTATCCCACACGTCCGCAAGAAGTGTGACAATCAAGCTTCTCTACGTTGTGCTACGTGCAAACAGACTTTCCACTGCTCGCGGGAATGCCAGATTAACAACTGGCCGGACCATAGATTTATGTGTCGCATATTGATCCTGGTTGGCCCTGTCACAACTCTGGACCACACTCGATTTACAGATTATGTGCCCTTCAACTAAGTAGCTTCAGTAAAGAAGTTTGTTCTGAAATAAAAGACCTTATGAAAAAGTGAGGGAGAGTCAGTTAAAACCCGGTCGTATAGTGTGGCACCTAATATGTAAAAATAAAGGCGATCGCATGGACCTCGTGCCTGAAAAACGAACAGCCAAAAAAAAAGGTCCGTTCATTTCAAAAGCATCTCAGTGGCCACTTGATATCTTGATCTCACCAATTCATTTTACAATTTTTCTTGTTTCATCTTACTCTTTCTATCTCTTCCACTCACACCCAAGCACACCCAAGCATGACAACTCCTTTGATCCAAAAGAAAGACAGCACATCCTTTTCTAACCCTCTTTGCGTTATTCTGTTTCTGTTTTCTTTGCATCCATCTCTCTCTCTCTCTCTTGCTCTGTGCACTTCCCTGGGTGAGGCGTTATTCTATTCCAATGTCACACAACTCTTTCTTTGCTAGCCTCTCCCGCGGAACTCTTGAACCTTCGTTTACATTGTACAGGGCTCATAGAAGACTTTTGCCATTTCCTTATTCACCGCTCTCCTTGCTTCGCCATTTGTTCTTTCATTTCCTTCCTTCCTTTCTTTCTTCCCACTCCCCACCCTCCTACTTGTCGCCCTGCAACTAACCATTCGAACATCCTAAGCGCGGTTCGAACATGGATGATGACAACAGGGATGAGACGGGCTACGTCGCCGTGGACATGCCAGGCGAATCTGGATCCTTCTCGACAAGGCCGACAAAGCATCGGACAAAGTACCGGCCGCCATGGGTTTTGCGGAAATCATCATCAACTATTGCATCCGCCAAGAAGAATGCGAAGAGGATTTTCATTTTTAAGCTCCACTCACCCAGTGCCTAAACCTTCTAGTCTTGTCTCATATGGACATTGCATTGAGAATTCTGCGGAGGCTCGCCTACTTTCCCGTCAAACATCGTTCGCTTGTCGATCACCACGCCATTGTCCACCTCCCCGAGTTTCGATCGCGATTCTGGGCGCTGAACAAGCGATCTCTGAGCGAGTGCAAAAATCCAATCCTGCAGCTGAATTGTAACCTAGAAGACAAGACGCACACCCTACAGAATGATAGCATTGTTTGCGAGAAATATATTGCATCCTTTAGTATGTTATGGCAAATAACTATCCAGCCGAAATCCCAAGCAGCTGTTCCCAAATGGAAGGTAGAGGATCCAATCTTTCCCTCTTGGATACACATCATCGGCCAAGCTGCCTGGGTACTCTTCAACCTTGGGCTAAAGCCAGTAGTGAAATACCACAAATTCACTCCGGTGTTACTGGAACACCCCGCAATCGACCCTCTGGTCGACTTCAGATGGTAAGAAGCAGGATTTCATCCGATGGTTCTCTTCTGCAATCCAGAGAGGATCAATCATTTCTAAAAGGCTACTTGTCACTCATTTAGGAACACTATTGGCTTCTACTACTGGCTCTTCCACTTTTTTTTGGCAGTGCGTCTACTACCTGCTGATTTTGGTAGCCGTATTCATGCAGGTGTATACACCCGGCCATGGTTCACTCGTCGGTGTCTTTATTGCAGCCATCATCCTGGCAACTATCTTCCTATATCTTGAAATACGTCAATTTGCCCCGCAGTGGAGGATGGCGATACTTCTCGTAAGGACAATTACTACATAATAATATTATTTTATTTGTCTGGTTTTATTAATGACCGAATGTACCATATAGGTCGCCATACAATTTTGTTGACCTGGCCGTGTTTGCGCTTCCCATGACTAGCGGTATGAATCAACTCATCAGCATTGCCAGCGATAATCCAGATGGGAACACATCGGTTCTCAGCTTCTCAGTACTCTTTATCGCTCTGCACTTTGTAAGGATCACGCTTCTGCCTGTTCAAGAAGAGACATGTATTTTGCTTCTTTAAAATGCCTAACACTGTTATGACATCTTTTTTTTTTTTTTTTTTTTTTCTAGCTATTTGAGCTAAGCATTAACAAGAGCGTGTGCCGTTTCATTACTATCATCCTCCGCATCATTTGGAAAATCCGTATTTTCTTTTTTGTCTTCACTTTCGGAATCCTGGCCTTCACGGCAGCCCTTTTACATGTACTCCACGCCTGTCCAGTAGATAGCTGTTCGAACCCGAATCCATCCACTTTCCCGACCCACTTTTATCGCGCCATCTCGGCTACATATTTTTTTATGGTGAGACGCAATAGTCGGTATTGGGCGCGATAGTAATTGTTGTAGTCGATAAGCTTCGCATCTACTCTCAGTTAGCATCTCATCTCCGTCGCTGACCTCCATTGTGCTTCTCGCCTCAATTTCTATCTGAATGGAAGACGGTATGATCCAGTCAGTGACGATTTCGACAACGATAGCTGGGCACTCATAACTGGGCATTCCATACGGTGGTGATCGTATTATTCTTCTTCACGGCCATTCTCTTGCTCAATGTGCTCATTGGTAAGACCGACCTTTTGTTTTTACTAACTTCAGAACATTAACATCAATTGAAATGCTAATTATAACATACCACTACCCATGGTCAATAATAGCATTAATAAATGCTGCTTTTATCGAAGGTGACGAAACGTGGCACTTGATACGGCTCGAGGCTAGAATGCGCATTGTTGAAAGCGCAGAGAATATGTCCTACAAAATCCCAGGTAAGAGAAAATAGTTCGCGGATCGGCGTTCCCATAACCTATTGTGTGCTTGACAAGGACATGCCCTGTCAAAGCAGTTTTTACTGTCGCTCTTGTTAATATGGTTGAAAATAATAGGTTTCAGGAGGGACTGGAATTACTTCCCAAATGCGATTTACTACACAGAATTCAAACGGGACAAACCGTTACCAGGGGAACTGTAGATGGTACAGGAAGAGCAGAATAGAAACGTAGAAGACCTGAAAAAGGATATGGCGGCATTGAACGATCAGCTAGTTCAATTGGCAGTGTCAGTGAATAAGGTGGCGGCACTGCAGGATCAACTAAAGGAGCGACAAACATCATTCGAGGCCAAGTTTTCAGAGGTCAAGGAGGCAGAAGAAAGACGATTTGCAGAGTTGAAGGAATTTCTACTGACCAACTTAACAGAACCTGGCAAGCACGTTAGCAGTAGTACGTAGAAGAGGAGAACCACACAACATTTAAACATAGTCTGCTTCTTGACCATGGGCGTTGTTTCAGACATATATCGCAGCTATCGTGTGCACTCCTAGGGCAACCCTTTATTTTCGCTGGAAGAATGGTGCATGACATAAACGGAAACTCGTGGGCGTAGGAGCAGTTCAGACCTTGTGAGTTCGTCTACAGGATTTTCTTCAGACCGAACCCAGGCAACAGAGATGTGTAGAAAGTGTCACTTTGTCTATTAGTTCTTAATAAAGAAATGGGAAAATAGAAACATATGACTTTTAAGAATTATCTGTTTAAATATGAACATTGCCAGAACAAGGATCACATCGCCTGCATAAATGTGAATGTTTGCACAGCGAAAAATGTGCGCAACTTTACGTTACACAAGAAAAAATGGGCACAGTCAGTCGAGCCTCAAATATCCGAACGATACACAGTCAAAATCGTTCGGATAAAAATTAGGTTTTAATGAATTGATTGTATTCAGAAACTCGCAGAAAATATATACCCCACTTCCCGGGGCTCCCTAAATGCAAGGCCGAACGAATGGCTGACTCGCCTAGCTTTCCTCAATTGCACGGCCCCGAACAAATGGTTAAACAAATGGCTATGAAATTTGAAGACATCGTTTATTAAGGAAAGGGTCTGAATGAGTGCCTGAATGAGTGCCTGGATGAGTGGTGGTGTTTGTTCGAGGCCGTGCAATTGAGGAAAGCTAGGCGAGTCAGCCATTCGTTCGGCCTTGCATTTAGGGAGCCCCGGGAAGTGGGGTATATATTTTCTGCGAGTTTCTGAATACAATCAATTCATTAAAACCTAATTTTTATCCGAACGATTTTGACTGTGTATCGTTCGAATATTTGAGGTTCGACTGACAGACAGCCTTCCAGAGTGAGAGGGGAGGGGAAGGGAGGGGAGCGAAGTTACAGTGAAAGAAGGAGTGATGAGGTTGTCTTTCGATGATGGAGAGGGTGTGAAGTTATCAATGACGCTAGGCGATTGCTTACGGTGATTGACCATATTTTTCAAGACGTTTTTTGAAGCATGGAAATCGAGTTCCTGTCGATAAAGGATAAGTACTGTAAGCTGTGGCTTAGGCGCGATACTGTTGCGCTTGGAGATAGTTCTTTTACAGTTGTATGGAGTAAGGAAACTCCCAATCTGAATGCTCGAATAATTTGTGTTCCACACTGAACACAAGGGTCTTACGCACAACTACGCTTCTTGTTCAATGGAACCATAATTCATTATTGATATATCTAAGTAAAAAAGGGTACCTGTAGCGAGTGATCAGCACAACGGTTTTCTTGTTCAACTGGAACAAGGAATAAAAGACCGCTGGCTTCGATCCTCCTTTTATACAGGCACAACCCCAAAACCTAATATCGAATCCTGCGTACCCTCGGTGGCTGCTGGCCAACAATACATATCATTCTTCTTCTGCCAGATTACCTTCGGCATCAAGATAATAGCAAAAGTCCTTCTCAGGATCGTTTCCAAGCTGCCTCTTTACAGGAGCATCCGACAGATGACAGTCCAGCCACACGGTCTCCGTCTTACTGGCCAGCAGATTGTTGTTGGAGACAGGCATAATTGATTTATATATCTCTTCTTGACATTTCGTTTTGATCGATTAATCCAGACACGCTGATCTCCAACATTTGACAGTTTTGAAAATATAGTTTGTGGTCACGCCAAAGCCACAGCAATAACATACTTTTTTTTGTATCAACCATTCCACTCTTCATTGGACGCTTCACCCATTCACTCTCGTTGACCACCACCACCATGGCCACAAACAACATTGTCGCCGACTTTGAGACCTGGCAAACATCTCTCTTTGGTATCCTGGTCAAGGCTACTAGGGCTGCCAACGCTATTCCCGCTAGCGATGTCAGCTTTTACAAGACCCTTGATCATTCTTTCGCCGAGAATATGAACGACGCCTCGACTGCGACCCTGGACCTCTGCAACGGACTCCTGCGTCAGGCCGCTGGCCATCAGACTGAGCAACTTAAGGATGGGGACGATGTGGCCGACCGCTACGACATTATCGTGGACGCTGTCGACAACATGCTGGAGAAAGTGGTATGGAATCTAACACAATTCTTGAAGTTCAACTGCTCAATGCTGTCTCGTGGCGATGATTAATTGGATGGTGTTATTTTGTTGTAGGATGTTGCTCTGGATGAGATGAAAGCTCCGCGAAAGAAAGGAGCACCCGCCATTCCTCAAAGTACCCCCATTGTCGCTTCTGCCAAGGTATGGGAAGACTCGTTCGTGACACTAAATGGTCTACAGATATCTGCCCGGGTGTTCGTGCTAATGCTACAAGATCTTGCCCTTGATATCCATTTCCGATTAGAATGACAGGCTGGAATACAAACTGATTCACGCCCAAAACATTGCTCGACCTCAGCTGCGATTCCCTGATCCAGTCGACAATTCGTCTACTCCCTTCCTGCGCAAGATCACATACAAACCCAATGCAAAGGTGGATCTCAGTTATGGCATGGATCGTACGTCGACTGACTCTTTCTCATCGGAATTAATGGTGCAACCCCACCCTTACGAGTATGAGATCAAGCACTTGGATTATCCTCAGCACATGTTTGAGCAGAGACCCGAGCAACTGTATACGCCCTTTGATCAGACATCGCCAATCTGGGTAGACACGGAGGAGGCGCTCAAAGACATGTGCAAGGCTCTGGAGATGCAGCGGGAGATTGCTGTTGATCTGGAACACCATAACTACCGATCCTTTCAGGGCTTTGTCTGTCTGATGCAGATCTCGACTCGTGATCAGGATTATATGATCGACACACTAGAGCTCCGAGGATCATTGCACCTCTTGAACCAGTCCTTTACGGATCCCAATATCGTCAAGGTCTTGCACGGAGCAGAGTCTGATATTATCTGGCTGCAGCGAGATTTCGGTGTCTACATCGTCAACCTGTTCGACACCTATCATGCTACGAAACTGCTCGGTATGTTTCCTAGTATTTATCGATACAAGCTTTGTGATGATCGGGGAGTACATTACTATTAACTGATTACCCGCCTATTATCTTTTTTTTTTTTTTTTTTTTTTGCAACCCGATCCAACAGAATTCGGAAGCCATTCGTTGGCCCATTTGTTAAAACTGTATGCGGACTTCGACGCGGACAAGAAATATCAGCTGGCTGACTGGCGTATTCGGTAAACACGAATTGCTTATGCATTTATGACACTGCTGGACAAATTACTGCTAGCATAAAGCCTTTTTTTTTTCTTTCTAATACTGAAACCTTTTACTACTCTCATTCGCATACTCTGGATCATAGCCCATTGCCGAAAGAGATGCTCAATTATGCGCGCTCGGATACCCATTTCTTGCTTTACATCTATGATCGTATGCGAAACGCCCTCCTGGACAAGTCCAACCCAACAACGCACAACCTTCTGCGTGCGACCCTGCTTCGCTCTTCAGAAACGTCGCTTCGACTACATGAGAAGGAGGTATACGATGCAGAGGGAGGCGATGGCGCTAACGGATGGAGGAATCTTTACTCGAAATGGAACCGGGCGCTCAACAACATGCAGTTTGCGGTGTTCAAGGCAGTCCATGCCTGGAGGGATCAGACGGCCCGCGACGAGGACGAGAGTATCCGATATGTTCTCCCAAACAACATGCTTTTCAAGTTGGCTGAGCAGATGCCAGAGGAGGCTTCGGAAGTGCTTGCCTGCTGCAACCCCGTTCCGCCGTCTGTCAGAATGAATGCGACCGATGTTGCCATGCTGATCAGCCGCACCAAGGCCAGTGTACCAACGATGCTGGGAGGCTTCAAGCCTATCGAAATTGATGTCCCAGTGCATGTGCGCTTTGACCCCAAGACAGGGCTCCAGTCAACAGAGGACGGCAAAAAAGCGACAGAAGGGTCATCATCTTCATTATTATCTCACAAAGCGACACCATTGGAGAGGGCAGCACAGGCTCAGGGTGGAAAGGTCATTGCAGCTGCGAGTTCGGGCATGTTTGGTCAAGGCTCAGTCCGGGCTTCTGCTGTTACCAGCAAGCCATTGGCTGATCCTACGCCCCTCATGGCCACTCACTCAGGTATGTTTGGGGACCTTATAGCTTCTAGGGCTTCTCAGGCGGAGGAGGAGGGAAAGAAGATTGCGCAACGGATCATGATGGAATTATCACACCGGCCGGCAGAAGCCGCACCTGTATTCAAGGAGGTCACCGATACCGCGGACCTGGAACCTGTCAAGACGCCTGTCGCAGATGCGAAGACAGAGGAAGAACAGCAGGAGGTGCTGTTCACGCCACAGGAAGATCGTGTCACTAAGCAAAAGAGGACCGATGTTCTCATGCTCTCATCCATGTCCACGAAGCGGTCCAGAGCCATTGACGAGGAGCGTGCAGAGCTTGCGCGGGAAGAGATTGGATCAGGTAACGCAGAAATTGCAGGCGGCGACAATGCAGAGGTGGTGTCGATCAAGAAGAAGAAGCCCAGAAAAGAAAAGTTGTCTGCATCGTCAGCCAGCGCGACACCTACGTCCTCAGCTGCCGTCTCGGGCGATGAGTTGCCAGAAGCCTTCAAACCATTTGATTACAACAGTGTTCGGTCAGTTGTGGATGAAGTAGTTGACAGCGCTGGCAAGAAGCGACAGAAGAAGAAGAAGGTCGAGGCGACCAACGAGCGCGCTGCACCCTTCGATCCTTATTCCAAACTGGAGGAAAAGAAGGACCTGAAGAAGAAGGACGCATCATTCTCGCGTAATCCGAAGTCGGGAGCGCGTAGTATGACCTTCAACACCAATTAAGTGGAGCCAGACTTCCGCACATTCTGCAAAAATAATAAACACATTGTATGCTACAAGACACAATGATGAAGAGTACGTGTTATCAAGTCATTCACCAAGGGTTCGAAGAATGGGCAAGCAAGCTCAAGCGCCATCGTTCCACGAGTATGTACATAATCTCTTGATATGCTACATAGGCAACAAAGCATGGTACACCAATTTTTTATTACATTACTATCGGAAAAAAGGAAGCCATCCCTGAGAACATGAGTGAGGGTCGGAATGGACGATAGTCCTGCTCATCGAGCTGAGCGCACCAGATGATTTGTTGACGTCAAGTTTCTTAAGTAGAGTGCTGTTGTTTTTGGCGGTTTATTATGGGGACTAGGGTCTGAATCACCCTCGGCTGTCTGTACTAGACGATTAAAACTTTTAGCGACATTAGTTTTGTCTTGACTTCTTGACTTGTTCCTAACCAACAACTTTTTAATATTCCAGCTTGGCAAGTAGTTTCATTCGTACTGCAACGCATCCAGCCTTAATACCTCAAGCTGCCGTCTTATTAACCAAGCCTTTATTTAACCAGGCCTTTGTTTTAGTCCGTGGTCCGTCCTCTGCTTCCATTGATCGTTCACTGTCCTTGTCATTCTACCGCTCGTTAACAACAGAAAGTGCTATATCAGCTTTGTATAGACTAATTGCCGTTTTCATATTTAACGCTCTCATGGCCCTCATTTGTTTGCAAAGGATGCCCACATGACTCTATTCAGCATTTGAAGGCCTGGCCAGCACGCGCTAACTCAAGGTCGCTGTAGAGAATAGAACGACCATTGTCCATCTCGGACAGATGCGCTTCTTGTCTTTTTATATCAAGTAATTCCCCAGCCAATTATCAATATCCTTTTTTTTTTTTTTTTTTTTGAGATCTTTGGCAGAAGACGATATGCTCCATGAGCTGCCCTGGAGTCATCGTGTATTGTGCATCCGGCGACTAAAGACCTAAAACTCACAGAAAAACAAGGTATGTAGAGCGCGTATTACTGTCGTATTTACTTTACTCTGACCAATCGAGCTCTTCTAGCCACTAGCACAATTCTCTTTTTGAGTGTTGTACATTGAAGACGGGGTCTTCGTTGTTGTGTCTGATATGGCGTCCATAGCATTAAAGCATCTCCGCGTTCGGTTTATTGTCTCTATTCAAATACTCTCTGTTCTTTGCCTTGGCTCTATCTGATATCGATCTTGGATGCATTACCCACTGTTTAAATACTTTGTCTATGATCTCCAAGCCCAAAACCAAACAGATGCTGCTATCGCCCAGCAAACCGACGCTCAGCTGAACGCGGGGGCCACCGATGCGATGGTCCATGGGCTTCACTGCAAACTCTCCGAGATGTTTGCTCAGAACAAAGTTACCCTTCACCTGAATGGTCCACCCACTGCGCAAAAAAGGAATGCGCATGATGGGAGAGCTGAAGTAAACCTCAAGCGGCAGTAGGGTGCCAACCACCCCCTCGTCCGATCGCAGGCTTTAATGAACCACTCCATGGTCCGCTCGACTCAAGTTCAGCAGCCATCGCTGACCCCGATTAACGCTCCCGCAACACCCATTCTAACAATCGGCGTTGCTATCCTCCTCCTATAGGTATTGTACCTTTACTTACACCGATAATTCGCTATCGAAAACCCAAGATTATCAAGGAGATCTAGAAGATCAAGCGCTTCTGGTAAACCGCCAGGGGATGCGTCTCCTCGACCGACCTCATATCCCGCCTCAAAAGCCTTGGTCGGGATGTACCGGCGGATCGGACGTGTGTATCTCTACCCTACCCCCGCCTGTATATGTCGCAGCAATAGACTCCGACTATCCTTTCCGTATGGTCGATACTTTCTTTCGCCGAAGCTCCTAAAACAGGTTCGGACTCAACCCATTGAAGGCTCGACCGATATCCTTCAACGGCTTGGTATCAGTGCAGTGATGTGGATCGTAGCTGGCATAGTCACCAAAAATGACTACAATGCTGAACATCTAGTCGCAACATAAGACTTTGACATGACTAGAAACGCCTACTCATTATCATATACAACTGCTGAATCAAAATTCGGACCACTGAAATATGTATCTACAACCCAAACTTCTAGTTCAATGGTTTTTGAGCTTCAACGTTTTCTACATATAGTCGTGACTAGATGCTCCGCACCATACGTCAAGAATGTGAGAGGATATGGTCTATCAAGTGCTAAGGAGCATCCTAAATGCGTGTAGCCTTACAGTGCCTCTTATTCTGCAGGGATATTGCGATACTATAACGAGTAGGCTGAACTTGCCGAGTCTACATCCGGCCGGCCATTGCGACGCCGCCTCTGATGTCTTCTTGAGGTACGAAGACCAGGATATCCTCGATGGCCTGATGTACGATGCCATCCTGGAGGTAAACGCCTTTTTGGTACGGTTCAAGGCCATGAGATATCGACCATTTCCCATTTGCCTAGTCCTTTGTTCTCCTACGACACAGACATCACGAAACAAGTACATGGCGCTGAGCCAGTACCGAGCCAAGATATACCGGACCCCACTGACCAAGTCTCAGGCACCCGCCCTAACTACTCTAACCTCAACTAAAGAGTCAACGAAAAGAGAAGGCAGAAACCGAAACTTATATTCAACCCGTCGCCTAGAGGTGCTAGGGCTATTCCCTCAGAGGCCACTGGTACGGATACACCCAAATCCAGGAATCGAGCAGCCATTATGAGCACGTCCCTCAAAGCCATTTTCAGGATAGTTGCGTTGAACTGCGGCACCCTTTCGACACAGCTAAGGGTCGGTTTGTCCGAGGTCATGAATGCTGACGAAGCAGAGCGGGACCGGTTCCACAAGGACGTCGTTCACATAATCTAAGAGATGGTACGTGCAGCGACAGACGCGCTCAGCAGGCGATTGCGGCGCACATCGGCGCTGCTATGGCGGCCCGCCCTGGTCTGATACGAGCAGACATCGATTTCAAAAGAGACAACTTGTCCAGCTTATCATCTTCCGCAATAATATCCTTTCTAATTATTCTCTGTGACATCATGGCCATCCACGACCAAGAGGCGCAACATTAAGAAAACCACGAGCGGATACCACGACCAATGGCTGTCTGAGGGAAATAACAAAGAGTTACAGGCGCATCCTTCTCAACGCGCATTAGACAATTCCAACGAGACCATGCTGCTCGGACGGCTCTGTCAAACTTCCTCAAGAATGAGTTACGATACTCGAGGGGTACAAGGCAGAAATCAACGCAGGATATTTCCGGAGGAAATATGTGTGGACAGAATCGTTCACCACTGATGGATGCGTCCTCAAACTGATTCCTTGCTCCTTGGTCAAGAAGCAGCCGAGTGGTGTTACCGTGCTGAATACAGCGAAATAGAAGATAGAAGACATTAAGATTGCCCTGGGAGACGAATACCAGATGGAGTGCCAACTAGGCAACTAAAGAACATACAAGGTTGTTGGAATTGACAACAGGGGTCAAGAAGACCGTTACAGCGGTCGTCCTCACCACGGCAGATTGGTCGCTGGTGCACTCCAGGGACAACAACCTATCATCATGAGCTACACGAGCTGGAGTAGACAATTCAAGCAATCGTATGCCTCCCAATATTACCACCAGCACCGGCGGCAGCCAATGTCGACCAAAGCACTGCCTGGAGATCGCTGCGCCTTTCGATCGAGAGACACATTGTATCGGTGCTAGAAGTGCAGCGACAACTCCGTTCCTTCTATCCGCACCAGCAATTCATAACAGCTTTAAAGGAGAAGGTAATACGACTGCATGAACTTGGCGATAATGGTTTGCGCAAAAAAGAAATTAATAACAGGGATTTATTACTATGATACGCATCAGTGGTGGCCCACAACATGCTTATAGTCCGTACTGATGAATGGAGGACCTCTATAGCATGTTGTCAGTGCGATATCTTAGGAAAGGTTGAGGGTCGGGCCATCAAGTGCCTACAATGCAACCAGTAAAAGGGATCGAGACCATAACGCTGGCTACAATATGGCTCGCGCCGCCCTCTGTCTTGTTGAGCACCAAGAGTGGCCCCGGGAGCTGAAGCATCCACAGCAACAGCAACAACAACAACACTAGGCGCCGTGTGGAGCGGCAGCATAGACGCAATGGGAAATGAAAAAGAGCTGTGTCACGATCTCTTGGACGGCAATTGAATTAAATAAGTAAGCGAATATCATATTGGAAAGGTTTTTTGCTTGTACCCGTCGGGCATCATCTCAACTCCATCCACTCACTCCTGCCATCTCCGTACGTAGTCCACATAGACCATCACCTTCCATTACACATCAACAGATTCGTCAACTGCCCCTTACTTACATCTTTACTCTCCCTCTCCCCCATTCTCCCCTGTTGCCGTCAGATCACAGGCCATGCAACTCCAGGCCGAGCGAGACCACTTTGTTCATAGTGGCATTGGTGGAGGTTCCTCCTCCTCCTCGCCCTCCTGTTCTCCACCCAAGGACTCGCCTTTGTCGGTCATAAAAGTCCACAATCTCAAGAAACCGAAAGCAAAGACCAAAGACAATGAGAAGGAGAAAGGGAAGGAGATTAAGCACGGGGAAGAAAAGGTGCAGGAAACGAAACATAAGGAGATGAGGCAGGAAACCCAGAAGGCCGTTGAGGTGATTGAGGTCAAGGATTTAAACATGAGCATGGATATGGATGTCGACATGGATACGGCGAAGGATGCAGCGGATACGGATGTAGATATGAAGAATAACAAGCGCAAGGAGCTCAAAGCCGGAAAGGCTATCTTCACTGTCGCCACCGAAGCGGCAACACCGGTCCTCTCAAGAGATACAAGGGTGACGCTGGATGCGTCTTACCTCTTGAAACAGCAGTTTGCGACTTCGACGCCACCCTCGTTTACTCCCTCGCTCGCTCCCTTGTCGGCAGCAGCTTTTTCTCAACTTCCCTCAGAACTCTTCTTCAATGTCTTGTGGTACGTATATGGCATGGCACGGCATGGTCACTTGTGCAGACATCCGTGCCAGGATGTATAATTGGACCCATAAGTTCAATGAGCCCTTTTTCATACCAACAATGCTCTTTTGGGATTGCGTCCTCGTCTCTTAGTCTTCTCGATGCCCTGGACTTAACTCGTTTGGCCCAGGTAAGCAAAGCAGCTCATTTTCATCTTTGAGCAGACTTTGAGATCAAAGGTCTCCCGGTGCACATCACACACGCACAAGGCGTCAGGTGGTAGTACCATAAAACAAACATCCGTGCCCCCGCAGTTCCTGTTCACATCCACCGTCGGTTCGTCTCGTGCTAATTGAACCCTCTCGCTCCCTTCTGTAGGTGAACAAGTTCTGCGCCAGAATGGTGAGCGATAATGGCGTTTGGAGAGTCAAGAGCAAACAGCATCCTCTTTTTCTGGAAAGACACATTCAAGGTCGGCGAGGAGTAGTACCTTGGCTGGAATATTACAAGTTCTTGCATCGAAACAGCAACATTGTCAAACAAAATTGGGCCGACGCAAGACCGCAGGCGGTCCATGTTCTTGAGGGCCATACCGGGCTTGTTTCTAGCTTAGAAACCTCCATGTGGACTCTTGTCACGGCCTCGATCGACTCGACCTTGCGTGTATGGGACCTACGGACTTTGCAATGCGTTCGGGTACTCCATGCGCAGCAACCATTGACTTGTGTCTCCCAATCCGAGATTGCCGGAGCGGCCTGTGCTAGGACGTCGTTTGGGTAAGGCGGACCGTAATCTCTAGCCTACAAAATCTTTCTCTATTCTTGTTGTTGGTATTCTAACCAAAATCTGCTGGTCGGCATTGTTGGCGATAGCGGTCTGTACGTCTGGGACATTCGAACAGGAGAGCTCATTATGCAGGATGACACAGCCATGCCTCAAACTGCCAGTTTTATGTACATGGACGAATGCTACATTGGATACGGTCAAAGCGACGGGGCTGTCACCGTATTTGATTGGAGCTCGAGGACGACACTCAAAGTCGTGGGTAGTTATCAGGCACACGAAGGCGATGTAGGTACCTTTGTTACCATGCTCGCCATCCTTCGATCCACCGTTGCTATAGCCTGACACTTGCGATTCATTTTTACTTAGGTGATTCATATAAGCATAATGAACCGCAAGTATGTAATCTCTGCCAGCACAAATGGAGAGACTTTGGTGTACTGCCTGAAGCGATCTTGCGTCATGGAGCGGATTTTGTTGCCGCATGCAACTCAAGCCATTCAGTTTACGCCAACAATTCACGGCGATAAAGTCATGTTCTCGACACGGGATGCGGTGTACGAGTATGAGCTCATGTTGGATTATCTCAAATCGGGGAGCGAGCAGGAATTTTTCAGTTTTGCGGCCAGCAGCTACCCGGATTCAACGGAAAAGATATCATCGGAGCAGCGCAGAGGGAAGGAGAATCAGGTCCCTTTGTCATCTAGTCATTTCGCTGCATCAAACCATCTGCGGATGGGTTGCGCTGTTGCTGAGGCATCAACATCGAACCACACCGGACCGGTCAGCCTACGACCGGTATCGGCATCATCTTCGCGCACCTCGACGTCGGGTAGAGTCTGGAAGACTTCCAACAGTCTGCTGTCTCAAATTCGACAACGTGTTGGCGGCACGGGCAAAGCGTTTGATCAGGAGCGATTGATTATACCCACGCGATTCCCTCGTGCAGCCAGCATCTGCTGCCTACCGCGCACCTGTCGTACGCTGGAGCATGGCACGACATCTGCGAGAGATTCGTACGGGATCTTCATGCCACTCAACTGTACGCGTCTTAACGAGATGTCGGTCTATACCAGGGCAACAAAGCAGATCAAACAGATACACGGCCCAGCTGTGGATGCGGTCCTGACGGAAGCTATTCGGAATCGATTCTATACAACGATGGAGTGCAACCAGCATTGTGCAGTGGTGAGTTCTGGCAGCAAGGTCTATGTCATCTCGTTCCTACCGCCAGATATCTAATTGCCAGTTATTTCAATAAATGATCGCATTTCTCAGAGCTTGGAAATACTTGTTCCTTGCAGTGATATATATCGCATGATAGTATTCTTAAGAAGCCTCTCTGTGTTTTATTTCTGTAATGCGGTGTCTATGTTGAGTCTAAGTACGTTGGGAAGAATCAAATGGAAATACCTCATGATGTCCTACAAGATGGTGCACTTTGATTTGCGAGACTTTCTCCGCTTGTAATCCATAATGTACTTAGTCTGCTTGGCATTTAAGGCCCCGCGCCTGCGCTCTCTCACATAGGCAATACTCTCCTCTGGGGTCATTCCTTCTTCAATCAATGCAATGACCACTAATAATGGTGCTCTATCCAAGGCGAATGCATGACAGAAACATATGAGCATACAATATAAGGGATCAACGACAGCAACTCAAACGACGGCTAATACACTTCGCTGTTGATAGAAAAAGCCGTGCAGATGTCCTGATATTTGAACGCGCCTTACCTCCCTAGTCCTGCCACGCAGTGCACCGCAATGGAGCACTCCGGTGTCTTTCCTTCGTCCGTACCGAATCGTGCCCGAACAAGGTCTATCCAATCGCGTGTGATCGCCGGAGGTGGGCCCTCACCGTCCCCAAAAGGCCAATCCTAAAGACAATAGCGAATATACAATATTGAGCAAACCATTCCGTGGGTACGATAAGAAGGAAGCAGAGGTGCGAAGTGTACTTCACTCACATAGACCTTGACGCCCAATTGATTCAGGGGAGTCGTTGTATAGGTAGGATCACATACACGGACCACGTCCTTGGCACAATGGCGCTCAAATTCCTAATTCACACATTGATGGAAGGATGTGTTCGTGAATCGCGTTGGGAAGAAAATTTGAAGGTCTAACATGTTCATGAGCGCACCTATCTCGACTTACAGAGATGTACAGTGCCAAATTGCTGTCGGAAGGCGCGTCCGAAACTAGGAAACGCATATGCTTATACTCGATCAGGGCCGGTCGGTTCAGGAGACGTGCTTCGCCGTAGGGGCGAGCCTGCATCTGTCTCTGTGATGTGAGCATGGCTTAAGCGATAGTCTTTGCTGCCGTGTGTGGAGTTCAGGGAGGTGTTCAGTCGAGATGGCTTGTCTGTGGAATTATCATTGACGAAGACCCACGCAACAAAACGTACATTAAGAGGATTGTTACACAGCCTTGTTGTTGCGCGATGCGAAAGAGCTGAGTGCTTGATACTGAAGTCGAGCAAGAAGGAAGAGGGGGGAGTAAGAGGAGAGGGAACAAGATGAGACGATTGAGAGGAAGGATGAGGGCGGGGGTGGAAATGAGGATGATGAGAGTGACGAGAATGATGGCCAAGTAGAAACGATGAGCAGTGCAGAACAAGGGTGAGGAAAGGGGGGAGGGGAGGAGGGGAGCATTGAGCGCCCGACCACGCTTCAGATACTTCGGCTAAGCCCGACCGCGCGAATCGTCGTAGCTGTTGTGTGCCAGGCACTCTTGAGTAACCAAGCATGGGACATGAGTACCCATCTAGCCCACATGGAACCGCTACAGTGCCAGCGAGGATCTAGGTGGGCATAGGCCGTGTAACCCTAGGACCCAGTATGAGCTAGACGGAGGAAATGGGAGTGTGATGTGGAGAGAGAAGAAAGCATTCTTTGCAGTAGAAATTGTGCCAACGTGCAAAAATTGAAATGCATTACAAGGTACAATAACCGAGTACTGATTCACTACACTGGCAGTTGAGCCAGTGGATGGCCATGAGTTGGGGAGATCAACCGACTTAACATGGTCATATCTCTGAGGGATTGGCAATACTCCTTAGCCTACGAAGATGGCAGCAGAAATGACTCTTGAAGTGGCGGGAGCCAGAACTACAACGACACTTTAATGCCACTGCTGCTAAGGATATTACTACCCCTTGAAAGATAATTAGCCATTGACATTTATTGACTCAGGTTGAAGTAAGTGGATTGGGATGATAACGAGGTGCAAAGAAAACAGAATAATGGCGAGAAATGGGCCGCTCACAATACTGAATCGAAAGCTATGGCGTAGCTATGCAGATTTTATACAGGGTAATAAATCGGGGTTGAACCTATGGTCAGTCGTGCAGTCGACAACGCATTTCTTCTGATAGCAGATACAGATGTGGGCGAAGCACCAAGAGAAAAGCATGGTAAAGCGTGTGTGATAATCAGGACACACGCAAGTACATTGGCACAGACATCACACGAGTCAGGGGCAAACAATGAAAGGACGCAAAAGGAAACTCATGGAATGCGAGCTGAGATCAGCGATCATTCAATCGAGACGCGATTGGCTAACTCTTTTTCATAATATTCTCCTTAGCTGCGTCTTTGCACCTCTACCTCCGCATGGAGTAGGTTTGCAAACCTGTCTTTGAGCGTACTGTTCTCAGCTTCAGTGCTATGGTAGCCTAAGTGTATATTTCTTGTACAACCTTGCCCGCTGCAAGATGCAAGGATACATAGCCTGGTATTTTTTGCGTCCATCCCGCCCTGGCCATACCACTCATTCTGGTGTCGTGCGTTTACCAGGACAGGTCAGTAACAGCTGTGCATAAAGTCAAGACATGTGAGTTTCTAATGCGCAGAAAAGGTCGTCAAAGGAAAGTTAATACAACATGAGTTAAAAGTCTAAAATAAGGTGGTAAATATCAAAGTCGGCGCCCCGTAGAATGGATGGACAGGAGAGTTTGTCTGAGTTTGGTCCGCACCTCTAATTTCTGACTCCACTACAAGTTCGAGGCCAGAGTTGCGTTGTAGAGAGCCATTGGATGAAGATTGTTCGAGCTACCCCAGGGGCTCTAGGAGTATCTCGGCAAAGCGACGAAAGGTGAATCTCCGCGTACGATGGTTCGCGGTTAAACTTGAGTCGCTCAGCAACACACAGTCGGCCTATGCACAAAAAAGCGGCTATAGGCACAACAACACTGATATAAACAACAACTGGGGGTACTTCTGGTAGTACTGCAGTTCCACAGAAGGACAGGAGTGGCTTGAGAAATAACGATTAAATAGATCTGATAAGTGGGATGACAATTGAATCTGATAAATAAAGTTTTACCCTAGTTTCTCTTACCCGGTCCAGTCTCTGTTTTGATCAGATTACTTTTTCCGGTCAAGGCAAGCTCTCACCTAGTCTTTGTAGGTCGTTCCCCGCTCGCCCCTTAGGTCCGTAGAACCCTTCCTGTTTTTCCATCTCCATTCTTTTTGTTTTTTTTTTTTTTGCCAAGGTTCTTCTCCGCCTCTCTTCGCCCCTAACTAAAACTAACGCCCTGCTTACAGAAAATGACGCTTCGGCGTGAACGCTAATAATTGTTGCATCTGATAAGGCCTCTCAGGGCCTCGACTTATCAGATGAAGAGTCTCCTCGCCGTACCCATTCTCTATCCGCTCTAACATTCTATTTGTTTCCCTCTCCCCTCCTCTCTGAAAAGAAATAAGCTTCTATGTGTAAACCGCCATATGGCCCCGATCGCTTCATTTAATGCATTGTAGCCGGGGTTATGTACGTGTATTCCAGGCATCAAAAGGATTCATCCACATAGTGGCGGAATAGAATCGGGCTTTGGTTCGCCTGCCTTGGCTTCATAGGCGCTTTACTCAAGGGTCTCTCACTTGCGCCGCTTGGCTGCTCATTCGGCCATAAAAGGACTCCTTACGAGCTTTCCCTTCCCTCTTCCCTCTCCTCTTCTATCCTTGCTCCGTTTCTGCTACTCTTCTCTGCGATACTGAATCGGCTAGGTCTTCATTCCGCTTCACGTCCTTCAGTTATCTCCTCCTTCCACCCTCCCGGTCATCTGCAAGCACAGCAACTTGACTCATACATAATGGAGAATAACACGGCCCTAGAGGAGAAAGGTGCTCCTGTTAAGAACATTGTACAGGATGACACTCCCACAAAGATCCTGGACCGCTCCTCCTTCACACACAGGCAGTACATGTACCTCGTTGTAGGGTAAGAAGTCTGTCCCGTGGGGATTGAATTTATTCCGCTTCCGAATCGATTATACGCTTCCAGGGATGGCAGGAAACAAGGTACTAACCCAGTACATCGCTGTCTTTTCATTGCCAGTGTGCTGGTCCAGGCCTTTTTGTACTCGTTCGAGGTGAACTTGATGTACGGCTGCCAAAGTAATATTGTGGCCGCCCTCATTTCCTCTTCGTTGATCAGTGTCCTCCCCACCATCCTCCAGATCCTGTCAGCGGCCCTTGTACCGTTCTACACTAAGGTGTCTGATGTCGTCGGTCGCGCTGAGGCTTTGACCTTCGCCATGGTTTTCTACTTGATCGGCTACACCATTCAGGGTACATCCAGCACCTTCAAGCAATACGCCCTCGGCCAAATTGCGTACGGTATCGGTTCAACTGGCATGTTGACCTTGACTCAAGTCTTGATCGCAGGTAACTTGATAACCTCATTGTATCATCGTCTTCTCATATCAACCATTGTCTGATGGTATGTATCAGCTTCATTAACTTGTATGCTGCCATCACCTTAGACACGACCTCGTTGATCAACCGTGGTATTGTCTTTGCGCTCTGGGACCTTCCATCAGCCGTCAACATCTTCGCGACCCAACCTCTTATCGATCCGCTGTCCGGACCTGGTCGCAACTGGCGCAACGTCTACCTCGTCGTCGGCCTTCTTTCCGCCGTTGGCGCTGTCGCGATCCTCACACCTCTTTGGTACCTGCAAAAGAAGGTTCAGCGCAAGGGCGTCAAAGTTCACCGACGATCTTTGGGCTGGTTGCTGCACGAATATGATGCTATCGGAGCCTTGCTGATCACTTTGGGTATGAGTCTTACGCTGTTGCCTATGATCCTTGCCAAAACCTTCGAGGGCAACTGGAAGAACGGAAAGATTCTCGGTATGTTCATTTCTGGAGTGATCGCGTTGGCACTCTTGGCTTTCTGGGAACTCAAATACACGGACAAGCCCATCATGCCCATGAGAATCTGGATGAACCGTACCTGCTTTGGTGGATTGGTCGTCGGCTTCTTCATGACTGTCATGGCCTCAATGAAGTAAGGAGACGCCTTGTCTTTTGTGTTGGCTGTGCTTTTTGCTGTGTAATTCACCGCAGCAGGCTAACTCCGCCTCTTTGCATTGTTCCTACAGCTGGATGTACTTTACTCTGTACTTAGTCGTGTCGCGCAACCTGGGCTTTGACGACGCATATTTGCTGGAACGTGGTTACCAAGTAGCATATCTGGTCTTCCAGCTGCTCACTGCGATGCTCATGAAGCGTTACAACACATACCGTCCGTTCATCTGGATTGGTATCGTTGTCCACACAGCTGGTATTGGTTTAATGATTCCCGCGCGTCTGCCAACGTCCTCGGATGCGTTTGTAGTCATTTCGCAGACAATTGTCGGTGCTGCAGGAGGAATGGCTAACATTGCAAGTTCCGTGGCTGTTACTGGTGCGGTGGGAAGGAAGGACATTGCAACAGTTATTGGTGTAGGTTACACAGCGTAATGTATTATCTATTGCATGTGCCAAGTGCACTGAGTATGGTTCTCACTTTTACTGGGCTTTCTTTTCCTCGTATAATACTACAGGTTACGCAGATTATGGGTTCTTTCGGAAGCGCCTTTGGCAATGCCTTGGCTGGAGGCGTCTGGACACAGTAAGGATATAGAACAAAATACCATGAACGATAAGCTGAAGGAACTACTTCTTTTCCGGTGTGCTGACCGCCAATACCCTTGCATAATCATAAAACGATAGGTATCTCCCACAAAGACTGGCTATGCACATCACGGGCCCTTATGACGAGTTCCTGGCCATGAACAGCCCGACTGTATACATTCCCAGCCTGGATGAGATGACTAGGAGCCAGCTTATCGAGGCATACAGCGACTCCCAGAAGCTGATGTCGATCATCGCTATGAGTTTGGCTGTCTTTGCCTGTGCGTGCACAGTACCAATGCAGTACGTCGATCTTCTCAAGGATCAAGCCCCGTCTATGGATTCTGCCGATTCTGATGCGCGTCTGGCAGATGCCACTGAAGACAAACCGGATGAGAAGTCTTAGGACTCCATCCACTATTAGTTCTTCCTTGGCTCCAGTTCCAGCTTTAATACTCTTTATATTTAGCATAATAATATTTCTGTAGTCCCTGTAGTCGTCGCTAGAGAGAGCAGACCATATTAAAGCAGCCCTAGCCTAACAGACCATTGCAAAACGAGCCCGGCATGACGAATGCGGATGAGTGTACAAAGTAGACGGCCGTTAAAAAAATGGGTAAATGTTTACGGCCAACCTTATTGAATTTTAACACCCTGATAATCCCTGGAGTCGTATGGTGTGAAAACTTGTTTACCGCCACTGTTTGTCCGCTTCTTCCTTCCATCCTTCTCATTCCTTTCATCCTTCTTGACTGATTCATTCCTTCGCTTTTTCCTTTCTTACGCCCCTTTATTCCTGGTTCTTCCCGTTATGGCCACATCCGCATCAAGAGTGCAGCCCCAGGGGAGCGAGAAGCACCTTGCCGGCCAGACTATCTACACTGGCAGCAACAGCTCCAGGCACAGCCCGCAGCAGCCGCATCGCAGGAAGGGTTTCCTGGGGACCATGGACCGACACCAGATTGGTAAGGGTCTATTCTAGTGTCTGATGGGTTTCCCCTGTATTTGTTCGTTCAATTGCTTCTTCCCTTGACCCTTTGGTCAATTCTGTCAATTCTGTACCGTAATCATGATAACGATGACAGCCGTTGATGCTTGCTTCCCTTTCTAAAAATCCTGACAACAAACAATGACTTATAGATGGGCCATTGATTGCCATCCTAGCGGTTCTGGGAACATATGCATTGTTCCCCAATTCGTTTGCGAAAAAGTTCTTGTTCTTCCAGGAGTACAACCCCATCTCAAACACCTACGAAAAGTCTTGGGAGGACCTCTACTTCCTGGTCTTTTGGATTACGACTTTTACCTTCCTCAGAGCTGCTGTCATGACCTATATCCTCGTGCCCCTAGCCCGCCGACTGGGTGCGACCAGCGAAAGAAGCGTCCTCAGGTTCGCGGAGCAAGGCTGGATCTGCATTTATTATTCTTGTAGTTGGGTCCTTGGCTTGGTAAGTCAGCCCACATTCCCGAACAATTTTTACGGGGCTTTTCGAAAAGAATATGAGAGCACAGGGAATGCAGGTTGATCAGCAACTTAAAGAAGTGCACAAGGACAGGAATGAGCCCACACTGGGATGTATGGATCGATAGGGCCTCAATGTGTTGTATATTTCTATATCCAGGATGCCATTATCCCCGAAAGCGCTTGGCAGGATTGCAGCCAGGGTACTTGGCTGCCTTTAAGAAATGAGCGATTGCTAACGGCATATAATTCCTCGCTTGCCATGCTTTTCATGTATAGTACTGCCTACAATTGACGCCGACATGGAATAACTGGTTTGTGTGGTTCCACACAGACCAGTTCTTTGACAGCTACCCGCTTACCGCGTTGCCTGTCATTACCAAATACTACTACTGGTTGCAGTTCTCGTTCTGGATCCAGCAAATGTTTGTGATGTGCATTGAAGCCCCTCGCAAGGATTTTTTGGCCATGATCAGGTTCGTGCAGATGCACCTCTTCATACTGCATGGCATAGCATCAGCCTAATCTTATCTATTTACTACAAGTATATTGTCATGTTCGTCATCATCTAACAATATTCTCTCGCTATTGTTACCGATAGCCATCATTTGGTCACCGTCATGCTCATTACCTTTTCGCTGACACTGAACGTCACCACATTCGGAACTGCGGTGTTTGTATCGATGGATTTGGCGGACATTGTGTTGTCACTGGGCAAGTGCTTCAAGTATATTGAGATGCCTGACAGTATTTGCGACCCGATCTTTGCCTGCTTCATGTTCATCTGGATCTACACGCGCCATTTCCTATATGGGTATATCATCTATGCCTGGATTCTTCACGGTGGCGAATATTACTCAAGGCTAACGCATTATGTCGTCACTGGGCTCTTGCTTGTGCTGCAGTCGCTCATGTTCTTCTGGCTGTGGTCCATCTTCAGGATCGTCTACAAGATGTTTTCCAGCAAAGGAGGCGTGGTTGATGATCGCAGCGAGGATGAGGAAGAGCAAGTGACCACACCAGCACCTGTGCGCCTTGACAGCAAACACAGCAGCTAGTCGGCCACAGTATCATTACCCTTCGTGCATTCGACACCCAATCGTACATCCATAGTAATTTATCTAATATTTAATAGTCTAAAAGGTTCATTTTCAACAGAATTCAGTAATATGTATGCCATGATGCTTTATTTGTGTCAGATTTATCTGTAAGGTGGTGTTTAGGAGGGGAGAAGAAGAAAACAGGAAATGAAGCCCTACGAAGCAACCGCATCTACATCGGGTGTCTGGTCTTTCTCCAGTGCGTTCCTGGCATCTGCAAGGACTTTTTCAGCAGTATTCCAGTAGGTTTCCTGATCATATTCGTAATCGGAGGTGCCCCCAAAGGCCTGTTCCAGCATGTCTTCTGGGATCATATCCAACAAATTCACATTATCCGATGCTCCTGAAGACGAAGAAGATAAGGCTCCTGCAGACGCAGAAGAAGAGCCCTTCTTGTGGACAGGAGTGGTGACAGTGCCGGCAGAGAGATCGATCTCGGATGCAGCTGCAGAGGAAGGGGTCGAGACAGCGGATCTGGGCTTTTGCTTTTTCATGTCTACGAAATTAATTTTCGCTTTTGTGACAGGGTCGATAAATGGCGAGATCAGCTTGTAGAAGGGGAAGAAGAACCATGGAGCTGTGGGATAGTAATGGGCGGTATATAGAGCGTGTAAGTTACTTTTAAACCAGAGCTCATCATTATGACAGAAATATACTGGTGGTGCCAATGATGTTAAAATAAGACCCTACCATGGATAATGTAGGCCTTGCCGAGACGCTCTGGATAGTGACTACCGAGAACGTGGATGATCTCACGAGCAACGGCAACACCGGGATTCTTGGTCATGGAGGAGCCAGCAAAATCAATGATGATGCACAGATTCTGGACACCCTCAGGCATGAGTGCGATGGCGAGCTCGAGATGGAAGACGACGTGGCGGATCTGCGCTGGCGAGGCGGCAGTGTTCTCGAGTCGAGGCTTCATGTAGAGCAGAGGCCGCGACTCCATGTCAAAGCCGGAGACGTAGAGCTTTCCAGGAGCGGTCTATAAATTCCATCGGTTTCGCAATTACAAAAGGTTAGTTTGTGTTCGTAGGATAAGTTATCATAAATCAGTTCTTGCCATCTCTCTCCCAAAGTTCTCTTGTAGCCCCTGTCTTGCTTGTGCTGTAGTCTTTCCAATGGTCGATGGCCCATGGTCCATGTTGATGCTGTTATTGTTATTGTTGTTGCTTGATAACAAATTATAGGTTTTCAATTGCATCGTTTCAATCGCAACCGCTCCTTTGCATACTCAGATCCCGTCTTAAAAAAAAAGCAAACAAACACAAAAATAGATGTACAAAGATAGTAATTCATTTGCTGGAGAAACAAGAAGGAGGGAGGAATGAAGAATGGTGATGATTACAAGCAGAAGGAATGAAGGAAATGAATAGAATGAGAATGATTTCTCACCTCGATCCAAATGCTGTTTTTGTCGGGGATGTCGGGCTTATACTGTTCCCTCCAGAGGATAGAATCCTGGACGGCCTGCTTGGACTCGTTGAGGTTCCACTTCTTGGACTTGAGGTAGCGGACGAGACAGTGGTCGTCGGCCCATCGGCGCTGGGCGTGGGTGTTTGCAACGGTGGTGTGGATATGGGTGCGGAGGGCATCGAGGGTTGCGGCCTGGGAGTCTGTCAGGGGCTCGGGCGGTGGAGGCAGACGACATTCCGCGGAGGGGGTGAGTCTGGGCTGGCGCTTTGACTGCAACGGTGTAACGGGGACAGCCATTGTGCTGTGTTGATGTCAGGGAGAAAGAGAGAGTGAGAGATGTGAGAGAGGTGGGTGAGTGAGAGAGAGAGAGAGAGGGGTAGGAGAGAGGGGGAGAAGGCGGGGGTGAAGGAGAAGAGAGTGATGTGCTACGGAGCTGTTTGCGATAAGAACGATGTTCTGTGGTGGGACATCTTTACTTCGGGATCAGCGTTCTGCCGGTTGTAGGCGGCACTGGGCCGACACGGTGGGAAACCAACAGACCACTTCTGTAAATAGACTATATTTCTTATATGTGTTCTGTTCCTGTGTCTGTTCCTGTTCCTGTACGACCTGGCTACTCTATTGGACAGGCACAGAGGCCAAAAAAGGGTTCATAACTGATTATCACGCACGCACACACTTACACATGCGCGCGTATTCCTGGACAACAACAACGACAAACGCTTCACCATCCTCATCACGCTTCACCATCCAACACGACTCCACCCAGGCTCGAATCTCCTGTCATACACACACACACACACACACTTTGCATTCTCATACATTCTGTATACTCACGCCTAAGTCCAATCATTACATCCTTTACATTCCAATTAGTTCACCTCGTTCTAATGACCGTCATTGCCACCCTCTGTCTCAAGAGCACAGGCCAGACCCTACAGCTTGCCCAGGATACTACACTATTCATCGGCCGCGGGTCCTTTGCGGGTGTCACCTCGACTCACATCAGCCGCAAACAAGGTCAGTGTGACATAGAGAACCTAAACCAAACCTGGGTTCCTTCTATTTGCTTTCATCTAACACTCACAACTCTTATCCATACTATCATCCTCATCTTCCTGCTACCTTGATCTAGTTCAAGTCATCTCAAAAGCAGACGTGGTCACTGTCACTCGACTTGGCATCAACCGTTCAATGCTCGACGGTAAAGAACTCCCAAAGGACACGCCAGTGCCGCTCCACAGCGACAACATCCTCACCCTGCTAGAGGCAAGTAGTCCAAGGAAGGCGCGTCGCTTCTTTTTTTATTTATTTAGCCGTTTTGTTCATTGATATTTTGCAAAACCTATCGTCGCATTCAACTAGCACGAGTATCCGATTGCCATTCAAATACTGCTAGCTGAACCATTCTCAAAAGACATCAAGGACATGGAAGAGCATACCAACAACACAAATCATAAGCGGCCACTGGAACAACAAGAGCCAGAATTCATAAGCACAAAAGCACTGAAGACGGGCCCTGTCAGTTTTATCCGCAATAATCCTCCCCTTGCATACAACTCACATCATCAACAGCATCTTCGGATAGTCAGTTGCCCGCGCTCTACTGACAGATCTGATGCGGTAACTGCTGCTGTGAAGGATGAAGCCAATTTGAGTGTTATTTCAATTCATTCGCGTCAAGGATCGGACCCCCTGGAACATGAAGACAATATGTCTGAGGCTACATCCGATTCCGAGAACTACGATGCAGTCCAGGACCAGCACAGCAGTAGCGACATATCCGCTGAATCCAGCATCATATGCTCCGATCTCTCCGACCTAAATGGTGCCGAGGACGTGAAGGAAGCTGAAGAGGTTAATTGCCTCAGCATTGGTGGTGACTACCATCCCAGCTTTGAGAAAACTGCTCTTCAGTTGGACTAACCAGCATCAACACGGAGCTCACATTTCATACTTGCTAATAAAGTATAGCAATTTCTCCATCAAAATAAACGTGGTGAGTATTTATTGCAGCTTCGTCATCTTCGCAGTTGCGTCTACTGTTGAACGAGAGCACTTCATCAGCCGTTCCTCACGATGTGCACAGAACAACATGAGCGCAGATCCGGGTGACAGAATGACTGAGAGCGCGAGGAACAGAGCCGCGCTCCGTACACTCCTCGTATCTGAAAGGATCCACATAAAACTGCCGCAGACTGCACCGAAAAAGTCCCAGAGCAGAAAATATGCGGATGCGTAGTAAATATGATCGACGCGGAACTGGTGGGAGAACGAAAGAAGGATATGCTTGATAGGAGTTGAGCCATTCCAGAAGGCGATCAAGGCGGCCAAATGCAAGCCTGCATTCAATCCAGCCATCATTAAGAACAAGGTGCGAACAATCTGTCGCGCCTTTTCATCCTGCCGAGCCGTATCCTGCGCGGAAAGCGGTGCTGAGACGACGGCCCTCTCTAACAGCCATGTCAGAGGCGTGTATAGAAACCAGAGAGATATGTGCAGCGCTACATTCACGGCCGTATTTCGAGGCAACGAAGAGAGGCCTTCGCCCACAACGGACGGTCCTGAAGCAAGATAAAAGATCAGTGAAACCAGGTTCAGCACATGAGTAACCAGGATGGAGTACACCCGAGGCAAGGGTATAGAGCTTGCACCGGCAGTGGATTCTAGCCTAGGCCAGGCCATAATCATCAGAGGAACAAACAGTAGCGGCAGATAAATTTCGACGCCGGTTGCATAGGAAAAGAGGGCAGTGAATGGCATGCAGGCAAGCATGGTCCAATGGTTCCCCACGCGACTGCCCTCGACTATTTCCAGCAGGGTGATCGGGCCAAGAAAGGCCACGAGCAATTGAACCACAAGGCGTCCATAATCTGTCCGCGAAGAGTCGACGAAGTAAGGTACGAGGATTCAGACGAGACGATCGAGGCCCGGGATCGGGAGGAGTTGGTCTTCCGCGGCGAGGGTAGGGACGAGACACTTATCGGTACGAGGCTGGATATACGAAGGCGTACTCTGCAGAAGGGTAATAAACACTGCGAGCCCTGTCAAGGCGGACAGTACGCCAAGACTTGTCTGGGCAACACCTATCGAGCGAAACATCCGGGTGCCTAATTCGGTGAATGGGGATGAGATTGAAGGTGGAGTGATGAGATGGCTTTTCAGAGCGTGTCGGACCCTTTTCGCCACCAATTTTGACACACGTAGAAGTCGAAGTCAACAGAAAACAAATATTTTTTTAAAGAACATCGCTTTATCTCCTCCCCTATCTCTCCTCTCCCTCTCCCTCTCCCTTTCCCTCTCCATCAACTCGCACACGTACACAAACACATTCCTACGAACGTGCATTGCGTTGCCATGGCAAAGTCAAAGAAAGGCAAAAATGTAAATGTCGAAACCACTTGTAGATCTGCCACTCTCGCCTCTTCCTGTGTACGCCAGCCAATGGCCCTAACTAACAGTGATGTTATTCTTTAATAGAAAGCTAAGCAGAACGGAGAATCATCACATCCCTCAGTATCTCAAAATGCTCCCAGTGGATCAGCTATGATAAAATCGGCATCCATAGATAGTGCCCCTTCAAGTCATGCATCCAGTTCTTCAATGTCAGGACCGTCTTCATCGCTCGACGACATGGCTTTGGAGCTGTTCGCCGCTAAGGACGCCCATTCAGAGGTGGAGCAGCTGCGGAAACAAGTGGTGCATTTGCAGAAGGAGATCGAATTTAAGGACGTTATCATCGCAAAGCTTGTGGCGGGCAACGAGATACAAACGAGACCCAGCACAGCATTGATCCCAGGCTCCTCCGACATTACATCAAAGCCCGCACCTGCCGACACAGTCGTTCGTATCATCACCCCGAATGATGGAGCACTCCATTGCAGCATCTGTGTCGATTACTTTTCGTCTCCATTCACGGTTGAGTGCGGCCACACCTTTTGTTACACCTGCCTTCGTTCATGGCTCCAGATCCAAAAGTCGTGCCCATCCTGCCGGACAAAACTCTTGCGACAACCGACATTATCGTTCAATATTCAGGAGCAGGTTCACTCATCCATCGCAAGGCTTCCCGATCTCGAAAGGAAGCTGGCACAAGAGAAACTGGAGGCGGACGAAAATAGCTTTAAGAAGATTCAGAGCAAAGGGGACCTCTGGCAAGGCATTTTCAGACCCCTCGGACTTGAAGGCTTGAACGGAACCATTGTCGACAATGACGATGGAGTAAGGTATGTGTTCAGCCTCTTGCGAACACTTTTAGTACCCTATTTCTCTTATTGTACGTTGATTGAGATAATAACATATTCGACCTTTTTTTTCATCTTTGACTTTGGTTTCGGTTTTGGTTTGTCGTAGACGATGTGTATCGTGTGGGTGGGAAGTCAGGAACGGAATATGTGTCAACTGCAGTAATCTCTTTAGTGATGTGGAGGACTCCGACACTAGTCAGGACAATACTGATCTAGACTCGGAACCAGATGCATATGATTCTCATGACTCCTTTATTAATGACGATGAAGTTGACAACGAGGACAGGAGCGAGATCGATCCGGACGAGAACGACCTGCAATTTTCAGGAAACGACTCTGGTTCTGGCAGTGACAGTGGCGACCACCAAGGAGGACGTAGGCGAACACGATCAAGATCAGACTATGGAATCAATCGGTCTCGACTTCAAAGAACGCGCGGACCAACTTTCCATATACTTGACGACAGCGATGAAAGCGGTAGCTCGGAAGACAGCGGAACGCCTGAGAACAACAGCAATTCGGACAACGAAGGCAGCGATAACGAACAAGGAAATGAAAATGAGGTTCACTCTAATACGGACGATGTAGTGAGTCTCGATAGCTACAATCAAGATTCCGACCAGGAGGAAGAGGTGAAGAGCATCAGTCGCTCGAATGGTCGCCGTCCGCAGGCTAGACGGGCCATCTTGATACCCGATGATACTGATAGCGAGGATGATGAGGATGATGATAAGAATAACAGCAAAAGCGACAGCGACGGTAGTAGTAAAAGTGATAGCAACGACAGTAGCATCGGTGTCAAGCGCGCTCGACAGCAAGCAACAATCGGATCGTCGGCTTCTAAGGGCCGTGACCCAAAGCGTACCATCTCACTGAGTGATTCGGATGAAGTGGACTCGGCTTCGGACTCAGATTTTTTTACGGCTTCCACACGTAGAACCAAGAAGCTTCGTGGCGGCAACATGGAGGATCTGTTCAAATAGCGGATGGCTCTAATGAATAAAGATTTTGGGCTCCAACAAAAAACTTGAACAGCATAAAGCGGTGAATGGAATGCAACGCAAGGTATATATATTTCTTTTGTCGCCATTACCGAGGATCACCACCTGCTTCAAACATGTTCATTCCCACCTCATCATATACCCATCTAGAAAGATGCCTGTCGAGTGTTGAGAGTGCACCGTCGCCAATGATGCGCAATTTATATCCGGTCGCTCCCCACATTTTATTATTACTCCGTGTTCTCTACCCCTCAGTCTAATCGCCAATTCAGCTCGTCATAGTCTGATCGCCATGGATCCAACCAAGCTGCCCCATCTTGGCCTCTAAGCCCAGCACCACCTTGATCCAGTCTCCGTTTGTAAGGAAGCGGAATTCGAATAAGGTTCCGATAATACAATGTTGAATAGATCCTTATTCCTCTTTTTCTCTTTTTCTCGCCTTGTGTCTCATTTCGTCTCACTCCCCTTCAACACACTCTCCGGCACCAAACTCCCTCCAATGTCACTGGTGTTCATAACATACGGTCTTTCCATCACAACCATCGTCCTCTTTGACCTTGGCGCGTTATATCTTGCCTACCGCTCTCAAAGGGTTAAGAAGGACCCTACAGAGTCCTTCTTAACAGCCCGTCGCTCGGTGCCTGAGCACACACCATCGCCTGGTCCTTCTATGCCTTTGGTGTTGGCGCCTGGTATGTCTAATAGACATCCTCAATGTTGCTCGCTTGCTACTCGCATCTCCAAAATCTCCTCATCTTGCTGACAATGGACTGTTTGTATACATACATGTCTGCTGCCATAGGATCATCTTCTCCATGCCTGCATATATCGTATCCGCAGTCATTGTCGGTCCAGCTGCCTACTCGATCTCTCGTGATCCTCCCATCTTTTTGGTGGTCCCTGGGCGATTTTGTTCAGTGGAGATTCGACACTACACTATCCTCACGATCATTGTTACTCTGGTCATGCTTTTGGACATGTTATCGCCCTCTGTGTGGAGTACACTTCGATCGGCAACTTGCTTGATAAGGTCATCGGTGGCTCTCAGATGCCTATCGTTATCGTGGTCTCTGTTGTCAGCTCCGTGTACACCGCGGCTGGTGGCCTTTACGTCTCTATTCTGACTGATGTCGCACAAGGAGCCTTTGGTGTTGCTCCCTTGTTGATCATGGTTATCTACGTAGCTGTCACCTAACGTTCTAACAACTTGCCTACGCCTTTGCCCGAGATGCTTGGACCCAATTATTGGGAATGGGCTGCATGCGACGCCATGCCCATCTCCATGACCTGCGCCACTATCTTTTCCGAGGACCCTTAGTAAAGGATTTGGGCATCCGCAGACGAGAGGGCTCTGAAGCGTGGTTCGATTTGGGGTGCTCTGGGCCTTGTGGTTGTCTGCTTCATGTATGACTTTGGTGGATTCTTGGATTTGCTTGGTGCAGGCAAGACTTCGGCCCCATCTGGATTGTTGTTCTCGCTGCACTGTCGGTCGTCGCCACGAATGAATGATGCGTTGATTCACTCCAGAACGCTATTGTAGACACCATTGTTCCCCGCTTTTTCCGTGGAAAAAGTGTCTGATACCCCGTACCCTTGTCTTCTTGATCAACGTTCCGATCGTGATTGTCTCGCTCAAGGATTACAATATTGTCATCCTCTTTCTGATCGGATATCTAGTCTGCACCAGCTGCGCTATTCCGCTCCTGTTAGGATTGATTACTCAACTCGAGAGAATCGCTACTGGATGGTCGATGGTATCGGGAATTGTCACCGGATTCCTTTCGATTGTCGTCTTTGACTACCTCAAGAAGAGAAATATGCCGGATTGTTTGCATTACACCTTTGCCGAGCCGTAAGATTGGCGGTCATTCGTGCTCCCGTGAGTCTTTTCCACCATTGGCGTCTTCCTTGCGAGTTCTGTCGAGATGGGAATTCGCAAGGCCTTTGGGCTGGCGTATCCTATACCGTTGGCCCTTCCACCCGAGGCTGCGGGATCTGAGCATGGCAAGGAAGGCCCTGGATCTAGAGCCACATTACTCCAGGATGTAGAGTATGCAACGGAGAAGTCTTTCACATACGAAAGAAAGTGAGGTGGCCGGAAGCAGTGGGATTTAATGGGAAAGGTAGCCCCTGTCTTTGACTGGCCATTCTCCTTCGAGCTGTTGCGTGCACGTTTTTCTTATTGTTCTATTGGCTGTCTGCCCCAATCGAGGTACCGTGACCATATTCCATGCGGCCTTTACATTTAATTACTTTCCCAAAATTTTTATTCTTACTACTCTTTCGCTCGATGGCTCAGCGGATGATCCGCGTTGGGGGCGCCTGGATGAACCGCGCAAAGATTATACCCTAACTACCAGATAAGGATAATGCCTGCGATGAGAAAAAATGCACTTATCATCTGCGGGGACCAGCACATACTCAGCCTTGTACCTTTTGTTTGCGGTTGACCAGCCGACTTCTCGAAGTTCAATCAATGGCGCGTTCTATTCGTTGTATATGGTGCGCTCTATTTGTTGTATATGCCACGTCTGTTCTAGGTCCCGTGGACCCTCAGCTATCATTATTCTTAATAAACTATCATTACAGGCAAAGCAAGGAGTGTATTGATCCTTGCAAGCCATATTGCATGATTGCGCCAGTCGACATAATAAACCGGCGTCTTCGCAGAACATTTTACTTGAGAAACTCTGTCTTTTTTGAACAGTACAATCTCAGCTTGGCCGGCCCGACTTTCGAAGCGCTTTTGTCTTTTGCTAGACACTTAAAATTTGGTGGCAAAATTTTGGTATATTGGTTTTTTTGACACAGGTTTGGAACGAATTGTAAGGATCTTTCAGGCCCCAGAAACCATAGTAAACCGGGTCCCTGGCCAAAACAACAGCACCATACCTAAGGAACCCGATGTCTGCGAATCGTCTGGTGAGCTCAGTTTGGCCGAATGAGCAAACTGATCTGCCCTTCCATGGTGACGTCACAATAGCGGGGAGGGGTCCCTGGTTCCCCACTGCTTCTCCATCATCTCATCCCAACTCCATCTTCCATTCAATTTATACCATCACATCCTCTTTGTCGTAAGTCTGTCTGCCTTAATCTTGCGCTGCACTACGCTGCACATTGTTGCCCATCTTCTCTCCAATCTACCCATCCTTCATCCTAAGAGGCGACCTCCCTTGCTTACACGCACGCGTTCAGACGTACGGCTTGTCAGCGACAACATCTTTCTGACGTCCTATTTCTGTTTCCTTCACCTCTTCCAGCAGACGCACAATTGTATTACATCATGGACGATTTTTCTTTTGACGCACCCTCCTCCAAAAAGACTGACTTTGGGTCGGATGACCCGACGGCGGACTTCCTCGCTCGCGAGCAAGCCGTGTTGGGAGGCGACGCTGACTTCCTCGCTGGTCTTTCATCAGGATCTGGCGTAGCCTCTCCTTCCAATAATATCGACGGTGACTTCGAATCCAACTTCCCAAGCTTCGCAGAGCACGAGGCATCGCTCACCAGCCCTCCTGTTAGTGGAAAGGCAGTCGACCCCTCGGCACCCTCAGTCTCTGTCGCTGCCGATGACGACGAGTTCGGCGCGTTCCATACCGATTTTCCTGCGATCGAGACTACGGACTCAGTCCCTGTCAGTCAGGTAGAATTCATTCGCCATTTTGCACGTCTCAGAATTCGATTGATTGATATTCATGAGCAGGAAGTGGAGGATTTTTGTACCCAACCGCACATCATCTTTGCACTCGTCACGAATAGACCTTTGCAGCCAGTATTCCTATTCAAGCGACGGGCGTCAGCAGCGGGTTCCAAAGCCCTAGCCCATCGATGACGCGCGTGCCTCAGTTCAAGCCCCCAGAGGTCCCCGAAGTCGTCAGGTGTGTATCTCTTCCCTACGGTGCTGTTTCTCATTTGTACCACGTTTCACCAACTCGCTATTATTTTATCTCCTCTATCTGTAATGCCGTAGGGAGTGGCGTGAGAAGCAGGCAGCAATTGTTGCAGAGAAGGACGAGAGATCAGAGGCAAAGCAACAGGAGACCATTGGAGCTGCACACGAAGCAATTGACCGTTTCTACGAAGACTATAATCAAAAAAAGGCCAAGTCGATCACAGAGAACAGGTAGTGCGGCGAGCTAGAGGTCCTTCATTAAGTCTACTCTCAGTATTCGTTAATAATCGCGCTTCTTGTCTTACATCAATGTTTTATAGAGACAAGGAAGCTGAATTTTTGGCCAAGAGGGACGACGTGTCTTCAGGAACTCAATGGGAGCGCATCAACCGTCACTTGGACAGCAGCCCTGCTGCTGTCGCCGCAGCACTGAAGGCTGGTCGTCGCGACACCAGCAGGATGAGGGAGCTCTTGAGAGATCTTGAGAAGGATCCCAATGCCCCTGGAAAATAAGCAGGAAACACGAATGAGCAGGATCCAATATCACGTTTACACCTATTTTGGACCGCGTCAATTCCACAGCTGCTTTGATACACAATGTCTCATAAATAAAGCACCTAACAATCGTGGACGAGGCTATGGATCGTAATGAGTGACCAAGGCGATATTATGAATAAAGTCTGTCGTCACCATCGACAACCTGCTGAGTCATAGGGATGTAGGCGGGTATCGTATTTGCTCGCATCTCCTAATCTCTGGCCCACGTGTAAAGCGTTCTTCCTTCTAGGATTAGGACTATGTCCATAAGATGACCGGTCTTGATGATATCGCCAAAGGTAAAATGGCCAAGGAAGGTATTGCGGTACTCTGGCGTACCGCTCTCAAGATCGTCTGTGAAGTGGGCGAAGTCTTGGAAATTTGCATGAAGCCGGCCAGATTGACCAAGGATTCAAAAATGCCCATGATGAATGGTACAAACATGAAGCCGTGGAATACAGCGAAGCCATCTTTATATGATGACGCTCAACCCTAGCGGGTATTCTCCATTCAAGAAGATGACAGGGCCATGGCCATAAGAGATAAAAGGTTGTTGTAGTAGACGTGATCGACTGACGAGTTGTTGATGGCGGCCAGGGACTTTTTGATGACAATGAGATCGTAGTCGAAGATACCACGCCGAAGAAGACTTGTAATTGCGACAACTTGATCTCCGAGGTAAGTTCGGTATAGAATCCACAGAAGACAATAAAGCAGGCGCCAAGGACGAGGTTTGAGAAGAGTTGACTAAGCAGATTGCAATTGATGTGGTGCTGGTTAGGACCGCCAAAAAAAAAAAAAAAAAAAAAAAAAAAATTGAAGAGACAAAGCACTTGAGTAACTGAGAGTACTTAAAGCTCCCATATTTGTCCGTACCTGATAAAATAAAGCGTTGACGTAGACAAGGCATAGTGTGTTGTTACTGTCAGCAAGACCAGTACCTTGGGACATCCCTCTGAATCACTGGCATCTTGAGAATGCCCATATAATCAGTTGCTTTTAGAGCATGGTACCAGAGTGTTAGCCAGAACATTTCAAACGTGTCCAATGCTCACTGTCATGCTCCCGAGGCAATAATGGGACAATGTGCGGTTAGCGCCTGGTTTGCTTATATCATCGAAGCTGCTGAATATATCAATGCTGGAGAGTGAGGTTGCCAGGAAGCTGATGTACCTTGTTACAGCTGACTATCGGTAAGTTGGGGAACATGTAGAACCTGACCACCAGTATGACGGCCTGGCGTTCATTGAGGATTAGCGAGCTTGGGATAGTTATCCTGGGAGTAGGGCATGAGCGTACGACGGGTAGGAGCGCAATGGACTAAGCTTGTTCTGTCCATGAGGACAACGAGAGTTACTTTACGCGAGGTTACTCTATTTGCGACAGAAAAACAAACCGACGCCGACGGCAATCACACTAGTAACATCAGCAACAGAGATTTATGGAAGTCATTCTAACATGGGCAAAGTTGCTGCGGAAATTGTGTGTTCATGCTTTGCTCCACATCGTTTTCTAGCTTGTTTTTCACTCGGAACAGTGCTGTCAGTTGTAAGGATTGACCCCCTTCAGGCTCACTGTATCACTTCCAATAGAAAACATACGATTAAATAACTAGTATAAGTAACTGATGGAGCGCTAGTTAGCTTCTACAGCCGCCGGATAAAGCGAGTAAGTAGGTGTGGGAAGGTAAGGTAGTCTTAGGTTACACAAAAGAACGGTTTTCATATCGTACTATGGACCCATGCATAGCCCCGGTGTAATGATACTGTGGAGCGATGAGGAAATCCGTACGACTGTGACACAGGGTCCTGGGCTAAGCGCGTTCGCGTCAGCTGCTATGCTATAATCGCAGGAATGCACGCTTTAGCCTGCAGCTGCGTCTATCTTTGCTTGTCTTTGCTCTCAAATGAAGAATTATCGGTACACCCTTTTTTTTGTACATCGTAGCCACATTGCACCAATTCAACCCTAGTCCTGCACCTAGATTAAGTACAGATGTGCTTCAAGTATGAAGTGGTTTGCATTGTAGATGTTTGGATCTAATGCACCAAAGGTAAGATTGCACTGCTCAGGCGTTCAAGGACGTGTCAGAATCTACAGTGATTGGTATAGAATATATCCTAGGGACCAAACCCAAATCACATGCCTACAACCACACCCTACATCATATCGATGTCCAGAATACTGGAATACAAGGATACTCCAGGCAGCAGGATATCTGCCTTAGATCATTATTGTCTAGAACCATCATTGGTCCTGCAAGTGTAGTTACATTTTATGTAATGCAATCAATCCGCGATACGACACTGTCATTAAAAATGATTGCAGCCCACGAAGGCCTCTGCAGTCAACATATATGCTATGAAGAAGTACACGCTATGATCTGTCGACTTATCGCAGAACCGGACAGTTAAATGGTTGGGGTACCTGGATCAGTGACCCCGTCGTCGTTCACCATGTCTCGAATTTGTTCGCCAACCTTTGCATAATCTATCCCACAGAGACGTCCACATGTTCCATTTTTTTCCGCTATGTATCATGAGGCCCCCAAACCTTAGAACCCATCTTGCTTTACCCGAAGTGGGACATATGCATGGAGCTCTCCAAAATTGATCCCTATTACGTCTTGACGCGCGGCAATGATTTCTTCGTCGCAATGCACAGAGATACTGCTCCATTTTTTTAAGAATCGCTGCATGACTGAAAGTGTAAGACGAATACAAAAGAGGGGGATCACTTCCGTCATCGCGCTTTGCAGTGGCAATGTATCATCTTTGTGGCATGTGGCCTGTGCAGATCTGCACCATGTTTTTGCCTTGTATTGGATAAGACGACTCCGCTTAACCATAGTGGTCTAAGGTTTCTGATGTTAAATTAACGATGGAAAGTTCTTAAGACTGGTGCTGAGGCGTTTCATAGCCGGTCTCCTTGGTTCTTGTCCGTGTTGGTATTCTTCCTTTTTTATTATAGTACTGCATGCGGTGAAAATACTACCAGATCCAGCAAATATAATTGACAGATTGATGGACAAGTTTCCGCGCCCATGAGAATTGGATATCACCACCATCAGCGGGATAGTCTGCTTCCTACATCGTGCTGCTCCCTAAGCTGCGGCTTCGTTTCTCGTAAAACGCGTTTATGTATCTTCTTGTTGCTAGACGAGATAGCTTGGTGTGATTGCTTTTACGTATATAGTGAATAAGCCCTTCTTGCCTGTGTTACTGCCACCGTCACAGTATGTTGCTTTCATCCCGCATATTTCAAACAATGATTTGGGCGCCAGAGAGGCAAGTGGCCCCTCCTCCCTCCCCAACGACTTTTCTAAATTGCTGGCGCCGTACTTTTACGTCTCGGGCTAATTGATTGCCAGGCACTAATTCCCTTATTTTTGTCTATTCCATGCTTCCCCGCTTCAGAACTTGAGCTTGATTACGTTGAATGACGGAACACCTCACACGATCTTCCAATTCGTCCTGTCCACCTCACTTCCTGCAGACGACGAAGTATGAGTTTATAATGCAAGGAAATTGGTCAAGGGCAAAAGGGCCACATCCGATAGACGTCGTTGAGAAAGAAGGAAAAAAAATGCTGTTGCTCTGATTACTACTTTCCTTGGCATGCTTGTGCTTCTTCCCTTTGCAAGAATGGTATCGATGGCGTTTGCGAGTGTGTATGCGGGTAGCCCGGTTGACGCTATTCCGAGTGAGATGTGAGGCGGATTTCAATTACACATGCCTCAGTTGGATTCTATTCAATCCAAGTCATTTGGCCATAGGATGGATGGGGATTGTCAGTGTTATAGAAGCTCAAGATGGATAATCATGGAGGGAGGGGTTTTTGGCCACCGATCGACGGCAGTGTGCGATGCTTGAGAGAGGGGATATGCATGAGTGTATTGTTTACTGTGTATTGTTGTGTATTGTGTGTTGTGTATTGTGCATTGTGTATTATGTGTTGTGCATTGCCTTGCATATTGTATGTTGCATACTAGGCATGTGTGGTGTCCCTTGTGTTCAATATGCATAGATGATTGTGTAGTCTATGTCTCTAGTGTGGATGGAGGGAAAGGAGGGGACGTCGCTGTCGTACTAGGTGTACCACATTGCTTTGCAGAAAGGGCAGGGCAGAGAGAGAGCTGTCCGTCTCCCTGACGGATGGATATAGTGTTGGTCGTCTTTCTTTCGCGCGTCAACTGGGTTTGCTATAAAACCCTCCCTCTTCTGCCGCCTTTCTACTCCCCCTCCCTCTCTCACCATTTTTTTATACATGTATAGCTTTACTCGCTTTCTATCTCCAGCCCTCATCATCCTCTCTATATAAACATACATACACAAGCGGACCTGTGCTTCCTTTCCCTGCATTCCATTCCCAATTGTCATATACGCTCAGCCCCAATACGGCCATCCTTAACCATCCACTTTAAGTATCCTTCTCTCGCCACCGCCCTCATTCGCCTGCCCTCTGTGCCCTCATCCTCATCTAAACAGATCTATCCGTCGGACAGTATTTCACTTCCCACCAAATCTAATACTCCTCCTCCTCTTTCTCTTCCTTCCCTCTCCTTCCCCTCCTCCCCCCTTTTTTTCTTTCCCTACACATCCCACATCCGCCCATCTGCCTTCGTCTCTCACCACATCGCGTCAGGTATTTTTTAGGTTTCAATCTACATCCCCCCTGCCGCACCTCCTTTTTGGTGTTCTGTTTCTTTCTGTTCTGGCATATCATGATTCTACCTCCATATCTTCTAATCTTTCAGTCCTTTCCGTTCTTCTTCCACCACCCTCCTACCGCGCTGTTGCCTCATTCCTCCCCACAGCAGTCCCATCAACATCATGCTCCCCTCATCGCCCTCAAACAGTGTGCTCAACCGCTATACCGCCCAGCAATACGAGAGCGATGTTGATAGGGATCCTTCGGCTTCTAGTTCGGCCTCGACTCCAGTCTCTCCAGCAGTCTCAATCGCCACTACTCATCAGCTGACATACCCATACCACTTGCATACACAAACCTCTAACCACTACCAGAGTACCAGCAACAACACCAGTAGCGGTAGCGCGCCCTATCTGAGTCCTCTGAGCGCACACCATCCCGCCGTTCCTCAGGTTCGATCTCCACTAGCCATGGGCTTCAGTACCCACGGAAACATCAGTGCTGTCGCGTTCAATACACGATCTACCTACAACAACCGGCTCCGTAATCGCAGAAACTCCTTTCAGCAGAGCCCTGTCGCTTTCTCTCCCACTTTGACTCATAATAGCCCAAGTGGTGCAAGTCAGGTCGGCCTGCATGCTCCTGCCAACAACATCCATCCTCATCAATCGAGGTCCAGCTATCTCTGGCCAGGGGCAGCATCATCCAGTGTCGCCACGGGAGGCAACCGCAATCGATGCCTTAGTACGGGTAGCATCGACAGCAATGCCAGCTCTGTGGGCCTGAGCCATCTGACTCCGGCTCTGGCTGCCATGAGCGTCCAGCACCGACAGATATCGCCCGCCAGTTCTCCGTACCAGTCGTACAGCAATTCTCCGCAGCAAAGTGGCCTCCAAAACCATTATCAGCAACAGCAGATGTCGTCTTCGGAGTCTGCGTACCCGTACCACAGTCCCTTCTCGAGTCCCATGCCCACATCTCAAGTCCCCGCGTCTGCTAGTCTTAACCTGACTACTGCAAACATTGCCACCAACATCTGTGGATCAATGCCGCCCATTCAGTCTACATCAGACTTCATGTACCACTCTTCTTCGTACGGCTCGACTCCACCGATTCAATCTTACAGCGGTGTCGCTCGCTATGCAGCTAACTCTGTACTCCCTTTGGGACCCTCGCTTTACTCTGAGCAAGACAGCAACAAGATGACGCAAGCGCAGTTCGAGTCGTCAATGACCTTGCCAACGACAGAAACAGGAGGAGTACACGCCTTTGCCTACGAAGATCAGTATCAGCCAGCCCATGGACAGTACTACAGCCAACAGTCGCAGCAGGGCCTTGGTATCTTGGTTTCAGGGGGCATGGCCCGGGACATGTCCTCAACGCCTGAGGACGACAGCGCTAACGAAGGAAGGCAACAGGATCAGCAGGATCAACAGGACCAGCATCAGCAATCCGGTATGAAGCGCAGTACTTCCGTTTCAGGAGCTCCTCAGAATGCTGACGACATTCACGCGGTTATTGGCAAGGATGGAAAGACGCTTGTGTATATCTGCCCAAAGTGCGATCTAAGTAAAGGTAAGCATCGGCAAATCACAGCACGCATAAACGAATAGTTGCTTTCGAAACACTTTGTGTAGGAGGACAGTAGTGGTGGTGGTGGTGGCGGTATCACACATACAAACAAAAGACGTATGCACAGACCAGGTCGTCTCCCTAATTTGACCGAGGAGGCTGTGCTGAAACGAACAAGGTTTCTCTGTGACACCTCATGGAAACCCAATCTAACTTAACGCGCACTTACTGATCTTTTATTCAAGTTGTAGAGTTCACCACGAAGTCAAATCTCAAGCGCCATCTAGAGAATAAGAACATCCACAAGTATGTTCTGGGAAAGAAAAAGTGACATGCTCCTTTTTTTTTTTGCATGCCTCTAATATATTATTTCTTTCTCTCTTTGAACTTCATCTCTCCATCAGCACCCCATACGAGCGCAGGCGCGACCAGAAGCGCTGGCAGGGTCATGAAAAGAAGCAGGTCAGCCGCGATGAGACAACTTTACGCATGCGCAAGTGGAGAAACTGCAATCCGGAAAAGAGTAAGAACAGCTTCGTGGACCATATTAGAACATTCACCGCATTAAACTCCGTTTTCTAATCCTTGCACGCCTTTCGCGTCATATATCATTCTCCTTTTTAGATCGCTTCAACGACATGCGTTGCCGCGTATACAGAAATGCTAGGAAGATTTATGGAGATGCATACTCTGAGGCCAAGGAAGAGTACATCAGATCCGAGATCGAGCGGCGTAAGCAAAACATGATCATCCGCAACAGTCGTCGCACAGAATGGGCCGGTCAGCCAGCCAGCAGCAGTGGTTCTACGGCAGATCCATCCACTTCCACTTCCCCCTCTGCTTCACCAGTCTCCTCCACTACTCTTGGAGGTGTCGGCTTCCAAATGCCAGAGTCTGCTTTCATGTTTACCAGTTCATACGGGACTAATTCATCCTTAGCAGCCTCTCAGCAGATCCCTGCTTACGGCGCCACTGATGTTTTATTAAAGGCACAGGATTCCTCAAAACCCGAGAAGCAGAAGCCCGATGAGTCTAAGTTTCTCCAGGACCTTAAGGAAAACCGACTGCCCCCTCGACGTCGCTCGCGTTCAGCGATGCACAGCACCATGAACAACTCTAGTAGCCAGGCTATTGACGCCAGCCGCTCTACCACAAGCGGCGTCCCCACAGACACTGCCAGTTCTCTCGCTTTTGAGGCTCGAGGTTATGATACCTTCGGACCTTGGGCTTCGTACGCGGATAACATCACAGATTCATTTGATTATACATCCTCTGGTTCTCAACAGCCGGCATTTCGACGTGTTCAGAAGCAACGCTCTGCAACTGATAATCCCGAATTTGGAAGTACAGGCGCTTTCGGAAGCTTTACAGATGTCATGGGTGAGGGATCGTACCAGGGCAGCTACATGGACTCGAGCCAGCAGCTGCAGATGCTCGAGCACAAGTACAACTCTAGTTCGCTTGGTCAAAGCCTGTTCTTCAATAAGAACGATGTTCAGAAGCAATCGCAGCAGCAGCACGACCAAGAGAGCCTCGATTCGGTGGTTGAAGCGATGGAAATCAGCCAAGCCGTTGTAGGCACCACGACCTCTGTCGGCGGATTGTATGGAGATCGCGATGCCTCTGCTTGGCTGACACCGTCTGCGACCTACAACGCTCACAATCTCGCGGATCCAGTCCAGTCCGAGCACGAATCGAGGGGGTTCCCTTTCCCCGTCATTCGAGATCGTAAAGAACTTGCTCGTGCCGCCGGTATCCGTTTAGAAATCCCAAACCAGCATCAACTGAAAGCGCATCACTGGATCAACGCCATCAGTGATACCGGCTCTGGCGCGAATGGAGATGATATGGTCGGAGGCTCGGCCACTTCGCAAGAGTCTTCGGGACTGAGCCACCAGGGGCATTCACCATCAGAAAGTTCGCCCTTGTCGGCAGCCCTGCTATCACCATTGCGCGGCGCCCGTTATTCTACTCAGAGCGACGATAACAGTAACAGGAACAGGGATGTAAATGCGGAAAACGAGGAGGACAGCGGCGACGCGGAGAGGAGCAACAGCCAGTACAGCAGTCATGTTGCCAACACCGTGGGAATTGCCAAAACGAAGGGTTCCAATCTAGATATCTTCAGCATGCACTCTGTTCCGATGCCGCTCTATAGCCAGAGTCTTGGCTCCTCAGAAAGCGGATTTTTCACCACAGACGCATCTTCCCTGGGCGAGACGAATTATTTTGCCAATTACCAAGGCGTGGCGAGACGCCATAGCACTGCCATGGCTAATCTTTCGTCGCTGTAACTTTTTTCTTCTTCTTATCATTCTTCACTTTTTGTGTGTACATTATTTGTAAGATACTCTATTATCTAATATATTGTTAATGATTCTTGTTGAAGACTGCATTGTAGACAAATGAATGAATGAATAGTTGCTATTGGCTATGCGAAAAAAAGAGAGCACAGCAGAAAGGAGCAGGCTGTTCTGCGCACAAGGCTAAATCAAATACACATGCGGTTCGCACCTCTACGCTCTCCAAGGATGTATGCACGTTTCTTTGAACACTCTTTTTTTTTCTTGTAAGAGTAGCAGGAGTCTGGTATCTCGTTCGTTCTTAGAAGGATTTATTCTGGATATTTATGTAGAGTAGGTCTATCGGATCGTTGATGTTAGATTACAATGCAATGCTGGATGACAAAAGGAAAGAAAAGAGGGCGCAACTAGAGAATAAAGGGAGATAAACATGAGAGATTACATGTCCACCTCCATTCCTGCAGCTGGTGCAGCGATCTCTGTTGCCCCAATACCTGCCAAAGCCTTGCCGCCCTTGACGACCTTGACACTCTCGGATGCCATAATTTTTGCAATGTTGGAATCCTCGGGAATGGTATAGGCCGAGTGCACAAAGGGCAAAGGAAGAGGGGGTGTGATACGAGTCGTGCCATTAGCGGTGATCAGGACGGTCATCTTGAACTGTGCAACCCTGTCAGACGCGCGAGTATAGTAAACGGGATAGGGCATCAAAAGGTTGTGAGAGGCCAGTTCGCTGACGCCCAAACGATGGCGCTTATCTTCCAGTGCGCTATATATCAGAACCATAAAACCCCATACAGCTGTGGTTAGAACATAGCAATATCACAGCCGTCGACATCTGCTGATCCGTATCAAAAGAACCCTTACCGTGTTGTGAAAGGAAAGACTCCGAACTTTGTGCCGATCTCATTGAATGCTGCGCGTGCAGACTTGAGCTTCAGATTGTAGTTTTGGTGAACGTTACGGGCATAAATCGTGGGTCTGCTCGCGCCTTCCCGGCAGGTGCCGTCGCCGGAACTGATAAGGATATTGAGGGTGTAGGCTTCATTTGCGACAAAGACAAAGTCCTGCACAGGGCGGTTCTCCTCGTCCGGTACATTCAGAATCAACTTTTCCGTTGAAATCACGTAGCGCTTAATCTCAGTGGAGGCCGTTCCTGTCACGGGACTGCAGTTGAACAGTGCGGCGGCCTCTGCGATCGCCTCCTGAACCTGAACGTTGCTATTACCAGTCTTCATCAACCGCAAGGCAGCTTCGGCAGCAAAATAGGCGGCGCAGACTACATCCGCAGCAAGCCCCTCCACTGGCATGCTGGGATTGGAGTTCAGCACGACGGTGTGGCCGTTTGTGGCAATATAACCATCAATATGAGCGCCCAATTCACTAGGATCCAAAGAATAATTAAAACGAGAAAAATAGTTCAGGCAGTCAGTCGTCAAAGTATCAAGCAGTGTTCTCGAAATGCTAACGATTGAGCACTATAATATGCTAAATCCAGTGTTCATGCAGCCTGCAAGTAGACCTACATCTTGACAACATCTCCGTTGTGGAGAACAACATCGTCGCCAGCGTCTCCGGTCGGGGAATAATATTCAACACAGTCATTGACCGAAATCATGGTGGGGAATGCAATTCCCTTCTCGACACTGTTCTTGTTATAGACCTTGGACGTCTATTGTGTTGTATACGTTTGAATGTTAGCGTTCGGTATGAACATCGACTCATTTTAATGGAGCACTTTGCTCGCACAAAAACGAAAGAGTGAAGAACCTACATAGGAGAGAATGATTTCATCGCCATAAGCACAGAGCTCGCTTACGCGAACTCCATCGACTACGCGAGCGACAACCTTGGTCAGGGCATCTGGATTGAAAGTTACCTGGTTTGTTAGTATCTGTCGGTCTTAGACTTGGCATGAATATAATGACTAATTGGAGCCCTGCTCTGACGGAATGTGTACCTTGAGCGATATCTGCTGCCAGACGATACTTGGCAATGACTGTGGGGTCAGACAGATTGTTGTCAATGTCTGACTTTTGGGCGTAGAGCTCCTGTTGGTATGCAGACAAGTCGGTTCAGCAGAAACATTGTTAGGGACTATTTGGTTGCTAATCAATTGATATGTCATTGCTGTTCTCAAGCGCTCAGTGTTTGAACCAGCACATTTCGCTGAACATTAGCTGCTGGAAGCTTACAATCTGATCCTGGTCCATGGCGATGAAGGGTGTTGACGGTGAGGAGGTGATGAGAGGAATAGCCAGCGAGAGGAAAGTACAAAGTGTCAAGCACTTTTTTTTTTTTTTTTTTTTTGTGGCTTCAGCTATGTTTGGTTATCTCTCAAGTGCAGTCATTTTACACGTGAGAAGCCAGTGCCACTGTGAGAAACACATTCAGGACTCAGCTCCACCTCCATCAACCACCATCCCCCAGGGAAACATCTGCACTTTCTCCACAGCGCGTCATACTTAAAGAATCCGACACCATTGTCGCTACAGCCAACTCAATTCAACTCAACTCAACTCAGCTCAACTCAACTCAACTCAGCTCAGCTCAACTCAGCTCGACTCGACTCAATTCAATAACCATCCTCGTCCACAATCTTCATGTACTGCATTCGCGCTTTTCTGCCTCTGTTGCTCATGCCCTTTCCAAGCACTGCGCCGTATTTTGTGATACTCTATTACATATCGCTCTATCGACACCATCGTCCATGGTACGACTGAGTAATATTCTTTTTTTCCCCTCGATCTTTATTAGCGAAATGTTCATGCTTATGGCTATCTACATTCAAATGCTTGCTGTATTCTTTTCATAAACGTAGCGTATACTGCGTCTTCACAGTCATCTTCCTGTTCTCAACAACGTGCTACTGGGGCGCGGACCGATGCTGGATCGACCTGAACCACTTTCACATCTTTGACCCGATACGGCACCCGGACGGATCGCCGACCTCGACATTTGGCCTGCAGCTACCAGCCTTCATGACCACACTTGACGATTATTTAGAGGCCTTGTTGCGCATTCTCGGAGGCGGCCAGCCTCTTGCCCGCGTCATTCGGTCAGGGTCCGATTTTGCAGCCTTTGCAAAGACGTCAGGGGCCGCATCTCAGGCCTCGCTCTCTCCTGTCACAGACGCCGTTGCTGCCGTCCTGTCTGCAGCAGCAGCTACAGGCCACGCAGGTACAGCCGCTGTCGCCGGACCATAGATATGGACCCCTTTACATAATAAATATGGGTCTGCATCGAATCGCGCCCAAGGTGTGTACGTTGTGTTCCCAAACAATTTGTCTATGTACAGCCAGCACTTTATTGTTCTTTCTTGCTTGTTACTCTAAATCCTCTCTAGTCAATCTCTCCCCTCTTTCAACCCCGTGGCACACTGCTTTGCCAGCGCACCATGTTGACTTCATCCTGTTCACTCTCATCCCCGTCTACGGCGTCTCTTACAGCCTCTGGTGTTGCTGACTTCAGGCCAGATGACGTCGAGCTCGAAATCGGAATATCGGCACTCGCGCTCGCGGAATCATAGGAATACAGCAAGCTCGTGCTCCTGCCATCCGCGTCAACGATCTCGTTGGAAAGGTCAATCCTACCACCCTCACGACTGATGCTCGATAAGAACGGGGGTCCATCCAAATTCATCTCGTCAGCTAGTAGGAGATCTGGATTCAAAGACACCAGTGTTGGTGGAGACAATCGCGGAGAGGCATTTGCCGTGCCAGGGTTAGAGCCGTCGCTTGCGCACGTCGACACGTCTGGCGAGTGTTCCATCGCCTCATTGCTGGGATCCAGGTAATCTGACATGCCCGTTACCGAGTGCAAGTCCTCTTCGTCCGTGTCCCCACTTTGGTCCAATGCATGTCTCTTTGCTTGTCTCTTGTCAGACGCAAACGTCAGACGTTCTGAAAATGGTGACGGTGGGCTTGCCATTCCGGAAGGCCCCATCATCATAGTGCTGCCATACGATGGCAGTTCAGCGTCGCTGTCGTAAAGGTCGCTATTGTCGTCCATTGAGTGAAACGGTTGCAGATCCGAATACGGCTCTGACCCTGGCTTGCCCCACTCTCCATACTCGTCGCTGTGGTCGTCGTTATCGTTCTGAAGAATGCTTTGAGCACTGAAGGGCTCTAAGTATCCACTACGGAATATTGCGGCGGGGCCCTGAGTGATTTCAGTCGTTGCGTCCGCCTCCACCACCGCCTCTGTATCCGTGGGTTCCTGATCATATTCACGAATAGTCGCATTTCGTCTGCGATAAAAGAGCAGATACGCACTCGAGGACTTGATGGACTCCACATCGCCCACCGCGCTGACATGCGAATCGTCAAAGTTGAACCACTCGCCCAGTTTTTCGTTCTTGGCATAGGCAGTGTCTACACCAGTAAAGAACGAAGGACAAGTGTTAGATCCTGAATACGATTGCGTATTATGCAGTTAATAAACAGAGAGCATAGGTGCTTACAATGACCTCCTCCCAACCCGCCCATATGGTTGGACACGCCGTACAGGTCGTACATATTATCGACGTCTTCTTCCACCTTGAGCACCTTGCCGCTCAGGTCTAGGCCATGAATGGGAAAGTCAACCAGAGCATCAATCTTGTCGCGCCATGCCCGCGTGTGGCTAAATCGCTTGAGATGCACAACCAGAATGTCGGGGAGTTTCCAAATGTCCAATTTTTTTGTCGCTTGCTGGTGCTTCTTGCAGCTAGGACAGTACCAAAGATCTTCCTCGCCGAGTTGTTCCTCTTTTGTATATTCGTTCAAACAATCCTCCAGTGTTACGGTCTTCTTGCCCTTCTTCGCTGCCGAACGTTCCGCCTCCATTTCGGGATCATTGACTAACGGGCCTCGCTCGTCCCACAGAACTCGCACTGACGACGATGGGTCCTCATCCTCATCCATGTTGCGATAAGAACTGAAGCCTCTGTACTTCCTCTCAGGCGCGGCGATGGCTGGCTCCATAGATCGCGCCCAGATGCAGTACACCATCTCTCCTTGACGGACTGCCGGCTCGAGTATACGGACGACGCTCAAGGAGGGCTTCGACGCATATTTTGAAAGTCCTGCATTTATGCCTGGTGTGGTCTTCAAGGTAGCCAGATCATCCTCGTCTGAGAGTTCATCATCACTGGCCCTGGGAACACGTGGCCGATTTGAGGATTTAGAGGAATCCGACAATGATGGAGATTCTGGTTGAAGGATGACATCATTCTCGCCAAAGCCATCGTCGTCGCCCATAGATCCTTGGAGGCGGCTGTGAGAGCTCAAGGAGCCCATCTCATGCGTGACCTCTGGTTCTGGTAGTGCGACTCGCTGATACATGTCCAGCATGTCGCTCATGCTTGGGACGGTCGCAGGAGCGTACATGCTCTGCCTGGACATAGGACGGTAATGGCTGCGAGGAGGCGCCGGTTGCGGGGGCGAATATACCATCAACCGGAACAGGCCACTCTTTGGCACCCTCTCAGCCGAAGTCTCTTCTACAGGCGTCATGCTTACATCGGTGGGCTCATCATCAGTCTCGTTGATCGTCAAAGTCGCAGAGTCGTCCTCGTACAGGTCCATAGTTGTGTATCGACTCGCCTGCTTCACAATGGCCTTGTAGATTGCGTCAGGATCCAGCGCCTCTTCTCTGGTCACGCACACCATCATGGGATGACCACATAGATTTGGCCTGCCATAGGATGACAATGGTTCGAGAACGTTGTGGACAGGAAAGACAATGTTGTCCGAAGCGGTTGTAAAATCGGGTATTGGTAGTTCGTACACAAAGTTCTTGTCGGTGTCACTCAGCTCATCCACTGCGTCCGAATTTTCATGTGTTTTGTAGATACGATGGGAAAAGATTTCAGCAGAATAGAGGTGGCGCGCCTGTGTTCCCATGAGTTCAGCAACCTTCTCCTTCAATTGCTTTAGTGTGGATCCTTTGGGCAGTTGGAGTCGGATATCAACAAGAGGCTCCCTGGGGTCGTATGGAACGTAGGTTACAGTGCCGGTCCATTTTTTGTTAATAGGCAGAGGCAAGCTCAGATACATGAATGGATCGAATGTAACAGAGACCTTTGTAGAAAATGGAATAAAAAAAGATCAATACCAAGGGTGATAGGACCAGGACAAAGTGATGCTATGAAAACGCAAACAAGAGTGGCGACTACCTTTTTGCATTCGGGACACACCAACGTCGATTTGTACTGTCCCTGGAAGAGATCCACGATGATAGAGTCATTGCGCGCTTTGTGAAGCTGCCAGCAATCGTTCGCCACCTCTTCATCTGGACGCCCATCCGAGTCGGGAGCTTCAGTGTATGGCTTTTTGACAATCCGATTCAGGTCCTCGTGCAAACCGTCCAGTAGAAACGCTAAAAGTTCCTGTGAATCATGCTGATGATAGCCCGTAAACGATGGATTGAATCGTCCAATTGTCATCTATTCGCAAAAATAAAACAGAGATGTTGTAGATAAAGCACATTGACAACGGTAACCAATATGTGCGCCAGATCATTTATGTACCTTGAACTCTCTGGGCGAAAACACCTTGCTACTTCCTCTCCACAGCTTGTCGATTAGATTGGCATATGCCCGCGCTACCTCGCCACCCATACCCAGCGGATTATCCGAGTTGAGCTCCTTGCGCCAAGCGCCAGCCAAAATAAACCGAGTCAAGTCAGGGGTGTTGCTCAGACATTGCAAAGCCGAATTCATGAAGCATGTATTGCCGAGATTTTGAAGCCCGCAAAGGCCATTAACAGGCGTCCCTTGAGTAGCGAGTGTACCCGCGTTACGGGAGCCGTGGAAGCTGGGAGGAAATGTCGATGACATAAAGCCAGATTCAAAGGGTCGAACTGGTGTTGCATTCTGCACAAGAAAAGTGCCATTGATGGCCACCTCTAAGGCCAAATCCTTGCACTTGACAAGCTCGTTCACCTCTGACACAGGCGAATCATCTTCGACACCCTCCAAACAGGTCGCGCCCGAATAAGCGATCGCATCTGCTCCAATCACATTCCCTTCCACAATCAGATTCGCATGTCCAGGAATAGCCCACAGTCGAGCAGGGCCAGGGCCAGCAATGTTCAAGCGCAATAACAGAGCCGATTTGAGGTCGCCAAACTTTGTTGTCCGGGGCACTTCAATGGTATCGGGCTCGTTCATGGCGAAGAGAGGATTGTCAACTTGGTTGTTCTCGACAACCCTGTAGAGGGTGAATACCGGAGGATAGAAGTCGATGATCAAGTTTGGCGCCACATCGGATCCAGTGTTCACTACGCGGCGCATGATTGGTGCTGTGATGCTTCCGTAGCTGGTAAACAGTAAAGAAGGCACGGCATGCAGGTCAGCGCCTGTAATGTCTCCATTATCATCATAGCACCCAAATGTATTCTTAACCGAGCTGCTTACTTGGCTACGAGCATATCCCAGCCCTCTTGCGGAAGAGTTGTGACCGAATTTTGAATATCCTGTCTAAGAGTGTTTCCCATCATGAGCACGGAGTTGTCGATCTCTCCTGGATGATCCGCCAGCCTCCCGCTAACCTTTGCAGTACAGTACTTGCGAAAGCTGGCATACCATGCTTGATTAAGGAGATACATGGGTTCGCCGAGTTCGAGCCTCTGACGCGAGAGATGTTGGATTGTCTTTAGCTGCTGATCAAATGATGGCGCGGCTTGTCTGCTCTTATCCTCTGATTGCTCCTGCTTTGACGCCGTCAGTTGCTCTAGTGTTGGGTCTGGTATGTGAACAAGATGGGTCTCGCTCTGTGGCACAGTCTCGAGCTCGACGTCAGCAGTATCTCTATCGCTCCGCTCTTCATGGTCACTGGCTGCGGCTGTTGTTTTTCCGGGGCTGTTGATGGAGAGTTGTTTGCCCAGGTTGTCGAGCTCAGAGTCCCCGTGGAAGCGATCAGGCAGAGTCAGACTTCGGGACTGATCTGATGTGAGGAGAGTGCTGCTAAGTTGCATCTCACGGTCACTCTCCTGAAGTCCGTCTTCGGATGGAAGTGAAACGATGTCGTCCGCGTCGATGTTTGCGCTTGGGTGTCTGAACATTTCTCGTGGAGGAGTGTATCTTGCGGCCTCGCTTGGATCGGTCATTGCGCTTGGTTCACGGCTTCGTTTGTGGGATGAGGCAACGGCAATGGATGAAGAGAAAGAGAGAGTGGCAATAGAAGGAGGAGATGGCGGTGGTAAAGCTGTGGTCAAGCTTGCGTTTGACAGTGCGGTATCAGTGTCGACGTCGGCGTTGGTGTTGGTGGTCGCTGCGGCTGTGGTTGCAGGAAATGATAGCAATAAAGAGGGTGCCGTAGTCGGGATGCCTGCGCCCTTGTCCGCCTGAGAAGATGGTGGCGCCAGAGGTGTTGCGGAGGTGGTGGCGTCAGCTGAGGAGGAAGGGGCTGCTGTAGTAGATGAGATCTTTGGAAGGTACACTTGCACTTGAGGATGAAGGGGATGATGGGAAGGATCAGAGTCGGAGTGCATGCTTGAGAGAAAGAGAAAGGGATGGAACAAAGACAAGAAGGAAGGAGAGAAGTAAAGAAAAAAATAAAGCGGGGTTTATCTTTTTTTAATAGTCAACTAGGACGCGTAATGATTTGGCCACCAAGGAAGACCTGTGTACTGTCGGTGGGGGCTGAGGTGATAGTCGAACAGGGCAACACCCCTATCCCTGCTTCTGTTCCAATCCCTTGCTCCAAGTTCTAAGGCTCAGTTTCCTGCAACAGGAGATAGTGACACAGCTCTTTTTCATTTCCCATTGTGTCTATCTGCCCCTCCACACGGCGCCTAGTGTTGTTGTTGCTGTTGCTGTGGATGCTTCAGCTCCCGGGGCCACTCTTGGTGCTCAACAAGACAGAGGGCGGCGCGAGCCATATTGTAGCCAGCGTTATGGTCTCGATCTCTTTTACTGGTTGCATTGTAGGCACTTGATGGCCCGACCCTCAACCTTTCCTAAGATATCGCACTGACAACATGCTATAGAGGTCCTCCATTCATCAGTACGGACTATAAGCATGTTGTGGGCCACCACTGATGCGTATCATAGTAATAAATCCCTGTTATTAATTTCTTTTTTGCGCAAACCATTATCGCCAAGTTCATGCAGTCGTATTACCTTCTCCTTTAAAGCTGTTATGAATTGCTGGTGCGGATAGAAGGAACGGAGTTGTCGCTGCACTTCTAGCACCGATACAATGTGTCTCTCGATCGAAAGGCGCAGCGATCTCCAGGCAGTGCTTTGGTCGACATTGGCTGCCGCCGGTGCTGGTGGTAATATTGGGAGGCATACGATTGCTTGAATTGTCTACTCCAGCTCGTGTAGCTCATGATGATAGGTTGTTGTCCCTGGAGTGCACCAGCGACCAATCTGCCGTGGTGAGGACGACCGCTGTAACGGTCTTCTTGACCCCTGTTGTCAATTCCAACAACCTTGTATGTTCTTTAGTTGCCTAGTTGGCACTCCATCTGGTATTCGTCTCCCAGGGCAATCTTAATGTCTTCTATCTTCTATTTCGCTGTATTCAGCACGGTAACACCACTCGGCTGCTTCTTGACCAAGGAGCAAGGAATCAGTTTGAGGACGCATCCATCAGTGGTGAACGATTCTGTCCACACATATTTCCTCCGGAAATATCCTGCGTTGATTTCTGCCTTGTACCCCTCGAGTATCGTAACTCATTCTTGAGGAAGTTTGACAGAGCCGTCCGAGCAGCATGGTCTCGTTGGAATTGTCTAATGCGCGTTGAGAAGGATGCGCCTGTAACTCTTTGTTATTTCCCTCAGACAGCCATTGGTCGTGGTATCCGCTCGTGGTTTTCTTAATGTTGCGCCTCTTGGTCGTGGATGGCCATGATGTCACAGAGAATAATTAGAAAGGATATTATTGCGGAAGATGATAAGCTGGACAAGTTGTCTCTTTTGAAATCGATGTCTGCTCGTATCAGACCAGGGCGGGCCGCCATAGCAGCGCCGATGTGCGCCGCAATCGCCTGCTGAGCGCGTCTGTCGCTGCACGTACCATCTCTTAGATTATGTGAACGACGTCCTTGTGGAACCGGTCCCGCTCTGCTTCGTCAGCATTCATGACCTCGGACAAACCGACCCTTAGCTGTGTCGAAAGGGTGCCGCAGTTCAACGCAACTATCCTGAAAATGGCTTTGAGGGACGTGCTCATAATGGCTGCTCGATTCCTGGATTTGGGTGTATCCGTACCAGTGGCCTCTGAGGGAATAGCCCTAGCACCTCTAGGCGACGGGTTGAATATAAGTTTCGGTTTCTGCCTTCTCTTTTCGTTGACTCTTTAGTTGAGGTTAGAGTAGTTAGGGCGGGTGCCTGAGACTTGGTCAGTGGGGTCCGGTATATCTTGGCTCGGTACTGGCTCAGCGCCATGTACTTGTTTCGTGATGTCTGTGTCGTAGGAGAACAAAGGACTAGGCAAATGGGAAATGGTCGATATCTCATGGCCTTGAACCGTACCAAAAAGGCGTTTACCTCCAGGATGGCATCGTACATCAGGCCATCGAGGATATCCTGGTCTTCGTACCTCAAGAAGACATCAGAGGCGGCGTCGCAATGGCCGGCCGGATGTAGACTCGGCAAGTTCAGCCTACTCGTTATAGTATCGCAATATCCCTGCAGAATAAGAGGCACTGTAAGGCTACACGCATTTAGGATGCTCCTTAGCACTTGATAGACCATATCCTCTCACATTCTTGACGTATGGTGCGGAGCATCTAGTCACGACTATATGTAGAAAATGTTGAAGCTCAAAAACCATTGAACTAGAAGTTTGGGTTGTAGATACATATTTCAGTGGTCCGAATTTTGATTCAGCAGTTGTATATGATAATGAGTAGGCGTTTCTAGTCATGTCAAAGTCTTATGTTGCGACTAGATGTTCAGCATTGTAGTCATTTTTGGTGACTATGCCAGCTACGATCCACATCACTGCACTGATACCAAGCCGTTGAAGGATATCGGTCGAGCCTTCAATGGGTTGAGTCCGAACCTGTTTTAGGAGCTTCGGCGAAAGAAAGTATCGACCATACGGAAAGGATAGTCGGAGTCTATTGCTGCGACATATACAGGCGGGGGTAGGGTAGAGATACACACGTCCGATCCGCCGGTACATCCCGACCAAGGCTTTTGAGGCGGGATATGAGGTCGGTCGAGGAGACGCATCCCCTGGCGGTTTACCAGAAGCGCTTGATCTTCTAGATCTCCTTGATAATCTTGGGTTTTCGATAGCGAATTATCGGTGTAAGTAAAGGTACAATACCTATAGGAGGAGGATAGCAACGCCGATTGTTAGAATGGGTGTTGCGGGAGCGTTAATCGGGGTCAGCGATGGCTGCTGAACTTGAGTCGAGCGGACCATGGAGTGGTTCATTAAAGCCTGCGATCGGACGAGGGGGTGGTTGGCACCCTACTGCCGCTTGAGGCTTACTTCAGCTCTCCCATCATGCGCATTCCTTTTTTGCGCAGTGAGTGGACCATTCAGGTGAAGGGTAACTTTGTTCTGAGCAAACATCTCGGAGAGTTTGCAGTGAAGCCCATGGACCATCGCATCGGTGACCCCCGCGTTCAGCTGAGCGTCGGTTTGCTGGGCGATAGCAGCATATGCTCGGTTTTGGGCTTGGGCTCTCTCCCTGTAGGGATCGTAGAGAATCAACGCCTAAGTTGATACGATGTATCCGTAATACAGCGACATTGCATCGACATGGGTGTGCGAATTGATGGTTTTCATGTTGGTTGGCCTCCCAGCAATGGCCATGTTGGCTAAATACTGAGAATCTCTTATTCACCCCCATTTTGGTCGAGCGGGTCGCTAATGCACATGAAGACAAGTGTACAAGTCGCAGTGGTCAAAGATTAATACATTAGTACACATCAAGTGATCAATTAACTCAGTCGACGAAACACCAAGGCGACACAGATGTGAATTTACGAGGCTTGCAGGAGCGAGATGGTGGTGTGTTGACAGGCACTTAGCATTTCCAAGAGGGAGACAACGACATAAGTACAGTGTGGTAGTGAAAAGGCTAAGGTGAGCAAAGGAGCATGGAAAGACAACAAGGCCTTACGGACTTAACGATATCAATACTTACAAATGAGCTTTGACGAAACTACTGTGCGCAACTTGGCCGAACTTTAAACTGAATTTTAGATGTGGGGTATAATAGGATTACGAGATATGATACCACTATTGTAGGCAGGGCGTTTAGTGAGATAGAAAGTAAGTGGGGAAACAAGATGGACGACAGACGAGAATGTGAGAATAGGAAAGAGTGGGTGGTGAGAGACTTTGATGGGTGTTGTTGGCGAGCCGGAGCGACCATGCTTCTAAAGAGTGCCACACTCAGCACGACCTTTTCAGGGGAACAGCAGTAACGACAAAGCGCCGGCTGTCAGTTGTTGTCTCAGAGTCCACGATCCTCTTTGTGGACCCTATTCTTTTTGTCGCCGATGTTCCTTGTCAGGCCTATAGATGCCCATAGACTATGTTGTATTTGACAGGGGTTGAGGGGCGTCGCGCATCCAAATCAGCCCTCATCTCGAGGAACTTGGGTGTGAAGTGCAATAAAATAGACAGGAAGGATCCAGAGGTAAATAAGAGGCCATTGAGTATTAAATGAAAGTATATAAAGAGCGAGAAACGAAGCGAGTTGTGGAGCACTTTATATCAGAGAAAGACAAGTGCTAAAAACTAAAGAGTAAGGGTCGGACACGACCTTCTATTTACCTACGGACGATAGATCCACAGTAGGAGTGGTATATCGGGACGACAAAGACCATCGGCACAAAAAGCACAGAGTTGACAAAGAAACAGTGGATACGGAGTAGTCGTTTAGCCGAGTCTTTGTCGTTACCACTATTCCCCTAAAATGGTGTAGGTTGAGTGTGTTATTCTTTATGGGCGTGGTCGCTTGAACTCACGGAATTACTTCTATTTTGCATAGATAGATAGAAGGCCGTGTCCGGGCTTTACTCTGTACTTGCTTTCCTCTGGTATAAAGCAATTCGCAGCTTTTTTGAGACGATTCGTCGGTACTATCCAGAGATTGCACCAGGCTGCCGTGAATTCCATCTCCAGGCGCTTCCCAGACTGCAATGTATGGTTGGTAGTCAGGACGCACCACCATAGGCTTTTTAGAGCACTCAGGCCGCAGTAACAAGCTCTCTCACTCAAAGACATTATACAGCAGACAAATATCACATTAGTCTAGCTGTGGAGATACAACAAAGAGATAAACGTGTGGGTAAGGAAACTACATATCACCTTCAGCATTATAGTAGATCTGAATGTAGTCAATCGTCAATATTAGCTCCCATCAAAACTCGGACATTTGGTGGAACACCCAGTATCAAGGACCGGATACGTTTCACAGCTCCTGCCTCGAGAAGCGCCCTCCTGACGCGTTCGCTGTGAAATGACAACCTGAAAAGAGTTGAAATGGCCCGAAGCTGGATCTCCTCACTCTCGTAAAACGCCAAAAGGTCCATCAAGTGGCCCAAGGGCCCTGCATCAAGCACACGCGATTGGCTTTGAGGCTGGTCAGAGATCATGTTGATACAGATCAATGAAGGCAGGATCACGGATGGCTCCATAGGTTGCAGATGTCGGCAAAGGGGCGCCAGTGCTCCGGACCGGACAATCTCAAGCTGGCGGTATTCTTCCTGTACCAATTGTTGGAGCGCCGTTGCCTTCTCAAGCGCCAGTTTGCTTACACTAGCTGTGAACGTTTTCTTAAAAGCCATTGTCTCATCGAAGCCTTGGATGCTGTGGAAGATGGCTTCGACGACTTAAATCATTATATAAAATGGGTATTCAGGAATTTTACAACAATCAGACAATGGGTGGTGGGTTTATACATTAGCAAACAGTAAACAACGCCATCTCTCTGTTTGCGCCCAATAAAGTCGTCTCAGGTGCTCCTCTGAGCAATCTATTACATTTGTTCCAGCCGACCTTCTTATCAATCCCGCTTGGATTATCCCTCATACAGGCTCCTTCCCACGCAACGAGCATGGTGGCTACTATTATCAATTCACACGACGATTTGCTGCAAATCGCACTCAACGACTGATGAAGCCTCCTCAAGTTGCCTTTGACAAGCAGGTTCCTGAAGGTGTCGAATCGGATCCTCGAGTGATCGCCTTCGTTTTACCTCTACTCGAGACGGTCGGCATCGATTTCGACTTGCCGGACGCGGCCACTCTGATTATCAAGGTGGTTTACTCATACGCCTTCGCTCTGGATTTTTTTTCTGCGCTAAGAAGCCAGAGGCCCGACTTTGTCTATTGGCTGGCGGTTGATAGCGGTATCCAATCATTGCCCCTACCCTTCAATCGCGACATGTTCCAGAGTATCAACGAGGATCTCAGCCAGGACCTCAGCTAGCTAGATGTCTAGAGCAGGGTTAGCTGTGATGCACCCTATAACAATAAAAAGGTCAGGAAGTTTCTAGGCTGCTGCAACGTTACTGACGTCTGGGTAACGTTTTTTTTTGGATCCATGGCATACAGCAAGGAGGCGCATGTCGGAAAAATCTCTCGTTTGATGTTTCCTGACATGGCCAGCCCAGCCCAGCCCTCGCCATGGCCCCACATGTGAGCCCAGACCTTGCATTCTCCTTGATGGTAAAGAAACACGCAGAGTGTAGACTGACAACCCCCCGCTCATGGTAGCACAGCATAAGATGACCATTCGCACAGATTTTTTTACCCTCGCCACTCCTGTGGCATGGCTTCTACCTCATTATTTACAGCAGAGCGACACATCGCACAAAGCTCTTCATCAGCCCATGGCGAAGTACAGTATGTTCTGCCTTTTCTTCTCCCTAGTCTATGTACGACTTCGCCTTCATTGCGCATGACTCCACTTCCTATACTTTATCCTCCTCTCCTCCAGAATAGAAAGAAATAGAATTGAACAGGCAAATAAGGAATCTGCGTAGGCTGTTTGTTCCTGTTGTAGGTTGTGATCTCTTTTGAAAAGTCGAACGAGATAGACTGTGTCTGTTCAGAGAAGACTATCAATTCTGTAGGGGAGATTGGGAGGATGGAATGTCGTGAGTGTGAGAAACGGAAGAAACCGCAAATGGATGGAGCGGCTATAAAGCAAGGCATCTTTTTTACTTTTCTGTTCTACACAACCTCGGCCGTCCCACGCGCATTTGTCTTTTTCTTCTTACAAAAAATGCCCTTCGACCTTAAAAGAACCACTAAATGCGGCCGGGCCAAATACTACGCCTGTCCGATCCAGTTTGCTCAAGTGCCTTTAACCGATTTTGTTCCTCTTTACAATGAAGGCGACAACTACTGCATTGACTGCAGAAAGCTTTATAGGCTTCTTTTTAAGAAGCATGGGAGACTCGTCGGCACTGTTTCTCGCTTGACATTTGAAGTCGGGGCTGCAAAGGTACGCTCCCTGCGATTTCGACATCTCCCAACCATCGACTACAAAACGTTGATCGACCTTGCCTGCGTCCCCGGAGCAGACGATGTTTCCTACAACTCCAGAATCGACCAAATTCTTGCCGAGCATTCAAACGAGGCCGCCGATGCCGACGCTGCTGACAACAACTTGCTCACTCCCCCTGCCGATGGTAGCGAGGACGAGGACGAGGACGATGTTCTGGCCACAGCTGCCTCAGCTGCGACGCCGACCACACCCCCAGCGCCAGTTGATACGGTGCTCTCAATGCCTTCAAGTGCAAACGAACACCTTCAAGTCTATCTGGCCCAGATGAAAGAGATCGCCGCCCGCCAAGCGGAGAACGCAACCCTTATGACGGATGTGCTTGCGAAGATTGCTGCCCTAAACCTCAGCTAGAGCGCTTAAGAGTCAGTCTCACTTAAGCAATGCCGCCTTCCCTTCATTAGCCACCTCCTCTCGTGATCGGTTTTCGATCTTTCATGGCCATTGCATGCAGCAAAAATACCCAAACGACTGGATTATATATGATACTCCACAGCAATCTCGTTCGATCTAAGACGTGGTAATCACCAGTGTTGCCGCAGTTAATACAGTTGAATAAACGAATATTACTCCTCGTTCATGCACGGTATTTCTATCCCTCAACCCCTCACTCGCTCTTGCGTGGTGTCAACTTTGCCTCTGAAGTGAGAGAAGCGCCTTCTGTCTGTGAGTCCTACGGAGTCGTTTATATGTCGAACTCCATAATATTTATATATGCATCCCATACGTGGTCTCGACTTTGCCTCTGGGTTGTGGGATAGGAAGAGTGAGCAGAAGACTCTGCTTGTGCAAAGACGATAAAAAAGGCGGCATTACTATGGTAGTACAGAGGACGAGTCATATCAGGAATATGTGGCTTCGATGAGTTGTTTGTCCCGCGGACAACATGGGCCTTAGTCGTAGTGGCTCAAGAAATAGCTAGCTTGCGGCGGCCAATCGTCCATAGCGACGTTGCTTTTTGACCCTTTGATGCCGGCTCCTTTCTCCTTTCCTTGTAGAAGAATTCTAGTTCTAAGTGCTTGAATGCACCTTTGCATAGAGGAATCCAGTTGATTCTACCTGCGGGGGTTCTATCTTTTTTTTTATTTTATTTTATTTTTTATTGACGCCAGATCCCCCCAGATGCACTACCTGCGGGGGTTCTATCTTTTTTTTTTTTTTTTTTATTGACGCCAGATCCCCCCAGGCGTGCAGGCGTGCCACAGGCTGCATTGTCCAAGCCTCGGCTTGGACTGTCAGCCGGCCGATAGTTACCTAAAGATAGCTATCAAGAGGCCCCCACTAAACTAATGTAAAATGAGGAACCATATACCTATGGTGCACATTCTGAGTCGTATGGTTTCTAATACTTGAGCCGGGGCCCAAAACCGCTACGCAACCTGTCGGGTCCGATGGGTCCTCTCCTAGTCAAGATCACGGGCCAATATGAATTTTATCCTCCTTCCTCTCTCCATCTCGTTCAACACCACCTTTCCCTGGAGATGGTCCACCAAGCGGCTGTCTGCTCTCCTCCTCGCCGCTGTCGTAACCTCCTCTTGGGGCTGTTGTCTCACAAAGCCCTGGGTTTCACCTCCTACCTGGACCCCGGCTTTCTTCATCCTCGTGCATATGCCCTCGGACTTTTCCCATGCCACTGTGGCACTACATCGCTCCTTCCATAACTCCTCTCGGCCAAAAGCCTCAACTCGTTCTACAAAACGTCCAACCAGGTAAGCCGCGATGCTCTTCGACGTCTTCAAGAGTAGCGCCCAATCCGTTGTCAGGAACTTTGGTACGAGCCCGTGGTATATGTCTATCGTTGTCCATAGCCTGGTAGGCGGTGCTGCCTGCTGTACGTTTTCTTGACTGCTCACTCCTTCTCCTTCTTCCTCATGGACATTCTCTCTGTCCTCGCCACCATTGTCCCTGTCTCGCCGCTCCTCCAGCAGCCTTATCCAGTCATCATCTCGCGCATCCACCATCGTTTCCACTCCCCGGATATCACGCAGACTCCACCAAAGGGTGTCTAACTCGCACGGGGTAAAACTCGGTTCGGTGCGTGTGAATTGTCGACCATCCTTGATTGCCTCCTCCATGTCGCACAACCACTTTTTCCTCGCCTTATCTACCAAGGTGCGTCCAAGACTTAGAATCCCATCAAGTGTCTTTCTCCATTCTTCCTGTCGTCTGTTCTGTGTGACTCTGCAGACCCAGAGGTGCTGGGTATCCTCCACCATGGTAAGGCACACTTGGCATCTGTCTGTGGTATACAGATTCGGCTTCCACCTGTGCATGTACTGCATGGTTGGCAGCATACCATGGATTTTCTTGATCCTGTGGGACCGATGGTTGCAATCCGCAAGGCTGGTGAAAAAACCCCCTGGCGGATTTTTCTCATGTATTATAGCAAGGCTGGATCGCCACTCCACTTCTTCCCACTGCTGAATAAATTGTTTCGTTCGTTGTTGACAAGTCCATGCATGATGGTTTCTGGCTGCAGACTGATGCTTGATCAATTGGCGAATGTCGTCCTCCGCTGGCTGACCACAGAAAGTCGTATGTGTCTTCATGCTCGTGAAATATTGTGTGTTCAGTTGCCATGGCCGTCGCCCACTGTCGTGTGCGTTGTCCGCCAGTTCGTCGGCGGCCTCATTTCCAGTATCGCCACTGTGTCCTTTAACCCACTGAACATTTACTTTGCTGCCCTGCTGCGCGTACGCCTCGTAGATCACAGCCCACCAGTTGGCATATGCTGCTCTCAACCGCCGTCGTGGAGTAGTTGTATGTCGATTCTTAACTAACGCCGCAAACTGTTGGACCACTGCTCTATTGTCGATATGAATAATGGCGTTGCGATCCCGGGGACAGCACAGAATTGTCGCGAGCAGACCCACCAGTTCTGCTTTGGTGGATGATGCGTAATCCGTCGTTGTACCACAGATAGCCGTCTGAAATGAGCCGTCGACGCATCTATAGACACTACCGAACGATTGGCTGACTACCTGCGGGGGTTCTATCGTCGCGCACATTTGCGCAGCAAAAACGTCACGTGCCTAGAAGACGCGTTGCAGCACAGCAAAAAATTAGCTACTCTATATAATGAAGAGAGAGTATGATTGATTTCTTTATTGATTCTAGGATTAATATCGCCTATTTCGGACCATGCATGGCCACATCCGGAGTGACACAAGGAGGTCGAGCCATGGTCTGTTGGGAAATGCGAGAGAACTATATAGAGCATACCATTCGTTGTACTCGCTTTAAACAGTGCTGCACAATCAGTGCTGTCAGTAAGGAGAATCAGGAGGGCGGATAGAAACACAATTAAACTACGGAGGTCCGAGAACAAAGAGACTAGGGTTGCAAGAAACAAGTGGTCGAATGCCATCGTCTGAATCAAAACCTCTGTCCAGCAAATTAGCGAGGTGCCACATCCAAGGAAGATGGGCAAACCGACCTGAGAGGAGGCTGTGGAGTCCTGTCACCAGAGACGAGAAGGAGGTGCAGGAGACAACGAGGGTGCGGATAACGACGAAAGGAGAAGCATTCCTTGGTGAGGGCTGTTGCGGTAAAAAAGATTGATTGACGCGGCCCGCAAAGTATGCAGCCATAATCGGAAGGTTTTGCAGGAGTCTGGGAAATTCGACACATGCATAGACACAGCAGCTGCGGACTGGACCGTACGTAGAACAAGCTAAAGAGCTTTGGAGTGATATTTATTCAGTGGACATAGATGGACTTGGACTATGTGTCCAGTAAGTGCCATCGCCATCATACCCCCCTCCTCCCTCTCCCTCCCCAACTCCACCGACCATACGTCCTCGCACGCCTATCAGTGGCCTGTAACTGCGACGAAGGTGCTGCCCACCATGATGGCTGGCAATGTGGGAGCCACGGTCGGCTCAAGGATTGGAGAATATGCGAGGCGAGACAGAAATAAGCTGAAGCAGAAATAAGCTGAGGCAGAAGGGAGCTGAGGCAGGAGCATCAGTAACAATACGTGCTCGCGCGCTCGCGAATTAGTACAGAACTTGAAAGGTACGCGTTTAGCGTTTCTAGGTAGGAGGTTCGTATAGCTCGTTTCCGCAGTCTCATCAGCAGGACAGTGAGGATGATCCGAGTTCACGGAGCCTTCAAATGTATCAGCTCGAGCTGCCCATCCCTCCAAGTAAGGGTATACCATCAAGCCCTAGGACCCTCATGCAGCTGTAGCCGTCGCTCTTGCTGGCGTCTCTGCACTCCACTCTCCACTTCATGAGGCCCTGCTTCTCTTCTCCCCTGTTTTCCTTGCCAAGAGCACCAACATGGACGCCTGTCATCCGCCGCTGGAATCCTCGCAATCGCGCTGGACATCGACCGGATGCAACGGAGACTCCCTGGGCTTACAGCCGGTATGTCCAACAAAGTGGTCGATGTTCCCTTCCTGATTTTTCTAACATACTTTAATAACAGCTTAACATCCAACTGTGGGTGCTAGGTCTATAGATCGGATCTCCAGAGCTCACGTACTCTACACCTCCGAGAACTGTAATGAACCACGGGGACCAATATATCGACGGAATACTATAAAAAACTACAACTGAACTCTGCTGCGAAGTAATTCAAAGCTTGCCTTGAAGGCTCCAGAAATCATATCAAGTATTGGAATGCACGATAAACATGAATTTTGGATGCAAGAAACCTTCTAAGAAAAATTGAGAATGAACGTTGGCGGACAAAAAAAATAGCTGATTTGATACATCGTATTTCAGGATTTCCTTCATATAAAGGTTCATTTCCCCAGTTTGATATCTCCAGCGGACAGTAATGGTTTTTAATCGTCCAAGATACTAAAAAAATCGTCGTCTTTCAACTTTGGCTGTACAGGCGGCAGGCGAGTAGATCCACAGGAGCGTTGGGAGGATGCAGACGAAGGGCGCTGGCCTGGTGCCGGTAACGAGAGCGCAGACTCGTTGGATGGAGCTGTCTGTTGGGCAACTCCAGCGTTCGGTGCTGTAGGTCGTATGGAAGTTATTGTTTGTCTTGTATGGCTTCCAAGCTTCGGTACTGATGACAACGACTGTACAGAGTTTTGCTGTGGCGACAAAGCAGGCATAGACGAGGTCAGATTTGGAGTGTTAATTTTGTCTGCCCGCGTCTGGGTGTGCCGAGTCGTTGGTGAGAGCTCTGCAGTTACGGCTGACTTCTGCGGTCGTTGAGATCGAGCCGCTGGAACGAGGCGACCTTGGATCGCGTCCAAGAGAAGCTCGTTCTTCAACGTATCCCCAATACACGCTGCCGCTAAATGCACTAAACCAACAGCTTCCTGTAGTTCCGCTGCTGTTAAGAGATCCCTGATCTTATCCACGCCCATCGCAAGATCTTCCCAGTCAAGCCGATCCAGCGGCGTGATGAATCTTTTGGCAGCCTCAAGAACCGCCTCCATAGTCGCGCTGTAAATTCTGGCAATAAATCTGATTTCCTAAAAAAAAAGAAAGAAAAAAAAGTCAGCAGGATAGTCATTGAGGTGCTCATAGAGACTGAGCCACTGGGTCAACTTACGGCGATCAGATTGCCAAGAAACTGCCGAAGTAATGGCGCGATTTTCGATGGCGAAGGCCGTTCGTGTTCGTGGGTATCAAGGGAAGCGTTAGGACGGCCGATACTCCCAGTTTTTTCGGCAAGGTGGATGTCGATATTCTCGGCGAGCTTCAAGGCTTGATCGCAGGTTTTGTTTGTGAACTGCGAGAGGGCCCGAAGTCCATCAAAATAAATCAACATGAGCCGGGACTCGAAAAACTTCTTTATCGGTGCTTTGGCAAAGAAATCTCGTTCGCTAGCCCTCGATTGGTGGTTATGCCACTCTAAAACAAAACAAGAAAAATATTAGCGGGAATAATGAAGAACTCTAGTGAATGAGCGAAATGTTGAGCGACATTATGTATTGCCGCTTTTAAGAAGCCGAGCATACCTTGTTCAAAGGCGTTGACGCTGTCGGGTACTAAACTGGTCAATCTTCTTGTGCAGTTGCGCAACTGTCTTAGATGGGCTGTACCCTGAAAACCCATCTTCTCTAGTAGCGTCACCATGGCTCGGAAGTCTTTGTGTCCTGCCAAGAGATCTGTAGGAAGATCTTTCACTGCAGAATCAAGACTTGGAGGCTGAAGCTGTTGCTCAAGTTCGTATAGCTGTCCCATCTCAAGTAAATCCTGCCTGGTAGACATCCAAGGTGCTACACGAGACGCTGCGGTCGAAGCAAGTGAACGCATTGCTATAAGATGGGCACGTCCTCCAGCGTCGTCAAAAAGCGTTGCCAAGTTCATCCTCGATGGCACCTAAAGCAAATTGAGAGCGTACACATATTAGAGATTCGAACCCGACATGTACATTTTCTGGAGCGATTTGCAATATACGCTCAATCACCGGGCTGTACCTTAAATGGACCAGTATCCTCTAGGTGATCCATGGAGCTGATGGATCCTCCCTGAGCGTGGTTGAGATGGCCCGCACGCCTCTATTGTAATCCAGTGAGAAGTTGCCAAAACAAATTGAGAAACAGATACCCAGAAGCACCATCGATGCACTGAAGGCTATAGAACAGAGATACTCACTTACCACGTCTGAAATAACATCTACAGCTTTCTTGCCCAAAATCTCAAGGGCCCCCAGGCCAGTGCTGACAACGTTGCCCCCAACCACTTCCAACGAGGGATTCGTGATTGTTGGTTTATCCGAGCGCTCTGTAGCTTCTTGCCTGGTACGTCCCTCGGTGGAGGAGGGTCGTTGAGTGTTGATCCATGTAGGAGATACGGTACGAGGATGGGTTGCATCATCGATGGTACCCCTCTTCAACGTTGCCGACTGGCTGCTCTGTGTAACTTTCCGATGCACTCCAAGCACAGCACTTCCAAGGGCGTTCGAAGCAAAATCCAGCGTTGAAAAGAGCGCTTCTGCAGGGCCAAGCTGAAAAAAAAAGAAAAGAAAACCAGAAGTAATCCGACATTAGTAGGCAAAATAGCTAAGAACAAGGCCTGCACAAAATTACTAGACAAAAACCTGCATTCTGGCGTTATGGACTTACATCTGCCGACGATCTTCTTGAAGAGGGCTTATCTGATCGGCTTTCGTCCTCATGAGATAATGGGACAGCAAGGCTACTCTGCGCTGATTCTACAGTAGGCTGAACTTTCTTGGTCGTGTCCATTGTCAATTCCGTCAAATCCACTTCATTATCCCAATCATCGCCCCAGGCGTCATCAGCCCATCCATCACGATCGACAAGATTCCCTGCCGGTACGCCGAGCCTAGATGTGCTATTCAAGGACTGTAGCTGAGAAGACGAATCAAGTTTAGGGCTAGGCGGTCGTAGTTCAGATTGTAAACGTGATGATTCTAGAAGATCGGAAAGGTCGCCCTTGTCTAAACTGGAGGGAGTTTGCTGAGGCGGAAGAGGCGGACGAAATTGTGGCCATGGTAAATCGGCGGAGGACTGCTGCTGATGTTGCTTGGCTTGCTGTGATTGCTGCGATTGCTGCTGCACCCGCTGCTTTGATAGCCGCTCGCGCTCATATTCGTACTCCGGGTCCAGTGATTCGTACACGCGATCGATCTGTTCAGTGGCAACATTGCGTATGCCCTGTCCTGTATGTCAAGAATGCCTGTTAGGTACATCAGTTGTAAATACAGTGCGTTGTTCTCGATCCCAACCGGCCTCCGTTTTACCTATATTGTGAGCCTTCGTCACGACCACATTGGGGTTCTCGATGACCTCGCTTACGGTGCTCACTGCAGTGTTGATCCACGAACTCAACGAACCCCAGGCACGACCCGATTCTTTTGCATCGACGGTGGTATTTGGTCCCGAGGCGGCGCTTTCAGAGAAAGTATTGGTATCCTGAAATCTGCCGTGATCTGGGGCCTCTGCGTGCGATTCATGAAGAGGGTATGAGGGCGCACGGGAAGCCTGCCCTTTATCTGTTACTGGTCTCGAAGAGAGGAAAGACTTGTTCCCGAAGCGCGGTGATAGATCGTCGTGCTGATCAGGCAGTGGAACAGGAATATGGGTTCTTGCCATTCCAGTCGGCTGCTGCAGTGACAGTGAGCCATTATCATATTTATTGGCTGTTAATGGGCCCCTGGAAGCGGCAGACGACGGGCGAGCAGCTACCGGGCGGGACACTTCCATATTTTCATATTCCTCGCCCTCCGAGGCGCTCGCAAAATCGTCGCCCGAGTCCGGCCCCAAGTGGCGTCTGGCTAGTGTGTCAGGCATATGTGGCACCTTGGACGTGATGAGTGTGAGGTTTGATGGGAGATGAGGAAGGATGAGGAGAACGGGGTTGGTGGCGTATCATAGAGTTAAACGTGACTCAATAGACTGTACGAGAATAGGAAGGAGGTGGCGATCGCCTTGTCCTGGTTCGTTCAAGAACACATCTTCTCCATGGAGCATCTTGTCCAGCTCTTCCCTTCTTGTACAGATGCGGACTTGCAGCGGCATCTGGACAATGCCGCTGGAAATCTTGAAGTGGCGATAAACACGATTCTCGAGTCTTCAGCGGACCAAGAAAGCAGCGCTGTTCAGCTTAGCGCCACTGCGCCAAATCAACATCACAAGCGCCAGAAACAATACTCGGTTGAAACTATCGAAGTCAATGGGCATAGCACCGAGGTATGGGACCTGACACTAGACTCCGACGGCGACGACGAAGACAATCACGACAACGAAGGCGAGTGGTATAAGGGCACAACTGAGAACTTGGACATCTTTATATCCCAACAGCCAGGCATTGCCATAGCGGCAGGGAGCAGTTCCACAGGTCCACAGAAACCAGTTGCGTCCGATTCAAGACCCAGCTTTGAGGACTTTCACAATGAGCAACAGCGACTGCTGGAAGAACAAGCCCGGAAAGCCGCAGAGGTACAGGAGCAGAAAAACAAACTGGTGGCCAACTTTATTTCGATTGCTCAGGATATGTTTGAAAACATCTCGGTACCGTACCTTGAGAGGTTGCTGGAGGAGACCCGACCAAGGTTTCTTTCGGATGACGAACTTGTGGATGCGTGCATTGAGATTATCTTTGCGCTGAATGGCCGGTATCCCAAAGCGAAGAGGAAGCGCCTCGATGATGATGATGATGACGATGAGGGTGAAGGCGGAGGATCAGAACCATACAATGAAGGGGACGAATACGTCGGCGGCGTGGCCGGCGATGGGGACAAGAACATTTCAAAGAGGCAACGGGACTACATGAACTGCACCATCAGGATGTCGGCAGCATACGACGCGCAAAGGTAGGGCCGGTGTCGCATGATTGCTGCCACAGCTAGTAGTTACATTCCTGACTGGCTCACTCTAACGCTGTCTTTTTTGCATTTTTGAAGCGCAATACAGCTGTACCAGGACTTTCCGAGGATCGCGGCGTCTTCGATCAGATCGTGTTTGAAGAAGTTCTCATTTCATTATGCGCCAACATTCGAGTATCTGAACAGTTTGTGGACCGAGTTTGAACCAAAAGGCAGTCAGGGGAAAGCCAAGGCGGGAGAGATCAAGATAATATTGGTATCAGTACCTAGAAAAAAACGACCCCCGCTTGAACCTCAAGGAATGGATCCTGAATTCCGAAGAGAAATGGACTGGATGAAGGCCAAAGTCGGTAAGTGAAGTATCAAAGGAAAGATCTTAAGTAGAAACTAAAGAGCCTGCGAGTACTTACTAATGATCGTGTACAATAATTTAGCAAAGGAACTCGCAGAGATACAGACGATTGAGAATGAAGAAAAGAATACGAACTACTACCGGGACCGTGGCGAACTCGTTGAGTGGTAAAGATCAAATACGCCATACCACTGGTTATTGCCGCCTATCTTTGGAGCAGTATTCTTATAATATCTTCTGTATCCTGTATGTCTGATACCTATAGTGGCTGCTGTTACGATGATGTACCTCCGAATCGCGTCGCACAGTGTGAAGATGGGCATCTCTTTTGTCTCGAATGCTCGAGACGTGGAGCTGAGGCAGAGCTCGGATATAGGCGCACTGTTCTAAAGTGCATGACAGACGGATGTACTGCAGTGTTTACGGATGCTGAGGCAGTCAAATTCTTACCTAAGCCTGTACTGCAAGGCCTGTTTAGGGCACGGCAGCAAAATGAACTGAAAATGGTAGGATTGTTATGGCTTCGCACTATATTTAAGCAATGTCTGTCTGCAAATAACCTTGAAGCTGACTTCATAATTTCTTCTAGGCTGGACTCGACTCGTTAGTAGAGTGTCCTTTTTGCTCGTATGCTGCCGTAGTGGAGAATGATCAGGATAAGGAGTTTCGGTGCCAAGCACCACGCTGCCGGAAAGTGTCTTGCCGTCTTTGTAAAGCGCTAACGCATATTCCTCAGTCGTGTGAAGGTATGCCAGTCAACGCTGTTGCGATAGGTGAATCCTTTTCCTTGTCCAGCTGTCTAAAAGCGTCTCCCATCGTCTATTTGAATAGAATACCGTCAGGAACTGGAGAAGAATAATGTCCTTTTAGTACAGCATAAGGTTGAGGAACAAATGTCTGAGGCGCTCATCCGCGAGTGCCCACAGTGCAAGTCCAGATTCTTCAAGACGGAAGGTACTTTTGATGCATGTATTTGTTGTGTTCCTCCTCGCCCTTTTTTTTAATTTTTTTGGCCTGTACCTGACCCTATTCGTTCGTTCGATCATTTAATTAGGATGCAACAAAATGACATGTCCTGAGTGCGGCACGAAAATGTGCTACATTTGCAAGAAGAAAATCAGGGATTACAGCCACTTTGATCAGTCGCCTGCTAGCGAGCCAGCATCGAGACCCACACGTAAGCAAGGCACAGGAATACCAGTGTTGACAACTGGTGAATACGTGCATGCATGTCTTTGGATCGCCTTCGAACCATCTAAACTAACAAACACCATTGCTTCCCTGTGTATTCAGTTTGTCGCCTCTGGGACAACACAGTTGAAAGGAATACAAACGACGTCAAAGAAGCCGCGCAGAGGATGTTGCATGAGCTGCAAGCAGAAACCCCCGACTTGGCGGCTAAAGTTCGCCTAGATATTCCCAAATGAAGGGCTCAAAAAAACATCTCTCATGTGTACGATAGTGAAATACAAACGGCTTTTTTGCATGCATCTCTGGTAATAGTGCAGCATGAATAGCATTACAAATCGCACGTATTCAAGCCGTTTTCTTTTGGCAATTTGCTTATTCATTAGATAATGTACAAGGGGATATAATGAAAGAGTTATCTGAGCCGGCTCCGTGGTGCCTCCGCTCCGGACATTTCTGTCATTTCTGGTATAGAGTCGTGTCCCGACGACATGGACGAAATGGAATGCGTATCCACAGAGTCCATATCCTGATCGTCGTCATACCTGATGGTGCGCGAACTCTGCGGCGTTGGGCCGGGCAGTTCTTGCAGGTGAAGTTGTCCATGTCCCACGGTACTCTCAGCTGGTATAGATCCTTCTTGTATTGTGGTCACTGCTGATCCATTTGGCTGAAATTGAAAGAACCCTGGATATGGGGCATGTAATGGTATACTGGAATAAGACCCTACTGAGCCTGTAAATGTTGCTGTTGGCGTTGGAAGCCACATGCCTGAGCTCGATCCTTGTGAGGAGGTGTGTAAATACAAGTCAGGCTGAACCTGTGTCGCTGCGTGTGAAGGCGCTGGAATAGACGGTGCCAGCACAGACGGTTGGGGCTGAGTCGGCTGGGGCTGAGTCGGCTGTCTATTTGAACGCAGCCCACGCCCTGCTTTTTCGGCATCACTTCCAGCACAGAGCGTGCTTAGATCGCCTTCGAAAGAGTTGAAACGCCCCCTCGATACTTGTCCTGCTGCTGATACTGCTGTGATGCCGCCTCCCCCATTGACAGAGGCATCATAATAGGAATCGGCTCCGTCCATCTCTCCGTCATCTCCTTCTCTCTCCCCTTCTATCTCGCCGCATCCTAATCCCTCATTGTCCTCCGCGTGCTCGATAGTGGTATCGGTGATGGTCCTGCAGACGAGAAACATGGCAGCGAGGGAGAGGGCGCATAGGATCCAGTTGGTCACCAAGTAGGCAAGTAAGGGTGTCTGGGCCAGGTCTAGTGGGGCGGCCACAGCACTTCCAAGTGACTGAATAGACTTGAAAAATCCAGTGTAGCGCGACAGTTCGTCATGTTTATTGGACAGGGCTCCCATAAGCCAATAGCAGTAGACTGCGAAAGCAGCGTCGCAGAATCCAAACATGGCATAGATAGCCAACAACCCCGTATAGGTGCTTCCATGCTCATAGTCGATCAGCTCGTTCTTGCGGAAGACCTTTCGTTCCCATTTGTGCTGGAGCTGAACCATCAACGCTGCAACCCAAGTTGCCATAAATAAAAGTCCGATGACGAGCAATCCGAGCATGGCTCTCCTGGGTCTCTTGACGGGTATGCCATCCAGAAGATATCCGATTACGATAGCCCCGATGATCTGGGCTACCCAGAAGAGAATTGAGTTGAGAGACCGGGTCCTGATGTTGAAGTTGAAACCGTTGAAGTCGTTGAATTGATAAGTGTAAGAAAAATTGGAGAAGAAGAAGGCGGGGATGAGAAGCAGCATGCGCCAGTCGCAAAAGACGGATAAGATAGCGATGCACTCTGCCCTGAGTCCTGCAAATTTGGCGACGCTCACAGGTTCGCCATTGTCACGGATGATGGTGGAGGGACGGACGAGGAAGACGGCGAGGAAGGTAGCGAGGCCCATGATGACCATGTAGACGATGTAAGTTGTCGATGAAACGTCGTCTGGATCCATGCCTGGAGCACTATTCATGATAAGCGGTAGGACCGAGCCAAGGACGGCGCCGAGGTTGAAGATGGCCCAAAAGCAGGCAATATATTTCCCCTTGTTGTCTTCGGTAGGATAGGACATCATCATTGCGCCCTCTGTGACATAGATACACCCAGCACCGAGCCCGAGGAGAATGCCGGCCAAGGGCGGATAGACAGAGTTGTCGTCGTCCTTGGCAAGTAGCATGGATCCGGCATAGAGAAAGAATGTGAGACCGCCAAAGGCGACGCAGAGTCTGGGGCCGATCATGTTGTGTGTGCCGCCGGCGAGCAGGAATCCGATGATATAAGCAATTGAAGAGGAGGTAATGGCGAGGTTTTGAGCGGTGGGCGAGTGCTTGCCAGCGTTTCCGATGGAGGACATTGCGTTGAACATGCCGATAGTGCCGAAGCAGATGACGCCCATGAGGATGATTTGGCGCAGGGCCCTTGAGATGGCCATGATGGTGAGCTGTGTAGTTGATAGATATGCTTGAAGAACGGTCGAAAGATGCTGCTTGAACTGAAGAGAATGGCACCGGATGGAGGAGCAGCAGCGGCCATGGATGATGATGATGACGATGATGAGAGAGTGCACACAACAACAGCAACAACAACAACTACAAGGACCAGGTTGCTCCTTGTAGCTCAGTCAGTCAGTTTCTGTCCGTTTGATCCGATGTGGTCCAGTAATGTGCGCTTATTCCTGTTTGATTAATGTCGTTCGTATGACCCTCTCACTGAAGTTAGGATGGGATGTTGATGGGGATGGAGGAAAGCCTCCTGCCTTATTTCCCTGCAACACAGGCACAGCGTATAACTGGTCACAGCTGTCTGATGAGTTTAAAATTGGTGGCGTTCTTTCATTTGCTCCCCTAAAAGAGTCTCGGTCTCAGTGTATTTTGTCTATGGAGGTTTGTGGCGGTGCAAGGAGGGCTCGTTAGAACCAGAATCTATCGAAGATGGGCTAGTTCCACTCCATAGAGGAAGGTAGAAGGCTGGATCTCTGGAGTGCTTTGTTTTTCATGGTTTGCGTTGTTGAGATGAGTCTGGAAGTCAAAAAAAAAAAAAGACTTTTAGTGAGCAATTGAGCGATTAAAGAATATTGCTCTCAGCCTATCGACACTCGCGCACACTTTTTTTTTTTGTCAGCTTACTGTACATGTGCACTACTAATGTATATGTACTCCGAGGAAGGCTAACAAGAGAAGGAGAGCAAGTAAATGCAAATGCATATTATTACACCGCCCTTTTTTTTTTAGAGCGACAAGCGGGGAGGGAGGCCCATGCTTCAGAAGAAAGGAAATGGGGTGGGAGCCTGAAGAGGAGGACTCTGATCGACGGCAAGGGACAATGGAGGGGGACCAGTAAGGGAATATTTGAGTATTTGAGTATTTGAGTATTTGAGTATTTGAGTATTTGGGTATTTGAGTGCTTATTGGTGAGAGGGGTAAGGTTAGCAAGTGGAGGGAGGACGAGTGCAATTTAGGCGGGAAAGTGCCAGTCAAGTCAGGGCTGAGGAAGGAAAGAGATGGTGTGATGGTGTGATGGTGTGTGGGTGTGTGGGTGTGTGGTGTATGGGCGCATATGAAAGGTTAAATTTACGGTTGCAGCATTCGTTGTCATGCCGTTGTCCCTCTTCCTCCTGTCCTTCTTTCATTTCCCTCTTTCCTCCTCCTTTGTCTCCTCCCCTCTGTAATCGCTCTAATTGTTCCTCTGCCCAGCCGTGCTCGCGTTCCTCTTCCTCCTCCTCTGCCTCTTTAGCAGTTTACATCCCTCTAGTTTCTTTAACCTCTTTAGCTTCTTCATAACTCCTTGACATCTGTCTGTCGTCCTCCTGTCCCCCTCCTGTCCCCCTCCTGTCCCACTCCTGTCCCATTCCTTGCCCTCCTTGTCCTTCTTCTCCTTCTTCACCTGGCACCCACTGGATACGCGTTGCGGCTGATATTCCTTCCCTCCATATACATAATACCCTGCAGTCCATCCCACCATGTCAGCTCGTCGCCACAGTCCTCCGATCCCCGAGGAGGACTCCATGAAGGGTGCGCCCCTCGCCCTCTCCCGCTCCAGAGCCAGCAGCAGCAGTCTTGCCTCTGTCTCCTCTGTCTCCTCTGTCAACGGCATCATCACTGCGCCCTCAGCCACCACTGCCGCCGCAACCGCAATGGGCTCTCCTACTGCAGTCCTCACCAATGGCCACAGCAACAGCAGCAGTAATAACTATACCAGCCATACCAACGCTGCCTCGTCCTCGGCCTCTTACCCCGCCTTTCCTTATCGTAACAAGTCAAGGAGTAAGTCAATTAGTCTTCAATGGCCTTGCTTCCCCGCCCTTTCACTCTCTTCTTTTTCTTCCGCTGTGCTGTTCACTCGTCATTTTGCTCCTATTCATTTTTGGTGTGGAAGCGAGAAGAAAGACAAGTGACACCAAAATGCTGACATAACGAGTGCTTAACAACCATCCACCTAATCTCGCCTCTTCTTCCCCTTTCTCATCTAATCATCCTCATCGGAGCAGCTCCTTCTGTCAGCTCCACTTCAACCATCACTCAGCCCGTCCATAGTTTGCTCCAGACCTCCTCGGGAATCCTACCCAAAAGACACGTCGCTGCCGTCTCTGCTGCCCCGACCCTATCAACCGCCTCAGCCTCAGCCTCGCTCTCGCCCACGTCCTCGCCCACAGGCACCCTCAACAACGCCACCAACCCCAAATACATCATGGCAAACGGCAGCAGCAATGCTACCGTTGACTTCGCCTCGGCCAATGGCCGACCAACCGCTACTTCAAACGCAATCTTGGTCCTAGAACCCACCAACGGCAGCTTTGCGCTCAAGTCCCTGGAGCTGCCGGAGAACACTAGGGTCAAGATCGGTCGACAAACCGGTGTCACAACTGCCCCCAACCCTTCGAACGGCTATTTTGACTCCAAGGTCCTCAGTCGTGTCCATGCTGAAGTTTGGTCAGAGAACAGCAAGGTATTGTCAGGGGTTAAATGCAGCAAGACACTATATATACCTGGAACAGGGAATCTCCATCCCTCTCCTCTGTAGACCAACATGCTCGCATTTCAGCAAGGTCTAGGCTCAGTTCCGGTTCTGATCTCAATATCTCTTATCTTTTCTGTGGTTAATAAGGTCTATATTCGCGACCTCAAGTCAAGCAACGGCACCTTCTTGAACGGAAAGCGACTTTGCCCCGAAAACGTTGAAAGCGAGCCTTTTGTCTTAAATCAAAACGACCACCTGGAATTTGGCATCGATATCATGGATGAGGACGGTTCCTGTAAGTACATGGCCGAGAATTTGTTTGACCTGCAGGACTATGCGAGGCGAGGGCATGCGAATGTACCCTCAATAGCGGGTCATTCATCTTGCACTTCATTTTGTGTAGACATGTACGACAAACAACGCTTCGCACTAGATGAGCTCTGTCTGGCAACAGCCACTTATGCATTCGATCGATCATCGGTCATGGGTTGCACTGCTGCTGACTACAGCAGACCATCATCGGACCGAGTAGCATTGGCAAACAAAACTGACGTCTTTTTTTTTTTTTTTTGCCTTATTGACGCTACTGACGTTAGTGCTGCACGAGAAGGTCGCATGCAAGATCTATGTCTCCCGCATGTCATACCCTACGCCGCGAGGATCACCTCAAGAGTACGTTGCTGCTGACTTGGATGCTTCATTATTCCAATTGCAAGGCATTTATTCAGTTTGGTCCTTTTTTCTAGATCCCATGCCAAACTCAGGTCTAGCTCACCATCAGAGTCAACAACCAGCTCCGCGAAATCTGGTTCCACTACAAACGCTGTGACAGGAGGTCAGAGTACCAATATCGATCTTATCATCTCTAGACTCCAAAACGAACTCACACGCTCACAGGAGACCAATGCTGATCTCGGGGAACTGAAGCAGGGTCTTGGTGAACTGGAGCGAGCAATCACCGTCTCAGCTAAGGAGGATGCAAAGGCAAATAATACCAATGTTAAGGTCGCCGAGGCGCTCATCCAGACCGTTCCCACTGTCGACTATGAAAAGCTGCTAGAAGAAAATGCTCAGGTATGTCAAGGAATCCTGCCCTTTTTTTCTTCCTTTTGTCTCATCCGTGTTACCTTGGAAGAGGCGAGGGTATTCTGGGGATACTTTTGGACTCAAAATTGATTTGCTCATCCTCCCATTTCAAACTGTACTTGATCGATAGATTCATGCGGAGGAGATTGCAAAGATGAAAAAGATGCTAGACGATACACAGGCAGAGCTAGATGCTTACATTCAAAAGACTCACCTGCTCGAGCCTTTGGTGGAGGAGGATGAGATCCTGAGACGTGATATCGCCCAGAGTGCCGCAGAGTTGACACAGGTGAAACTGGAACGCGATCTGGCCAAGGACAGCATGAGTGAGCTCATCAATGAGCACCAGCAAACCATGGAGAGTCTTCGAAAGGAACATGAAGTAGCCATGGAGAGTTTTCAAAAAGAACATGAAGCGGCCATGGATAGTCTTCGAAAGGAGCAGGAAATGGTCATGAGCGTGCTGGAGGCTCAGCACAAAGAGAATCTGGAATGCGTTGGTCGTGAAGCGACCCAAGCACAGGAGCTGTTGATGACAAAACATCAGGAAGAAATTACACGTCTGTCGACGACTGCACCCCAGGCTGAAGATGTGGTCACTTTGCAGTTGGAGATCTCCTCCGTCCAAACACAGGTCAACACATTGCAGGAGACGATTGAGAAGCAGGCAAAGGAAATCACAGAGCTAGCCATGATCAAGGCCGCGTTGGCGCGAGACCTGACTGAAGCGAAGGCGGAGGTTACCAAGTCGGAGGGGGAGCTCAAGAAAGCAAAGCAGCTCGCAGCACAAGCAGAGCTTTCGACATTGACGCCCACGTCGCCAAAGATCACTTCTGGCTCGTTTATGTGTAAGCACCCCGAATGTCACGAGCAACTCACGACCACGACGACAAAAGCCTCGACAATCTTGAGCCGTGAATCCAAAGACGTTGCAGCGAGACACGAGTTCTCGTGGGCGCAATTTATCTTCCCTCTCGGCAAAAAGGGCACGGCGCATGTAAATCAGGTACATATTCGCCAAACTCTTTTGCTCAAGCAATCTGTATGTCTCCCTCTTCCATAACTTACTAACACTGAGTGTCTTTTATTGCGATACTGTAGACGCCCACGAGCATGCTGATGTCTGGAGGTTTTATGTTAGTAGGCCTCGGTGCCTTTGTGTTCATGCGCAGGAGTGGGTTCACTGTGAAATAAGGGGGGAAAAAAAAAAAAAAAAAAAAAAAGACGGGACGAGCGGCACCGCTTCCTGTTCTTTCCCCGTTCGCTTTATTGTCAAAGTGCTACAGACCTTTGCATATATCCATGTTTATCTCTCCACTCTTTTTTTGCAGCTCGACCTTGTAACATATATAATAAAAGAATGGTCGCACTGAAAAAAAAAAAAAAAAAAAATGCGGAATGTCTACTCAAATGTGGTGAACCTAGAGAACCCGCAATAGCGCCTATATAGAAGGATGCGCGAGCTTCCATAATAGTTTCATCATGTATTGAAAAAGTAAAAAAAGTTTCGCTAAGGGCGATGCCTTCGGAGAAGGCTTCGCTCGTGCATAAGTGCAGCAGCCTCGCGGACATTGATCGGAGTGGCGCTTGTGGAAGAGATCGGTGTCTCTGGCGTACCCAGGACGACGGCCTCGCGGGAGAACATTCTACGGGAAGTACCTCCTGTTGATGTAGTGAATGCGGGTAATATATCAGAGGAACCTGTGGACGGGATGGTGGCCGTCGGCGCAGTGTAGGGATACGACAGCGGAGCTAGCAGCGAGGATGTCGACCGTGTGGACGCAAAGGAAGGGACGGGCGAGGCCATACGCCGCCTGCTACCGGTGTTGCTGTGAGTACGGTCAGTTTCTGATCGCTGGCATTCTGGGGAGAATGGGGTCGTGTAGGCGGATACAGTGTCGTGTCTGACAGTTCTGGGTCTTTCTGCAACCGCGGCTTCTACCCCACGCGCCTGTGCAGACGCTTGAGCGGGTATCTGAGAATGGATACGCAGGGATCGTGTGCCGCCGCTGTGGACGCTGCTGCTGCTACTGCTATTGATGTTGTCATTCCTTGGACTATTGTAACTCCGGCTCCTATCGCCCATTGTCGGTGCAGGGCTTTGTGAAGAGGATGGGCGGATAGAATCCCTATGTAGCAGTGACAACTGAGCGTCTGTAGCGACAGTACTCCTTTGAAGCCATGCTTTGGGTTCATGGGAATCCCCCACATCCAAGTATTGCAGCGGCTCATTGTCGTCGCCGCTATCAGAGTCGCTAGGTGACTGTGCATTATGACCACTTGCAATTGGACAGAGGTCATGGGAGCTCTGGGCGGCAGCTCCGGATCGAGAGGTGGACGAAGACAAGGAGGACGAAGGAGACGGACTAAATCGAGAGGAGCGAATCGAACTCTGGGTCGGAACACGGATAAGTTCAATAAAGCTGGAACTATCGTCGTCCTCGTCGTCATTGTTGTCGTTGTCGTTATTGGACCCTTGTCCACTGTACTGGGACAGCCTACTGCTCGCATCCTCCACAGTCGTCCGATAACGGTTAGATGTAGATGCCGTAAAATCCGTGGGAGAGCTCCTCAAGGACTGGGTCGCCTGTGTACATGAAATGGGGAGCTGAGACGAGGATCGTTCGCCTGTAAAATTCCGCCTCGTGGAACCGATGCGGCTGTGGTCGCGACTTAATGTAAGCGATGTAATCCCAGAAGTGGCAGCAGGCGATGCTTTGAGGGCCTGGCGCTGAGCTGCACGTACGCTTGGCGCATCAACCCCGGCAGGTTGCTTCCCTTGGGACCCTGCGGCCGAACCTTCGTTTAGCTGATCAACAATAGATTGTACCCTACTCACACTGCCACCCACGGTTCTGGAATCAGTCGAGGACCTTAACCGGGAATCTGACGCTCGGTTCCCTTTCGTGTAATCCCTAGTGGGCCTGCCTTGGTTGACTGCCTTGTCCTCGTCACATTCGACGTATTTCTTTGTGAAGCGCGCGTCTGTAGCCTCTGCCGTTGAGCGCATCTCGCTCACGCTCTCGCAAGGGCTTTGCAGCCGAGGTGTTGGGCTTGATACCTGTATACTGGACAAACTTGCCAACTGGGGTACTGGGCTGGACCCGTTTCTGCTAGAGTAGCGACTGTAACCTTGGTGATTGCTGTCTTTGTTAACGTGTTGGGTCGTTGGTTGTTGTCGCGGCACATGGCTAAAGATTCTATTCAGGATATGGTTCGCACCTGTGTCGACTTTTCGCACGAATTCCTCGGTTTCCATAATCATAGTTTGCTCGTAATCCGCCAACGATCGGCTTTGCCCAATGGAACCTGCACGGGCTCGAGCAGCAGTAACGCTGCTGTTCTCAATGCCGGAGGCAGTAGGAGTCCAGCCCGCTGTGGGTTCAGGAAGAGTTTCACCGGCGGCGTTTACAAGCGTCCGTACATCGTTAATGCCGCTGGCCTTAACCTCAGAGGTAGCGGCAGGGGCTCCGCCTGATGCGGTTGAAATGGACAATGTAGCTGAAAAGGAGGTGAAAGAGGATAATAACATCAAGGAAGGAGGCTGTGCTTCTGAGGAAGCCGAAGTCGATGATTGAATAGAGAGGGGGTTTCTAGCACCTGGTCGAAATCCTGCCTTACGCGTCATTAATCCGGAGGTAGGGGTGATAGGTCGAACGGAGATTGGCGCGCGTTCTGTAGGGATGAAAACTTGTTAGAATTGAAGGCCATTTTCTTTTCTTTTCTTTTTTTTGAATGCTAAATTGCCTACTTACTAGTTGCTGTGCTTTTCGGATTATGAACAGATGACAGGTCTTGATACGGGGCCTGGAATCGAGACGACTGGTGGTTAAGTGGAGACTGTGTCTCCTCACAACTGTCTGGGTCGCTATAGCGCTGTATTAGGGATTGGACCATGGATGATCGCTGCGATATAGTTCTAAATGATTCTGTATCCGGAGATGAAGGAAGTATCCGTCTGTGTGTAGAACGAGTAGAGGATCTAGAAGGTATTGCAAGCATTGACACAGTTTCGGATTCTGAAGAACTAGAGGATGCTGACGGCGTAGAACGCGTCGAGGCCGATGACGTAGCTGCCGTAACGACGATCTCCGGTGAGAGTGAAGAAGCTGAGAAAGACGCGCCCGCTAGATGTAGGCGACGAGAGAGCTCTTGTTGAAAGTCGATCGACGTCCTTGACATAGACGTTGGGGACGAAATCGAGGACGAAGATGAGTGGCGCTGGCCTGGAAGAGGTAAGTTTAGAACTGTATGTTCCAGTTCACTAATCAACTGAGATCTCTCGAGTGCATCCACCTGAGTATCCGCTGGCTCCGGATAAGCAGCATTGAACTTAGTGGACTGTGTCGCAGGCGTGTCTTCGCAACGAAGACGGGCGGTAGTCTGAGCTACTGAAAGGGTTCTATTGTCTGGGGACGCTGGTCTTGCTCTCATTGTTCTTCCATGGGTTGCCTCACGAACGCAAGTAGAAGGGTGATGGACAGTCAGGTCCGGTGCGGCAACTATTGGCCTTGCCCGTATAGAAACCGGAGGCTCGCGTGCGGGCAGGTTCGCTGGAGACGACGATAATCTGTCGGGAGACGCAGACTGCGCATGCTCCGCTTTTCGTTCAGGCTGACAGAGATCGCTGGCTGTCAAGTCTGGTGGAGGATTCAGTGAAGGTCTGACTGGTGATATAGTTCGTGCAGCTGTAGCTGCTTGTGAGGTTCCTTCAGATCTTGTTGCTGATGATCTTCCGCTTAGAACAGATACTTGGACAATGGCAGATAATATCGGGCGTGATAATAATGATTTATCCGAGCTGTTTCCTGGTGCCTGATGACGGAATAAGGCATCCCTGGATTCTGATCTGGGTCTAGGTGTCGCTTGCGCACTTGAGCATGGCGATCGAGCCGAAGACCTGCTACGACGTTGATTGTGCCTTCTGGCCGAGAAATTCGGAACGGTGTGAACTCTTCTAGGCCTTTCAGGTCTTGCGTTTTCATGCGAAAACACCACAGGGCCATTGCTGACTGTGGCCGTGGCCCGACCTGGTGTGAGATCACCAACATCCACTTGCTGCCTGTTACCAGGATCGTCCCCCTGCTGTCGGCTGTCGTTAGGTAGGGGAGCAGGCGGTCTGTATCTCTGCCAGAAACCTACAGCGCCGCCGTCGCGGTACCTCTGGATTTGCTCCAAAAAGCAGGTGGCCTGCCGTGCAAAGACTCGTAGTATAGCGCCATGAACACGTCGCTGAAAGGAAGGGAGCTCCGGCAGTAGAACTAGCGTTACCTTGCAGAACCTCAAAGCCAGGGCCATACTGGTTTGCAAGAGATCCTCAGCTTCTTGGGGCACATTGAGGGGCTGTGCGGGTGTTGTATTAGAGGTCGGTTGTAGATTCAATTGTGGATTGGAGGCGAGAAAGAGACCGTGAGATTGTTGCTGCAGGAGGTGCACATGACGTGAGAGGGTTCGAAGTATGGGGAGGTATTGCAGGAAGGGGATGGCAGGATCCAATGCAGGTGCAGTTGATAAGCAGTCGATCCGCAAACCGGACATATTTTACAAGAATGTTCTTATTCGAGTGAAGGCCTGTGATAGAGACTAAGAGCGTATGAGCGAGCGAGCAAGACGAGGGGGAGGGTAGGAGGAAATGGATAATAGGGAGAGTGTGTGTGAGAGAGAGGGAGAGCGAAGATATATATAAGAATATAAGATGAAGGAGCAAAGCAAAGGCAGCTGTCTACGAATAGAGAAATCAGCCATTATGGATCGCAAGACTATGAGAGTCGATCTGCCCACAATTGCCTCTTGAGCGGTTCTTTGTTGGTGGTGTTTGCAGCCTGCAGGTGTGTGGATGAGCAGATATTGCAGATGTAACACGTCCGGGCGTTTTGCGGCGGTAGTTCTTTCATCGGCCCTAGGATCGTGCTATTGTGGTTAATTGCCATCTATGGCTTCAAGTGGCGCGTATGTGTCGAGACATCGAAGACACTGGCAGCTGCTCCTTCGAACGACAAACGTAGAAGACGCGTCATGAACAATCGTGTATATAATTAAACGCATTGCTTTGTTGCGTCCCTTGGCCTACGTTAGAATGGTATATGTGCTGAATAAACCCCGCCTCCCTTTCTAGGACTTTCCTGAGTTCTAACGATTACTGTCGGGTGGTGATGGTGGTGCCAGCGGCACTAGGACAGGGAGTAAGTAAAAAAAAAAAAGCCCGAGCTGGGCGTGCTGGATTTTCGTACATCGTCCAAACCCCGGGACAAAAGTCAAGTTGTGCATTATAACACGGTTCTCGGATATGACTGATACTCTGCCTCTAGATGTGCTTGCTTGCTCGTGTCTTTTCAAATCTACATATCACTCGGGAAGTTTGTTGCTACTCTCATCGTCATCCATTCCTTTCAGCAATCCGTTTGGCCCGTCTTCTGTCTTCATCACATTGACTTCTGAGCTGAGAGAGGATGATGGAAGGAAGTATTGGGATGGATTGCATCAATATTACCATTCTCCTTCATTTTCTTTAACCGCCAGTTGATAAAACACAATGAAGACAAAAGGGTAAGGGTACATCTAGTTTGATATGTTTGTTCAGCTTTCAGCTCTGAGATGTTGAATATACACGCTATCATATGATGAATACTCCGATGACTGGATCGAGGTCTTCGATCGATATTCCCGTCATCAAGATAGATCGATGCCAGCAGAAGGGTGGCGACATGGATGGTAGTCGATGTACGATTCATGTACATGTCATCATTGAGTGAAAGGGCGATTCGGTATACTAGACCTCACTGATACGGATAGGCAACAGATAAGAACTATTTGAGAGCCAGGATCATCAGTGATCTGTAACTGGGAACCGGGTAGCGCCCTGTAAAAAAATATTAAAGCTTTGCTCATGAACATGGTCCAATTTCAATACTGGGGGGGGGCGAATGCAAGGGTTCCTACCCTACGCACATGGACCAAGCTGGGATGCCAGCTTGGAGGACGAACATCTGCAGCTCATGACGTCTCTTCTTACTTTGCACAACCTGGCCTTCTCTTCCTCATTCCTGTAAATATGGTTTTCTTATACATCTGCAGGGTCGCAGCCAGTCCGATGACGGACCTTTTTTTTGTCGACATATTTATATCCAGGAATTGATGTGGAGTAATGATCCATGGATCCTGTTCGTGTTGTGTTTTGTGTAATTGCATAAAACTGTAGTCTATTTCCGTGGATGGGATAGGAATGGAGCGAATGAGGTCAGGAAGGCAGGGAAAGGAATGCGAAAATGCAAACCACACCTTTATTGATCATTCCTTTCTTACTATTTCTTCCTCATCCTCATCCCCATCTCTTTTCCTTGTTCCCAGACTCGCCCGTCGTAACGTCCCGCTGGTCGCTTTCTCCGCTTATATCCCCCTGTCTCTGTTTCCCTGGCTCTGTTTCTAACACTAACGCGGAGCCAAAGCGCCTTTGCCTTTCACGCCTCATTTATTTCACATCATTTTTTACCCACCTTCAACCTCCACCTCCGCTCTCAGTCACCTTTTCGCTTCTCTCTCTCTCTCTCTCTCTCTCTCTCTCTCTCTCGCCCTCAATTGCTTTCATATCGTCTCTCTTACCTCTACTCCTTCGTTTTATCCTAGTCCTCCAATTATGTCTTCTACGTACGGGTCTTCACCGCCCTCTGCTCCATCCTTCTCAACTCTCTCGACCGGTCGCCAAGGGTCCCTTCAAGAGAGCGCTGCCTCCCAAGAACCTAGCCCAAGATCGAAACACCTTTCCCAGCCCTACAACATGCAGTCCATCAGTACAGAAAGCCTGCCTGCCCTCTTTGGCGCCTCTTCCTTACGACGCACTAACTCTAGCGTTGTCACAAAGACGCGAGCAAGCAGAGGCACTTCCCCAGCACCACCTGCCAATGAACACCAGGTCTCGACTATATCCTTGACCTCATCCCCGACAGCGGCTTCTTCACAGTCAAGGTCGAAAAGGACAGGGACAGGGACAGAAACAGGAACAGGAACAGGAACAGGAACAGCAACAGGAACAGCAACTGTAGCAACAGCAATAATCCCTGGTTCTACTACGCCCACAAGACGACCACCGATCCATACCATTCCAGAGAACTTTGAGCTGGATGGGGGCCACAACCGGAGATCGAGCAGTTGGGATATCATGGATATGATAGCAATTGATCAGCTCCGGCAATGGATGGTGTGCTTTTGTGTCGTCAACTTTGATCTCGAAAAAGGCCAAGGCAAGTCTCGATCGTAGGCGTGACGAAGTGGTCTTATGTTTGTCTCTGCCCCCTTTTGCATCCAAGCACTCCGATTGAGCAGAACAATGGATTACAACTGCCTATTGGGAGACAGGAATATTGTGAGGAACTGGATCTACGTCGCCTTTAGCATATCCGCTATTGGTACGGTAGCAGTAGGAACCCGGCGCCAGGACACCAGGAAGCATATGGCATGTGGACGCAGGAGGATCGAATCAGAGTTCGTCTTTTTTCAGTTTTTAAGGTTGCGCTCATGCAGGAGTCACATCGTCCGAGCGAGAGTCAGGCCATGTCCTCTGACAGACTGACTTCGGGACATTTGTGGGGTCCCACAACTGAACAATACAACAACGACACCACTAGTACCAGACAGAGCATTTGTTTATGCACATTGTTACACATATGGACAAGGGAATAAGCGTAAACAGTATTTTACAGGAACGAGGGTTTCCTTAGGAGGAAAGGATAATGACCAAATAGGATAAGCAGGAAAAGCATGGAAACCCAGACAGGGGCCAGGTCGAGCAGACGAAGGGCCAGGAAACAGGACTCCGCATTTTTTTAAATTATTTGCAATCAAATTGGAGCAGCGATACATCGTATTGCATCGCAGCTGCAAGCAGGGGCTAACCTACAATGCTCCCTGTCTGTCTGTTTAGCCATCGAGTCCGTCTATCCGCCCTCGGATTTCACACCGGAGGAGAGCAAGAATATGTAAGCTCACCTTTTTGTTTGTTGCTGCAGGGAGGATCTCATTACCTTAAAAACTGCCCGAACATGGTTCTAAGATGGTAGCACAATGGAGGAAGGGGAAAATCCATCTCGGTGAAAACAGGAGCACTGATCTGCATTCCTTTTTTGCTCTACGTCTTAGTTGCTTCTCCTCCTTCCCGGATTCAAACACCTTCGATGTTGGCGATATCGTCTTCAATTTTCGCATCCGATCAACTACCGCTGGGAGAGCTGCCACTGGTATGGCCTTTGATTATCTTAACGCCTTGCATTGCATGCTAATTATGCTAACTATGTCAATTATGCTTTGTCCGCGGTCTACAATTAGGCCCGACTACGGATGCTGGTTTTTTATATGGATATGTCTTCTTCAGGCAAAAGCAGGATCCTTCTATTAGAAGAGGGTATTTCCAAAAGTCTGTCGTCCTCCTCTCACAGCACCCATTCATCGGATTCTTCTCAAAACTGGTCTCTGTCCTGGGACCTGCCTATTTCGAGGTCGGCAAGCCCATGCTCGAGGCTGCCTTTCACAACATGGCCACATGGAGACCCCCTGTAACGGACAGTCTCATGGAGTTGCCCTTCATGGGTACACTTTACCAAGTACAGCTCGCCAAACCACACCAGCCTCAGCTACTCGAAACAGCGCCCTTTGAAATAGCAACCTTCCAGCCCGATACCCACATCTTATCATCTGTTCCAATGAATGGCGGACTGTACAAGCACTTTCAGGACCTTGTCCCCGACCTGTGGCTGTGCTGGGAACTGATGACTCTTGCAGAGCCCATTATGCTGATTGGAACGTCTCCTGAAGTTTGCAGTGAATCTGTCGCCTCGTTGGTTGACCTCATTAATCCCGTGAGTTGGAGTGACTGGAGCGTAGACATGGAATGCTGTGGAAAGGATGTTGGAACTGAATGTGCTTTACATTCGCATACTTCTAGATTCCATACTGCGGAGACTATCGGCCATACTTTACAATCCAGGACACGGATTTCAAATCATTCTGCAACAAGTCATCGCCACCGAGCAGCATTGTACTTGGAGTCACAAATCCATTTTTCGCCAAGACGCTGGAGCATTGGCCACATATCATCAAGATAGGCAAACCTATGAACAGGAGGCCAAATAACAGATTGATGAACGATGGGTCAGTAGGGAAGGCAGTAAGAAGTCCAAGGCATGCCAAACCGAGTTCTCTGGAATTTGTGCAGGCAAGTATTGCGGTCTATATTTTTTTTAGTGATTGTGCGGAATGCTATGCTATACAACTCAATGTTCGTGACTAACACCTTCGCTGCTGGCATGGTATGCGTTTTTAGGGCGTGGTTAGCAAACGCAAAGGAGCGATTGCCAAAGACACCAATCTTTTGTGCATGTTAGCGGAAGCGACCGCGAACCGATCCTCGCCTGGTATGTTTGCTTTTGCATTTCCGTGAGGAAGAAATATGGATGCTGTTTCTTTGGAAAAAGAATCTCATGCTTTATGGCGCGCTCAACCCCGTGAACGACAGATTATCTGCTGGATAATATCCTGCGCAAGCATTTTGCGACACTCACGGAAAAGTTCTTGGTGCCTCTCAACCGATATTTCGCCACTTTGGTGCCCAACGACATGTAAGTCTTGGTCTGCATCGTATATGCATCTACCTGGATGAGGGGGTTGTCTTTTAGTGCTAGTTCTGATCACCTCTTCCTCCCAACAGCTCATTGTCATCCACATCTCAGTACCCATATATCGAACCTTTCAAGCAACAGACATTCCTCAAGTTTCTGTCTAAGAATCCGCCCGCCATCACCTTCAAAACGTCGACATTTAAATCCAACTCGGAAGCATGCCAGAGCTTCTACAAGGATTTTCTCAAATGCGGCAACTTTGCGACATGGCTGCGATTGCGCACCATCGCGGCCCAGAACGAACTCAGGAAGCGCTACCTGGAGATTCTCAGCTTGGGCGACGTCGTTGGATGGGTCAAGGGGAGAAATGAAGTTGAACTTGTGGACTTGCTGGTCAGGATGAGGGAAGAACTGGGCAGCTCAGCCAATAAGGGCGACTTGCTCAGTCTCGGATCAAAGGCACGTACTCGACCTGGCCTCTCTAGAGAGGGATCGCATACTTCCACCGATGCTGGGCCAGATTCACTGCTAGACTATGGGAATGGTAACTCCTGGTCAGGAGATCTGATAGCTAGCCATAAGCATTCTGTCAACGGCCGCCATAGTAGGAGCGGAAGCCAAAGTGGAGCAGCGAGTCACAGCGGCAGTGGCAGTGGCAGTAACAGCGATGCGGAGCCCAGGACTATGACACCGCCACCAGATGTCTCGCAGGACAGTCGACCAAAGCCCTCTCCTTCGACTCCTGTGCCATCTAACAAACAGCTCAATCCAAGCAGCATGAATGGCGCTAGCGGCTCTATTGGGTCTACGACTATCCCTTCTCAGCGCCATCCAGAGTCAGGTGGCCAGGTTTCGAACACCCCCTCCCCCAGTTCCAACTCGTCAAGAGCGGCCACACCCTCTCGGTCATCATCGTCCTCGTCACTGAACACAGGCTGGAACGATAACAGAGGCCGGGATACAGATGTGCAAGGACCGAAGGGTGCACGAGAATCACGAGAGTCAAGTCCAGAGCGACAACGACGGCGATATGCGCCAGAGGCGAGTGCAATCAAAGCAACGATGAAGCAGAAGGAGCAGCTGCGGGATCAGATCCGTCTCTTGATCGAGGCCCTGCCCGTCGATCTACGGGAATCACTGCTGGCAAACGAGGCCAAGAAGAAATCGATGACTATGATGTCGCAAGGAGACAATGCTCGCGATCGCCTCTACCCGACCCTGTAGAGACTCTACTTGTACATATATCTTATCGTACCTATTGCGAACTAAAATAATAAATAATCGTTTGTTGATATCATTGTTGAGGATGGCAGAAGCATCAAAGTTCTGCCACACCGCGCATAAATTAAAACCCCCATGGTCGATATATTATGTTATTCTACAAATACACTGCTGCGGACGAATTTTCTTAGTTCCCGGCGCGCTGCGTCAATAGGTTCTTGAGTTCCTCAAACTGTCTCTGAGCCTGCTCCTGTTGCGCCATCAATTGCATCTGCAACTCTCCCACCTGAGACTTGAGGTCTCCGACTTGGACGTTCAGCATACGAACAGCCAAGTCGCCCTGGCCCTGATGGGAGAACGAAACGTCCTGCTCTTCTGTATCGCTTTCTGCCCCTCTAACTCCAGTCAAGTTATCCGATGAAGGGATCGCCTTCACCCTCCTCCGTCTTCTGGCACTATCTTCAATCGTGTTGCGATACTCGGCTTCGCTGAGATCTTCGATCACCCCATCTAAATGCCGTGTATGACCTCTATCTGCCTCATCATCATCAGCACTGTTCTTATTCTTCTCGTCTTCGTTCTTCTCTGTCACAGCGCTATCTTCTTTGTCCCTATCACCCTCCTGCTTAGTGTCCATGTTGGTCTCGCCACCGCCAACATCCGCATCGACTTCCTCATCGTCGTCCTGATAGTCGTCGTCATCTTCGGGCCCACGCATCCATTTCTCCATCATCTCCAGATCTTCGGTCGCCCTGTCTCTGGCGTGGTATTTTTCACGATAAGCCCGGACCTGCTTCGCAGTCGCGGTAAAGTAAATCTCCTTCGGGAACCAGTTGTGTGTCTTACGGAACCCGGGGATATGATACGACATGTTCTCGGCCAACTCGATGTACCGCAGTCGGGACTCGGTCCAGACAAGGCGCCAGCCGTCATCGCCCTTCTGGAATGCCACATTGATAAGCGCTATTCGGTGTAGTATGGATACGTAGCCTCGCATTAGTCTGCGGCGGTCGCGAGCAGCGCATGTTCTCGACAGCCGTCATGCACGCAAAAAGAAAAAGACAGAAAGAAAAAGACAGAGAGAATAAAAAAGTGGAAAGGAGAGAAGGATAAGTAAGAGAGAAAAAAAAAAGGCGGATATGTTCCTACCAATAAGGACGTTCAGCATCAGAACAACCGTAAAGAAGAAAAAGATCGCCATCAGCAGATGGAAGGCCCACTCCTGAGCAGCAAACTCGTCGCTAACAGGGTCCCAGCGTCCGCCCTATACACAGCCAGAACAGGAGGAAGAAAAAAAAAACGCAAATCCGGCGGTTTAGTGAGAGCGCATCCCGTAGTTCGTTAAAGAGCCGCGAGAGCAGCACCGTGGGAATTGCTGCCCGTTACCATGAAAAAATACGTATCCGACAATGCGCCCAAGAAATTGTGCGAGAACGCCGTCTCTGGTTCTTCGCATCCCTCATAGGGACAGCCTCGGAGCAAGTGCAGGGTCGCGACCGCGAACCCCAAAATTCCGGTTGCAAAGATGATGAAGAATACGCGGATCTCAATCACCGTCTCCTGGATAATGGTGACATACTTGCACACGCTCTTGTTGATCCTCAGTTCGAATAGCTACAGGAGGGGGAGAAAAGGAAAAAAAAAAAAAAAAAAAAGGTCAAGGCCATTGCTAAGTTTACGATGGAGGCAACATGGACTGGGCTCTATACGAGGGGGCCAGGAAGCACAGCAGTATTGCGACCCCTATTACCATATGCAAGAAGACTGCCAGAACAGAGAAGCTGAGCAGGCGTGTGTTACCGAGAGAGTCGGACTGATAGATAACAAACAGCTGTTGGATTGCAGCTGTCATCGGAAGACCGAATGCAAGGACGTCCAGGATATTGTATCCGGACCTGAGAGGCACGATGCAAACAAAGAGTAAAACAGTAGATGTTAGCTACATACGCGTTTTGTGTCGAACTCTTATGTTTTTCCATCGTTCATTACTTTGTGTAACGCGATACACTGCGGAAAGCCTGGAGTAGCTCGAGCCAAAGAAACACAGCAGCCAGCACAATGATGGCGATAAACAGACCGATGAGCTGACTTGGCTGGTGGTAGTACACCTGCATAAGAGATGCGATCACCACCAGGGCGTAAAAGCAACACTGGGATGAGAACCGCACAAGCCAGTACCAGTGTCCGATCGTATTCCTAATGGGCGTTAAATCAACAAGATGACCAAAGCGTTAGGGGGCACTCAGTGGTATGTTTTTCGAGCGCCTAGCGGCATGGTGAGTCCTACCATTTGTATGTGACCAATGCTGCGATAGCAGGGTTGTCATAAAACTCGATGCTAAAGTCATACGCCTCCACATAATTGTGAATTCTTAAACGGGTCTTCAGTCGGATCATGTAGTAGAGGGTCTTGTACCAGTTGGTGGTCGTCGTATCAGATACATCCTTCAGGGCATCGGCGTTTGATCCCGGAGGTTTGGTCTCATCTCGATAGTGCCAAAGGGCGTCAAAGGCGACCATGAATATCGGCCGAGTGAATTTGTGGTTATTTGGATCTGGTTCCTCCGCAGACACACGAAGCTGGAAGATCGGATTTTTTAGTTTGTATATGACCTCGTTTCTTGGTTCCCAAAATCGTAGGCGAATCCTTGGAGGCTCGGCAATTATACGGTTTTCTAATATGTAGGAATAATGCATGACGGGTATGAAGGCGATCCTACCTAGGATCTGGTATGCTTCGTCGGGGAAGACCTCCATGACATCGCCGAAGACGTCGTATAGAGGTTTTAAGAAAGCAAGGTTCCTGGACCTATTAGCGTGGGTCACACAATAGTCCATGATGATCTTGGCGGCGCCATAGGCGGACGATCTGGTCTTAGCCTTCTCGAGAATAATACCCAAAGGGTTGTCGCCCTTGGTGGCATTGGCATCTGGAACCCAGGTGATGCGGTCAATAGGGAGAAGCTCCTTCATGATCGTCTCAAAGTAGTGCTTCTTATCCTGTTCCCACGCAATGCAAAGGGTTATCAGCGAAGATACTGGGCTCTCGAGCGTCGGGCGAATGTATTTCTTCAGGTAGCGTATGATGGATTCCTTGCAGTCATCCGCCCCCATGGCATAGACGCTCACCAGACGGATAAATCCCTCCGCCAATCGGTACTCTTCTGAGGCAGAGAGAGAGTCCTCATCGGAAAGAGGCACTGTTAGAGTATCCTCTTGCGGATCCCCTGCGATAGCCGTGATGTCATATGTATATCTGTACCACTTGGCTGGCATCAGGCGGACCTTGACCTTTTTGGCGTGCACGCACGCCTCTACAGATAGTACCTCTCGGTAACACACGTCCGTCCACTCCATATCTTCAGGAAGTTCCTGGAATCGCCAGATGAGCGCAAGTTCACAAACTCTAGGGCCCTTCGCCGACAGGGTCCACAACTGCAAATATCCAGTTCCATCTGTGACGATTCCCAGCTGCGATGTCTCGGGAAGAAAGAAGGCGGTGTAGCTGGACACGTTGCTTCCAACGGGGATAATCATGCTTCTTACAATCTCCCGGTCCTCGCCTTCCTCATCTTCCTCGCCATCCTTCTTGGCGTCCTCCTCGCCTTCTTTCTCTCTATCCTCGTTTTGAATAAATACCCCCACCACCTTCGTGGACCTGCCAAAGATACTTTGGATATCGGATGATAGCACGAACTTTGAACCAGCCGAGTTCTCCAGCTCGTAATAGCAGTTTTGATGCAACGTGTATGATGCAATGACCTTGCTTTCGCAGACACCATCGCCTCCACATTCGATACATGGAGCTGGAGATAAGATCGGGCCCAGTTTGACAATATTCAGATTCGGTCCCTAGAGAGCGAGAACGAGGGATTAACAGGGTTAACGCAGAGTTTTATACAGATAATGTTAAGTAAAGCAAGACAACGCTGTACATACGTGAGAGTACGCAAACACTGGATCATGGCCTGTCTGCGGATACTGGAAACGATAGTCTTCACGAATTTGGTGGATCTTGACGATAGCTAGGTCTCTGGCTCGGACAATGCTCCTCATGTTATGCCGCAGCTGCCTGGACGACGTGGATACTTCCGCGTTGAAAGCCATGAAGTGATCGCGACCAAAGGCAACCTCGTAGAAGTTACCGTCGTTCAGACCTTTCTTGAAGATACCAAGCTTGATGCCGGTGAGAGTGTCCCGGATCTGAATCGTTCCCTTCACTGAGAGAGCCACCTTGGATCCGTCCGGCGATAAAGAGGGGTACGCTGCATTGCTGTTGTCTCCAGTAAATATATGAGAGACGAGTTTGCCGGTATCAAAGTCCCAAATAGAGATTGCGCCTCTTGAACCTGTCCATGCAAAATACCGTCCCTGAATGCTGGTAAGAACCGTTTGCGCGGTCAAGGCATCCGCCTTCCATTGCATCTGGAGGGAGTAGAGCAGCGCCCACCTACCCTTGGTGCTGTAGACGGTGAAGACACATCCATCGCATGTCCAGAACCTTTCGTCCTCCTCGTCGGTGCTTTCAGGATCGCTCCGGTGAAAAGAGATGAGGTTGAAGTACTCGCCGTCGCAGATTGTCGTTGCTTTCTTGAGAGGCCATGGTCGCGAAAGGTCTTTATCAGCAGGAGCTGTGGGAGAACACCTGTAGACGCGAAAGGGAATGCCCTCTTCATCTCCCACTTTGGTGATAGTAGACACAGTCATCTGGGACCCGAAAGCGGACATGCTGATAGAGATAGTCAAGCTATTCAGCGAATCTGTCAGCGATGGTGGCACCTCAAAGGTGGTCTGCGCAAAAGGCGTCTTGAAAAACTGAGGCGAGCTGGTATCGTACTGACCAGCCTTTGTTCGCAGGTCCCACATGTCCACATGTGCAATGCTATTCGAGATGTAGAGCGTCCCCGCATAGTCTCCAGTATCGGAAAGATCGTATGCGCGGATCTCGACCGGCTCGTTCGACACCCCATCACTGGGTCCCACGCTGATGATTTGGCTGGGGTTGTCGTCGCCGAACACCAGGTGATCTAGATACCATGTATTTGATGTCAGTCGATCACTTCAGAATCTTTGTTTAGGACATCCGCTCGCTCTACAATTTGATCCCACAGCCTTTGTACCTCTGTTTACTTCTGTGGATCGATGCTGGATCGGTTGCACTTCGATGTAATGAATTTCGAACGAAGGCGTAGGGTCCGCACCTGCCTCGGCTATAAGGGATATCGAGAAGAATTGACACCTTCCCAACTGATGGCCGATTGGTCGGTACAGTCGTAATCGTGCAAAGTCATCCTTCGCTGCAGTTAAGACAAGAGAGCAACACGCGATGTCAGGTTCCCGTCAAGGTTAGACATACGATTAGCTTTCGTTCCTATCCATTCCAAGCATTGATTCCACTTACGGAACCGTCGTGCCTCGGCCTTCTCTATCAGTGTCGCAGTCGCGTTTTCCTAGAATGATAGCCAACGTTATTACGATACTGCGGGCGACGCACATCATAAGAATGCAACAACAGGCTATCCATGCGATTCCTGTCAGGATAAGCATACCGTGCTATAAAAAAATCCTTTTGAAGATGCCGGCCAGCAATCGGTGGTTATGCTCTCGATAGTATCGACATCCATGTCCTTAAGAGAGATACAGATCACGAGCTCATAGCTGCCAGGCTCGATGCCATCCATAGCTAGTTCAGCCATCCACAGGTTTCTAGCGTCGACTGTTGTTGGTTTTGTCGGCCTGTCATTGAAGTTTGAACGAGTATCGATGAGGTGCTTGAATAACCATTCTGCAGTCGACACAAGTATACAAAAAAAAAAGACTTAATTGTGAACATACCTATTAGTGCCAATACACCATTCCTTCTTGCCAGGCTTGAAATACCATCGGCGGATAGCTAGAGAACCTCCACGAACATTATGAGTGACTGGTTGAACGGCCTAAGGGGAGGGTACTGTTCGGCTAACTTGTGTGTTCAAGATCCTAGTTTCATACCTGTTAGCGATTGAAAGGCGTTGATTGTGGCCCTCCATTCCAGGATCTCCGCTATTGGGGGCTCCTCCTCCTCTTCTTCCTCCTCCTTTTCCTCATGGCTATTTCCGTCTTTCCCTTTGTCCTCCTCCATCATTGCCCTCTTGATAGGTTCTTCCTGTTCAAGTCCTGCCTTTGCCCCGCTGGTTTTATCTGGGGTAGATAGTAACCCTGCGCGGTCCCCTGATATTTCCAGAACAGCGAGGGACTTCATATCGGCGAGAGCCAGAGGTCCCTGGCTGGCATTTCCTTGGGCCGCCTTATCGATGCTGTCCGCCATGTCGCCGCCCCGTATTCTACCCTGTGTCCGATGTGATCGACGAACTCGTTATTTTCCCCTTGTACGGTGTGGGTGCCTGGACAATCGTTAGCGTTGGAGTAGAGGGCGTTTCCCCGTTTGGCGTCGCGATGGTGGAGTGCTGGGTGAAAGAGACCGAAGGTGAAGGAAACAAAAAGGAGGAGGATCTATCGGCTTCGCTAACGTCCTCGAGTACCTCGCTTGGCCCGTCGTTGCGACTGTGGGTTGAGGTAAAATACCACGAGCTGGGCCTTAATCTCGCGGTTTTCTTCGGGAGAAAAACCCTATCGCTTCTGAAGATTACCGCTGGTCTTTACCGCTGCCCTCGCCCTCTCCCTTTTTTTCTATTCATATCAAGCATGTCCCCCAATGGATAAGATTGCTCGATAGACCATTTCCACATTTTAGACCAAAGACCACACGCACGCATTTCCCTCATTTTAGACATACAGAAAGCAGCACCTAAACCTGCTATGGGATCTCTTGCAGTTATGCGACATGGCCATCATGTTTGTTTCTGTGCACGGAATGCTAGGGACTAGTATGACACGAGTTTATTTGTTACCCAGGCTTAAGAGGGTAGGCATAACTCAATTCAGCTAAATTGCTGTGTTTGCAGTTATGGAGGCTAGCACAAAATCCATGCAAGAATAATTGTTTTTGGGTAGTGCCACGTAAAAGGTTTGATCACAGGCAATTGCTGTTGCGCTGGTTTTTCTACTGTGCCATGGAGTGGTTGCGCTTTATGAAGCATGCATAGATAACATATCCGCTCTGATAGTCCGCGCCCATCATCTGCTTCGGCATCCGAACCATACGAAAGCCTGCTTGCTCAAGACTTTCCAGGAACGCGAGATGAACATAATCCGTACGTAGCTCTTGAGCGATCAAAACCACGGTCCTATCCAGCATCCGTCTCATCTTTCTACTCCGTCGCTTTCCCATCGCTTCCTCGTCATCAGGATCATGATGACCACCTCTGCCTGAGCCCTCCAACGTAAAAGAGAACGATAGCATCTCTTGTAAGCGATCGAAATGCTCACCCTGACCCTGTTGAAACTCCTGGGGGACGCGTTCGCGGATCTCGCACAGCTCTTTGAGTGTATGGACGAGCTTCGGAATAATGGATTCGTTGTAGACAACATCTGTGGCCACGATGTAATCCAAGCCAAGGCCACGCTTCAAGTCTTGATCCAAACTCTGTCCCCATATCAGCTCCTGTACTTGGATATGGCAAGGCTTGATGCCAGAACTGCCCAGGTCAATAATATCGCTAAAGCGTTCCTTCTTTCTCGACGCAGTCGCTGGTGAGTATGCCCCGGTTGGTGTGGTCGATGCTGAGGTCGAATGCTGGTCAAAGTGTTTCTTATCCAAGTTCTTGCGCAAATTCTTGACAAGTAGAGGCAGGACAGGTTTCTGGTCAGTCAGTAAGAGGTCCTGACAGAGATCGGCCATCACAATTCCAAGCAGGCCGCATCCGGATCCGAGTTCAAGAATACTAGTTTCAGCAGGATCGAATATCAACATGTCATCATCCTCTCCATCGCCCACCTCTGAGTCATCCTTGTCATCATCATAGTCATCGCTCCTATCATCGTCGCTTGCGCTGTACTCCTGATCCTCATCCGCTGAGCTCTCCTCCTCTCCAGGCTTGACTTTCAGATCGCCTTCAACTGATACCGCCAAATGCTCGGCTTGTTCCTCCAATTTCCGGATCTGGCCCTGCCGTGTCCTTTGATCCTGTCTGATCCGGGCCTCCCGCACGCGCCTCTCTTTCTGCTGCGATCGATAGCACCCTGTAGTCAGCCCCTTGATCGACAGCAAAAACTTGGCCATAAGAATACTGCTGTCCCAGACAACTGTTCCTGTTTGACCCGGCTGAGACAATGTAGAGAGGGATTGATGGATGACGACAGGCTTCTTGTTGATTAGGGATACCGTCGCTACCTTTGCAGATCTTGATCCGCCAACGCCGCCATTGTTCATCCGACTGGATTTACGACCCCCGAGGATAGCTCGAGCAGCGGGACTCTTGACCTTTGGTATACTGCCAGGCAAAGGTGAAATAAAGCTGCTATTGCTGCTGTTAATCCCAATCTCTGACTCTTTTGGTGTCATTGGTAACGTTGGCGATAAAGGGGATGGCGATGTTGAAATTGAGTAGCCGTTATTATATTCATCAGATTCCAATCCTGAGCCTCCGGTGATAGGTCCTGGGATTAATATTGCGTCATTGCCTGCGGTGTCGGTATCCTTAGCGGTCGTGGGCGAAAAGTACGACCCTGACCGAGAATCGGGTCTGGACCCAGGCTGGCTCAGGGCAGGCGAGGGTGCAGGGGTGAAATCGAGCTCGATCTCGAGTCGGGCTGACTGCTGTGAGACGGACCGGTTATGGGCCCAGGGGGCCTGGGAGGTCTCGGTAGTGAAGAGCGAGAAGACTTCCTCATAAGGTTCCTTGACAGGGATCGCGTCGGGGATGGAGAGGAAGAATCTCGAGGCCATGATGCGTGTCCCTTGATTTGGGACGAATGAGGGCGAAACTTATTACTGGAACTGGAAAAATGGCAGGCAGTTCACCCCATTTAAATAAAAAATTCTGGCTTGTATAAATAGAGGGTCAGGGCCCAACTGCCCTTGTTTCACATTAAACGTCGCTCTCCACAATGTGCGTACGGATTTACTTAAAAGACCAGCAGGTTCTTCTCCTTTATTTTATTTTTTACTGAACGATGGTGAAAAAAAAGATGATACAAAATGACCTGAAGGTGTCATGAATGGCGTCTAATGTTAGTCGTTAATGAATATGCTGTGATGATGCACCTGGATACCCGCTTGAATGGATTTTTTTTCTTTCTATTTGCGGATCTGTCTTTACGCCTTGCCGACCTTGTCCCTGTGGTCACCATCGTCGCCATCGACGTCCTGCTGGGTCATGGGGATATAAGTAGGCTTGATATTGGCCCGCATCTCCTGGTCCTTGGCCCATGTGTAAAGGGCACCGCCGCTGAGAATCAGCACAATGCCAATCAGGCGACCTGAGGTGATGATGTCACCGAATGCAAAATAGCCGAGGAGGGTCTGCAACACCCCGCGAACGGCCCCCGAGATCATATGTGTGGTGGGTGAGGTCTTTGAGATCTGCATGAAACCGGCCAGGTTGACCAGGAAGCCAAAGATACCGGTGATGAACGCTGCGAACAAGAAGCTGTGGAAGGCCTGGAAACCATCAGCCGCGAAACGTTCGGCCACCAAGGTGATTTCACCGCTCAAGAACACAATAGGAGTGGTAGCGAGGAGCGAGAGGACATTATTGTAGTAGACGAGGTCGATTGATGAGTTGTTGACAGAGCCCAATGACCTTTTGATGACGATGGCGTGGAGCGAGGTGGTAACGGAGGAGATAATGCCGAAGAAGACGCCAATGTGCGAGACATTGATTTCTGTTGTCACTCCAGTGTAGAATCCGCAGAAAACAATGAAGCAGGAGACGAGGACAAGCTGAGCAGAGGGCTGTCCGAGCAAGACATAGGCGAAGATGACAGTGAAGGGCAAGACCAATCCACGAGCAATCTATTCACAGCGCGTGGACAAAGATCAAAACGAAGGTGCAGAAACAATGGCAGGTTAGCCAGTTTACTCCATCCAAAAGACAAAGCATGCATGTTTAATCTCTCGTCCTGTCAATAGAGCCGAACAATCTCTGGGCCATTTACCTGATAGAACGAGGTATCGACATACACCAGACAGAGGGTGTTGACACCTAGTCCGAGCACGTTGATGGCAATCAGGGGGATGAGGGCCTGAGCGACGTGGGTCTCAATCTTGGGCATTCTGAGCACCCCCGTGTAGTTTGTGACCCTGAGCAATAGGACGGCAATCAGCATCTGACACCACAGCAGCAGCCACGGCAGCTCGATGGTATTAAGTGCCCACTAATTTGAAATATAACAAAAAAAAAAAAAAAATACATTGACTGTGAGCAATTTATATTTAAGTAGTTACGATCGAGTAATTAAAAAGGCGGTTGCTGTCCCGTTATGTTACCTTATTGCAGCTGACCATGACCAAGGCTGTGACCATGCTGGATAAACGAGGAAGTACATTGATGTGAAGTGTTTGCAGTACAGTTGATTAGCAGTTGGTCCGTGGATACACACGTTGAGCAATTGAAGGCCAAGGAACAAGGTCTTACTAAAAGCCGACGGTGAGGATGACCGCCTGGCGCTCAGTGAGGCCTAGACTACTTGCGGAGGGCATGTTTGTATAGCGATGTAATATCCTTGGGAGGGATGAAGGGTTCGTTATTATAGATGATGATGAACAGGGGGCGGGATGAAAGGATGAAGGATGATGAAGGATGATGATGAAATAACAAAAGAGGGAAGCGATGGTGCAGATGGACGCCACCAAGTGCAGTAAGAAAATCAAACACTCTTTTTCCGTCCGCCCTATATGTGTTAAAAATAGCTTATCTTGTCGCGGCCTCCCATTCGTTCCGTTCGGCCGTTGGAATTGGAACGTGGTACAAAAGCACAGCGCATAGGCCCTTCTACTGTAGGTGGCCAAAAATGGAAACATGATGTTTCTGGCCTCCTTAACAGACAGAAAGGGCTGGGTCGAGACTAGACTCTGCGCACAGACCTGGTTGTCACCTAAAAAACGTGCCATTCCACTGTAGCCTATCTATTATCCGAGGACGACCACTGTGAAGGTATGAAACACGATGAACACGATGAACACAATGAACACAACGAACACAACAAAAGGAAACCTGGAGAGCGAGAGGGGGTGGGGTCCTTTCGTTCCTTTTCACCCCTGTCTTTCCCCGGTCCCCATCCTCACTCTCCTCACAGCCCTCACGCCCTTTGCACTCTTCCACACTCTTCACTCTGCACTTTTCGCCCTTCACTCTTCACTCTGCACTTTTCACTCTTCACTCTGCACTTTTCACTCTTCACTCTTCACTCTGCACTTTTCACTTTTCACTCTTCACCCTTTTCTCCTCAACACACCCCATCTTTTTCATCCTCGATCGAACGGATTGGTACATAGTCTCGATCCCAAGATATTTCCCCTATGAGGAAAGACACAGCATACAGCGGAATAGGCCAAAGTTGTAGGCCCCGGTCCCGGACATTCGTCGCCCTCGTACTCGTCCTCCTCATCTCTGCCTGGGCCCTCCTAAGCAACATCTGCGCCCTCGACCCCGACTTCAGTTATCCCTCGTCCTCATCCTCCCCTTCCCTATTCCCCTCCTCTACAGATCGGCACCAACTACAGCAACAAGGTCTCCATGAGGAGCACATTGATAAGAAGCATAAGAACCATGTAAATTATAAACTCACATATCCCTCAACTCTCGGACCTCTTGAGCCTGCTGTCTCCTTACTCGACCCCAACACCAAATACCTCTCCTACTTACCCTACGCTGGACTCACCAACCAATTCATGGCCTTCGAAATCGTGGCCTTCATCTCCCAGAAGCTCAACAGAACCCTCATCCTCCCACCCATTGTTTCCAACTCGCACGATCGCGAAAATACACACCAACGTTGGTCCAACTACTTTGATCTACCGAGATTCACACACCTCACAGGCGTGCCTGTAGTCGAATGGGATCTTATTCGACCCTTGACTGCAACTCAACGGATCATTGGGCGCGACCGAGCAGTTGCGGATAAGGCCAGAGCCTCTGCTGGAAAGCATGACTATGAGCTCGTGCTGAAGGCCTGGGATCAAGTTGCTGAGAACCTGACCTGTCAAATCGTTGACGGGTATGAAGGGCCGGATCACGGAACTAATTATTCGGCCAAGATCTTTCGTTGGCATTTCTTGCTCCAACTGATCTTCCAGCGAGCACCGCCATTGAAACCTGGAATGAAGGTCTACAACACAAATCTGAAAGGCCTCACCTTGGGACTCGACGACTTGATCGTAATAGATGACTTGTTGGCGCGATATGCCGATAACGAGGACCATGTGTTGATGTTCAGCAATGCCTTCATGCTCAAGGACCCTGGGCACTCAAACCGAATCTGGAACGAGATTGGGAAGCACATCCATTTCGTACCGCAAATAATGAGGTATGCGACTGAGAAGGTCAACGAGGAGCTGCAACGCGATCAAGGAATCGTCGTTACCGTCAACGACGATCCCGGGGAAAAGGTGCTCCCGGAATTGGAAGTTCCCATCGAGATGAGCCTCCCCAAGAACCTGAACGAGGACGCAACAGAGTCCGGAGTGATCGTCAACCCAGCGGCGGAGAACATCGCAGCACCCCTGACACGGATCCCCCATATCGCTCTGCATCTGCGTAGGGGCGACATTGGTTCGAAATGCCGCAGTGATAGCATGGACTCATGTCTGATCCCATTCGAGCGCTACATCGACGCCGTGGACCGCGCACGGGAGGCCGCTGCAAAGCGCGGACTCGTCTCCCGACTACCCGTCATCGTGACTACAGACACAACCTCCGAGCACGATTTCCGAAAGCTCCAGGAGCTGGGATGGCATCGATTCGATCATGAGAAGTATGGGACAGCAGGGTTGTGGGGCCCATTCGGGCCGGCCATGATCGATGCGGCAGTGCTGGCACACGCGGACGAATTAGTTGGGAGTGGCAAGTCGACGATGTCGAGGATTGCGGCATCGAGGCAGAAGGCCTGGTATGGCAGGGAGACCTTGTATCCGATCTTGAATAGGGCACAGAGGAAGATGCAGAGGAGAGCGGTGGCGGCGACACAGGAGGGAAAGGAGGAAGTAGAAGAGAGTTGGGATGAGAACGTTCGTATTGCCTATTAGGATCGCCTTTTTGTCTCTCATCTTTTTTTTAGCATATTACCCAGCTTTTTTTTTTTTTTTTTTTTTATTGACGCCAGATCCCCCCAGACGTGCAGGCGTGCCACAGGCTGCATTGTCCAAGCCTCGGCTTGGACTGTCAGCCGGCCGATAGTTACCGAAAGATAGCTAACAAAAGGCCCCTACTAAACTAATGTAAAATGAGGGACCAAATACCTATGATGCACATTCTGAGTCGCATGGTTTCTAATACTTAAGCCGGGACCCAAAACTGCTACGTAACTTGTCGGGTCTGATGGATCCTCTCCTAGTCAAGATCACGGGCCAATATGAATTTTATCCTCCTTCCTCTCTCCATCTCGTTCAACACCACGTTTCCCTGGAGATGGTCCACCAAGCGGCTGTCTGCTCTCCTCCTCGCCGCTGTCGTAGCCTCCTCTTGAAGTTGTTGTCTCACAAAGCCCTAGGCCTCACCTCCTACCTGGACCCCGGCTTTCTTCATCCTCGTGCATATGCCTTCGGACTTTTCCCATGCTACTGTGGCACTACATCGCTCATTCCATAGCTCCTCTCGGCCAAAA